TATATCCACCCGAGCTGTTTCCACTGCGCCTTCGAGGAAAAGCTGTCGCACTCTCCACCGCCAGTAACTGGATGTTCAACTTCGCATTGAGCTATTTCACACCTCCAGCCTTTGTTAACATCAAATGGAAGACCTATCTTATATTCGGCGCTTTTAGCTTTGCAATGGCGCTTCATGTATTCTTCTGTTTCCCTGAGACAGCAGGAAAGACATTGGAGGAGGTTGAAGGGTCACTGAAGGAAAACCGAGCGCCATGGAGAGCTGCATCTAACAAACGGGATTTGGAAGATAGGGCGATAGAATCTATCCAAGCCGAAGAGAAAAGAGAAGAGGAGATTCACGTGGAGAGAGCCTGAGCTTATTTTCAAAGCGAAACCGAGAATCAATCTAGGTATAAGTTTGTCCGTCATATCTTTTGTATCTTTTGAATTCAAATCCAATTATTTCAGGAGACATAGCAAATACTCAAGAGACTTGTGCTTTTTGATGACATGGAAGGTTGATTCAGTGTTAAGTTAGGACGATAGATCTGGATGGTTATAACCAATTGGAAATCTAAAATTGCCTGCACCAATATCGAAGAGTTCGGATTCCAAACTAGAAAAGTCCGGACAAAATAAATTGAAGTCAGGAGTGAGCATGTCCATAGAAACTGGGACTTGCGTCTCTGAATTTTCAGCGTTGTAGGAATCATTTGTATATGCCGCCGGCTCTCCACTTGTCGGAAACATAACATTTTGGTAAATCTGCGAGGCTGAATTTTCATTTTCGTGTTGTGCTGAATTGGTCGCATCGGAAAGCCATATCCTTTTCAGCAATTTTGAATAGCGATATCCAATATGAGAATCGCAGGTTGCTGCTTGCTCGAGAACGCATATAAATCGCTGAACAAGCTCAACAATATCCTTATGCTGCGATGCTGAAAAGGCACCGAAGGCAGCCGCCTTATATAAGAAGACCGCGGAATAGATCGTATAAACGTAGAATCGAAATGGCATATAGCGAATATGTGCCACCGGATCCGTCTCATTGGAGATCATAAGTATCTTTTGGGCAGAATCAACCGCCTCAAAGACGTACACCCCATCTGGAGTGGACATAATTCCTTGGGGAAAAAGCGAAGAGGCCTTTCCTGGCGGCGACCCAATGGCATCATGATTGCGATTTTCTTGAACGGCCCTTGAAAGAATCGACTGGAAAGAAAAAGCACATACGTATAGGCGTACGTACTCTTTAACAATCCTCAATGTGCTATATAGCTTTGGAGACGCGTCGAGAGTGCCCCAGCGATCATGCCATGCGGACAAAGACCGGCGAAAGTCGTCTAGATAGCGATTATAGTCGCCCCAGTGTACCATTTGCATTCTTCTTTCTTTTGATGAGTAGAGAATATCGTGTGCATTGTGAAGAAGCTGTGTGAGCTCAATTGTAGCCTGGAGAACCTGCGCGTAGTTGTGCTCAGCATCCACACCGAGTCGAAGACTTGGGAAGTCATCAGCTGTAAATCTTGTCGAGAGGGACGGTCCACGAGACCAAAATGACTGCCCCATTCGTACTGATATCTGGCGATCGGCAATATAGACAACTGAGAAGATTAGTAAAGCCGAATATTCGTGTTTGGGTAGTAATATTTACAGATCCAGGCTAGTTGTTTCCGGTTTACTATATCTTCCGACTCTCCTCGCACTTTCTCTCGAAATGACGCTTTGTCGAGTCGAAGAAGATAGGAGTGCCTCACTGCTTGACCAATAAGTGACCAAGCCATATTGTCCTCCACTGCGCTCAGATTTCCGGGGAATAGTTTTGGATATGATCCGGTCTCCAGCTGTAGATACGGAACCCATTCTGCAAGCAGCAGGAGGCTTTCAACGGTACCAACGTTCAGAGTTGAAGGTGCCGCCAGCAGTACATCTAAGAGATGCTTCTTCAAATACTGCCAGCACTGTTGGTGGATCTCTTGATATGCCGTCTCGTCTGTTGAGGCGATGGTCAAGATGACAGTAAGAAGCAGCGGTTCGTTGATTGCTGTTCTTCGAATGTCACTTGTGGTTAGAACACCTTTAGGTGCGAGCGGACAGAATGGATGATAATTATCAGCATAGCTGTACAGTTAGTCCCCGGTCCTGCAAGGGTTGTTGTATAGGGATTTCCTTACTGATTCAACAAGCTCCGAGCCGTGTCTGTACCAAGAATGCCGATCACCAATGTCTCCGTCTCAGAAAGTGGGCGCTGCAATGTGGGGGTTTGTATGCTTTTGATGGAATTTTCACCCGAATTGACCTCATCTTTGCAAGAATGGCTATCTGGTGAGTTCCGAGTCCTTGAGTTCGTGTCTTCATGATAACGTCTCGGATCATGAGCAGCTAGCCTGGCAAGAATCTGAAGAGCATCCCCGGGATTGGTTAACTCTGCATAGATTGGGTCCTCCGATCTCTTCTCGCATTCACTGTTTCTTTGAAACTCGATTACATTTGCATCATCGCGGTTGGGGGTGGATACAGAGCTCTCCCGCCTTTGTTGTCGAGCTGAGCGTCGAAACCTTGAAAAGTCCCCTCCTCGCCGTGAACTTGCAAGAATGCACTCTTCACCCGCACGAATACATTCTAAGCAAGGCGACTTGCTTCCATCGGGCGAAGTTGTCCTTGAAGTAATCAGCATATTGGTATCACCAGTGGCGAGCGGGTGGCAACTTACGGGTCACATTTCAATTTCCGTTGACGACAGCGTTCACACGCGCGATAAAGACGAATATTCCGACTACGAGTCATCTAGACAGAGGGATTTGCAGCGAAATTTTCATCATTCTGATTCTATGAAATTTTTCTCATTCTTTCTCGTGGGGAAATTTATACGACCTCGGCATTCCCCGCAGAAGCCGCCCGAAACAGTTTAGCCGGCAAAAGACGGGGAAAACCCTCGCGTGGGGAAGGCATTTCCACGGTTCACCTTCACTTGAAATCATGCATGACTTGCACGTTGCAGTAGTGAAGAATGCCTGTTGAACCCCACTCTCCACCAATTCCACTTTCTTTGTGCCCGGAAAGCATACCCCGAGGTGTTGTCTTTGCCCAGGAGTTAATGAAAACACTCCCTGACTGAATTTGCCGTCCGACCTGCTCGGCGTGGGTTGCATCAGAATTCCAAATTGAGGCACCGAGACCAGATTTCGTGTTGTTGGCACGGGAGATAACATCTGCTTCGTTACTCCACTTGAGTACTGGTATAATGGGCCCTAAACGAGAAAGAGAACCGATTAGCCATTGCGGCCCGTGGACATCTATACAGCCTGAAAGGTTACGAACCAAATTGCTCCTCGACGACGATGCGTGAATTCTCAGGAGGGTTGTCGACGATAGCTGGCGAGAGGAAATATCCAGAGTTGCTCTCAAAAGATCTTGGTGGTAGTGCAAAGGTGTAGCCATTGACTTCAGTGTCAGCGATAAGCTCTTGTACTCGTTGACGCTGCATCTCGTTCTGCATAGGCCCCATCGTCGTGCTCTTATTTGTGGCTTCGCCAACCTGAATCATCGATGCAGCCTTCACCATGGCATCCAGGAATGGCTGGTAAATATCCTCGTGCACATACACTCTCTTGATAGCAACGCACACTTGGCCAGAGAACACAAAACAACCTTGGACAACTTCTGAGGCTGTATTTTCGATGTCGACGTTGGGGAAAACAATAGCCGGGTCATTACCGCCACTATAAAACGAATGTTAGTATAGTTTGTGGTTGGAGAGGATTCAAATATGCCTACAGCTCTAGAGTCACACGCTTCATCGTACCGGCAGCTGACTGCATGATCTTTTTTCCAGTGGCGCTGGATCCAGTAAACGAGATTTTGTGGATGTTAGGATGGCTCACAAGTGCAGGTCCAAGAAAATCCTCGCCCCCAAGGACCTGGATCACACCGGGCGGGAAGAAAAGTTGCGCCAACTCCACTAATTTCAGTGCAGAGTAAGGTGTGAATGGCGAAGGTTTCACAATAATGCAGCAACCACTTAGGACTGCTGCAAGAATCTTGCCCATGGATAAGACGACAGGAAAGTTCCAAGGGCAGATGGCAGCAACTACTCCCACGGGAACATGGCGTGTCGTGATAATTCGATGGTCATCTTCGATCCGTTCTTCGGGAATGCGCAATTGCAAGTGATGGTCAAACAACGAAATCACTTCATTTGCCTCACCAGCTGCCAAGGCGCGAGTCTTACCACATTCCGCCATAAGAAGTGTGGTGAAATTCTCACAGTATCCTTTGTAAGACTCCTTCCACTGGCTGATCTTCTCAACTCTCTCTTCAATCGGAGTGCTCGACCAGACTTTGAAGGCATCATTCGCAGATTGCACAGCCTCCTCCACATCGTTCGTGGTGGCCACTGGCCAATCCCACAGCTTCTTTTCCGTGGATGGATCAGTTCCATATTTAAATTTGAATGCACTACGGCATTCCCCATTCACAACATTGAAAAAGGTTTCGAAGGTGTAATCGGAACTTCCCATGGTTGGCTGGAATAGACTAGAAGAATACTGCTTGAAGATGGAAATATTGAAAGAACTGAGCGAGAAAATTGGAAGAACTAGTAGAGATTTAAATTAGTTCGACCAGCTATGACGGGACTTATGCTAGAGTAGAATGGAGTCATCTTTAGCCGTTCCCGGAAAATGTTCGACCGGGTGGAACCCCGGGTGAGGACGGAAATGGACTTAAATGGCAATTGCTGATATTTAAAGCGATATGGTATCTGTAGCCATGGACTTGCGAAATTTCGGCTTTCACTCGTCTGCTGCCACGGTTATAGTTGACTAAGGGTCTGAGCGGCGCTAGTCGGTTCAAGATGGAAAATGACGGTAGTGATAATTGATATATGATAGCCTTTAGAACCTACTTCAGTGCAAATCTTAGTATCTCAGAAATAAGAAACAAAATTTCAGAAGTTGTCTTTTCTCTGTACCATCGTCATCCTTTTTTGCTTCTGCCCAACGAAGCAAAGCCCCTGGAATGGACATCCCAAAGACACACAAGGCCCTTGTCTACGACAAGCCAGGTGATATATCCACCAATGTTGTGGATGTCGAAACTCCAACTCCGGGGCCCGGAGAGGTGTTGGTGAAGATGTATGATTTCCATTATCCCCTCGCTGGATCCAATACTCATTTTCAAATATAGTACCCATTCTGGTGTATGTCATTCAGATCTTAGTCTGATGACAAATACAGTAAGCTGCATCCCTTAATAATATAAATGTAAACGTATATATTCTTTCATAATACTGATTACCGACAGTGGAAATTCCTACCCGAACCCATCAAGAGTGGCCAAGTTGGTGGGCACGAAGGTGTCGGCATTGTGGCCCAGATGGGTCCATCTAGTGACGTCTCAGGTGTCCGTATTGGTGACCGCGTCGGAATCAAATGGATAGCCTTCGCCTGTGGAAATTGTGCTGCTTGTCTCTCTGGTGCAGATGGTGTCTGTGTAAACCAGAAGGTTTCTGGCTTCACATGGCCAGGAACATTCCAGCAATTTGTTCTCGCCCCCGCCCACTATGTCACTCCCATTCCAGATGGGCTGTCAAGCGAAATGGCCGCACCACTACTGTGTGGCGGAGTGACAGTCTACTCAGCCCTCAAGAAAAGCAAGGCTAAGTCAGGGGACTGGGTCGTCATTGCTGGGGCTGGCGGTGGGCTTGGCCATCTGGGAGTGCAGCTTGGGAGCCGAGGGATGGGGTTCAAAATCATTGGACTGGATATCGGATCTAAAGAGGAATTTGTCAAAGGATGCGGTGCCGAGGTATTTATCGATATCACCAAATGCTCTACTGGCGATCGAGGCAAAAGCGCTACCGAAATGGTTTTGGCTGCCACTGGAGGTGCTGGGGCTTCGGCGGTGGTTATTTGCAGTGCCAGCAATGCCGCATATGCACAAGGATTGGACTTCCTGAAGTTCAATGGAACTTTGGTTTGTGTTGGTGTTCCTGGCGATCCACAACCAATCGAAAACGCCTGTCCTCATATCATGGTCTCGAAGCAGCTGAGAATCGTCGGCAGTACTGTCGGTAATCGGAGAGATGCTATTGAAACACTTGATATGGCAAAACGAGTTGTCTCTACTCCATTCCAGGTGGAAAAAGTGCAGAGTATTGACCGCGTCTTTGAGGAAATGAGGGGTGGGAGGTTGCAGGGTCGAGTTTTGTTAGATCTCCAATCGTGGGCCTGAGGCTACAAATATCTCCACTTCAAGTTCAAATGCAAGTTACAGCAACGAAAGAAGCTCGGTGTAATAAATTACAATTTAAACTAGATTTGCCGGTTGTATATTTAATTTATTGCAATGTGGCCTTCACAAAGGTTCAAATGTACTAGGTACTATATAAGTCAACAAAGATTATGCTTTTCGTTGGACGGAAATGATATCTTCAACTTGAAGTTGGTTAAAAACACCCTCGACTTTAAGTTCCACAGTATTAATATAATTGACCACGAGACACTTACTCATAAATTGAATCTATCGAATGTGTACTACCCTAGGCGCCTGTGGTGGCGACTATCCCCTTTTCTACTAAGCTCCGGCGAAAGCACCGGAGCTCCGTCTTGCTCTCCCATGGACTTGGCATCATATCATGTGAGTCAACCACTATAGTGATTTGGCCCTCGCAGATTTGACATAATGTCTCAGCCTCACCAGCACCTCCGAGATTGCTTGCCATCAGCGAATCCCCGTCCTGGACTTTGGGCCTCTGGGAGCATAGCGAACTACTATTATTGGCACGAGCGAGGTCCCTTTTCTTTGTCCGACTCTTCCCTCCAAAAATACTTAAATAAAACCCAACCACTTATATCCCAGCGAGTGAAAACCGACTCGGGCGGTTCCGCGAGATATGTCACCAATTGTTCACTGTGTGCGCCACGCGCAAGGAGTCCATAATCTCAGTCATGCAAGCCACCATTTACCTGATCCTGACCTAACACCTCTGGGAGAAGAGCAAGCTCGGGAACTGGCTGCTAGCTTCTCTTCATCAAGAAATATTCAATTGATTCTGGCATCACCATTGCGACGCACGATTCAGACCGCGCTTTTGGCGTTCCCTGGAATGCAGGTGGTTGCCTGGCCAGATTTGCAGGAAGCAAGTGATCTTATCTGTGACACAGGGAGTGACCTGCTCAATATCAAGGCCGAATTTGAGAAATCACCGGTAGATCTCTCTTTGGTAGAGCCGGGTTGGCACATCAAGGTACGCTTCTGACGTCTAATCTGTTTGACTTGGCTGGGGCTAACCAAGCCTCGTAAATATAGCAAGGAAAATGGGCCCCGGTCGCAGCAAGGCTCTTGGAAAGAGCTCAATCGGCACGACAGTGGCTGAGCCAGCGACCCGAGAAGGAGATCGTGGTGGTTTCACATGGCTGCTTTCTGCATTTTCTTACAAATGACTGGGTGAATGCCGTTAATTCACATGGTAGGTTGTATTTTCTCGCATAATATTGTCCCGTGCTAACCCATCATAGCAACGGGCTGGACCAATACTGAGTTTCGTTCCTTTACTTTTGCACATGAGGAGGAGAAAACGCCAGCTCTGTGTGAGACTATAGAATCTAGGGAAAGACGAGGGTTAGGACCAGTTTCCCCGACCGAAAAACAACAGCTGGAGCTGCAGCAGACGACACTTGAAACTTGGATCAAATGGGGTGTCATATTGGCGTAGATACTAGACCATCGAGTGTTCTCATCAATAAGTTTTTCTCTGTACATAAAAGCAGGAAGCCTCTTCGGCCTCTTGGATCTCAGCCCATGGAAGAAAATATTTCGAGCTATTTCTTACACTAATATTATAATAATCTCTCATCAAGGAAGTCTGTTTCACTACTAGGTATGTTCATTGAGATAGCAATACACTTGCTCAAAATTTCTAGTCACTATTGACACCAGGTTTGAAAAGATATCGATCATGAAGTAGCCGAAGTCATATTCTCTGTGTCTCTATACTCTTCCACGGCTACCGATATTTGACTTAAACAAAACAACATAGGGCAATTATTTCGAGCCGTGCACAAGTGAAGACCAATAATACGTTCATGGGCTGAGTCAATTATAATCTTAACCTCGGAAATGTCATAATTTGATGCATTCCTGGCTAATGGCCTCAGAAGATACTTTTGAATAAAGAGTTCTCGCGTCCACGGGTTACACTGTCCACCACCCGGAAGCAACTCAAAAAGGGAACGATCTCCACGTAGGCGATTATAGCTGTGACCAATACAATCAATAATCATTTGAATATAAAAAGCGTTTATTAATTTTCTATTGTATGCTTGCGTATCAGTATTTGCAGCATGGGTCAGGGTGGACCAGATTGTCCTTTTTCATCTCCGCCTTGTACTTACTGAATAGCGTGATGTCCCTATAATAGTAAGATCGAGAAGGAACACATTCATTGTCAACTAATCCGAATAATGCAGGAGTACTGTGTAGACTAATAATACTAGTATTTATTTTCCTGGCTTATTCTTAAAATCGACAATTGCCAACAGCTTCGCGATCGGATCTCGGGAGTAGATGGGTAAAGATAACGTTAACTCCAGCCGAGGAACTTTATCAAAAGTCGATCACAAAACTGCGGAGAATCATACAATACGGCTAAAGACGGTTCTGAGGACGGTGTTCCTTTTCGCATCCGCTTTTGATGGGCTTTGATTCTCGTCCGAAGTCATGATACATAACAAAGTATTTAAGTACACGGTGGGTTGAGTATCGATGAGTATTACTTATGAAGATTAGACATCTAAGCAAACCCCATTATATTACTGTCATCTTAAAGACCGATATTTCAGAAACTATTTCACTCGCAATGACTGTTGCAAAGAAAGAAGGGCCTTTTTCTTTCATCTCTGTCAAAGAGCTGCACCCGACTTTCGCTGCAGAGATTAGTGGTGTGGATTTCTCCTTGCCTCTCTCTGACGAGGTGTTTAGAGAGATATTCCAGGCAGTTACGAAAGTGAGCAGCTTATCAACATTGTCTTGTACCGAAGTTAATAAAAACATCACAGTACGGAGTTGTCATTTTCCGCACCACTGGTCTGACCGATGAGGCCCATATCGAGTTCTCCCGAAAGTTTGGGGAGCTCGATGATGTGAAGCCGTACATTGCTGCTGGTCGAAAGAATCGTCTCAGATATCCCGAATTGTTTGACGTTAGTAATGTTGAGCTTGATGGAACCATCCTCGACGCTGACAGTGCCCGAGGACAAGCAAATAGAGTATGCTAAGTCAAGGCTTTGATGGAGCGCATATGTTGACCATTGATAATCACAGGGCAATGATCTATTCCACGTGGACTCTAGCTTCAATCCCCGCCGTGCTGGATATTCTCTTCTTTTAGCCCACGAGCTTCCACCGCAGGGGATGGGAGGTCACACAGCATTCGCAGATACGAGAACCGCGTTTGACGAGCTGCCAACTGATCTCAAAGAGAAACTGGTGAGAAATGACTATATTGCTTGTCATTCAATGCACCACTCGCGCAAAATGGCCGCACCTGAAGCCTTCGCTCATATCAACCCGCTTGATTATCCGATGGGCCGGCACAGACTGGTTCAGCGCCACGAGACCTCTGATCGCATGAATTTGTACATCGCAGCTCATGTGCACCACATCGAGGGACTCGAGCCAGATGAGTCTCAAGCGCTTATCGATAAGTTGTTTCAGCATGCTACGCGTGAAGAAAATACAGTGGAGATTGAGTGGCAGGCGCCTGGGGATTTGGTTATCTGGGACAATACTTGTACGATGCACCGAGCGGTTGGCGGTCCATTTCTCCGTAAATATAAGCGGGATATGAGACGGACAACTGTACATGACTCCAGCTCACAGGCATGGGGTTTGAATGAGCATACCAACGTTCGAGTAGGAATGCCCTAAGCTCATTTCCGATGAGCGAGGAAGATGACCAGCTCTTATCTGTTTTGTAGATAATACCACGAGAAATCCATTCTTACAATTTTGTCATACGATCAGCATTTTCGGTCAAAAGGTTCGGGGATCAATTGTACTAAGCCTGTCGTATTCATGTTTATTATCTATTTTCAGTCACGATTCAAGTTCACAGACAGTGCTGTCCATGTAGGGTAGAATTGGCGATGACGAAAGATCTACCGCAAGGTAACCAGCTCCTCGGCGCTAGTTGGGTGGATAGCGACACAGCTATCAAAGTCCTGCTTGGTAGCACCCATCTTCACGGCGACGCCGAATCCCTGCAGCATCTCACCAACACCAAGACCCAGAATGTGCAGGCCGACAACCTTTTCTTGAGGACCAGCACAGATGATCTTCATCTCCGTGGGGTTCTTGGGCTTCTCCTCGGCGGGTAGAACGTCATAGAACATGGCAGTGAACTTGGTATGGTAGATCTTGATCTTGTCGTCGCCGTAGCGTTGGCGGGCCTCGGGCTCGGTGAGACCGACAACACCAACCTCCGGGTGGGAGAAGACGACAGTCGGGATGTTCTCATACGAGATCTTGGAGTGCTTGAGCTCAGGAGGACCGAAGATACGGTTGCCCAGCTGGCGACCGGCGGCAATGGCAACTATCGCACGTGTTAGAATATCATACTCTTGACTATAGGGTAGTGAGGTGGTACATACCGGGTGTGAGTTCAGCCTGGCCGGTAACATCACCAATGGCGTAGACTCCCTCAACAGAAGTGTTCTGGTACTCGTCGACAACAATGTGGCCGCTAGGGTTCAGCTTAATGCCGGGGATGTCAATGTGCAGGTCCTCGACCTCGGGAGCACGACCAACAGCCCACAGGAGCTCGTTGACCTCCAACTCAGAACCGTCGTGACTGATCAACTTGATCAGACGATCCTTGCCCTTGCCGTCACGGATAAGCTTAACCTCCTTGAAGCCAGAGTGGTTGCGGTGAAGCTTGACACCGGCCGCATCGTAACGATCAGTCATGGTCTTCTGAACCATAGGGTCGAACTTGCGCAAGAAGTGCTCGCCGCGGATGAACATGTGAGTCTCGACATCTGCGGCATTCATCACACCGGCCAACTCGACGGCGATGTAGCCAGCACCGACAACAGCAACCTTGGGAGGGAGCTCTTCGAGCTCGAAGAAGCCATCGCTAGTGATACCGTGCTCGGCACCGGGCACCTTGGGAACATTGGGACGGCCACCGGTAGCGATCAGAATGTGCGGCGCAGTGAAGCGGGACACGCTGCCGTCCTCATTGGCAACCTCGATCACCTTAGACTCAACGAAGCGAGCGCGGCCGTGGACAAGGTCGATACCTTCCCGACCCCAGTTGCGCTCATAGATACCATTCAATCGCTTGATAACGGCATCACGGGTGTTTTTGAAGTGGGTATAATCAAACTTGACCTTCTCGGGGATATCATAGCCGTAGTGCTTGCCAACCTCGAGCATCTCGTTGATGGTCGCGAAGTTCCAGGTCATCTTCTTGGGAACGCAACTAGACGTTCCGGTCAGCATTGGATATTCTTGCAGTGGATCTATCATGATCGACACAACGATTCTTGCAATGGAGAACCCACCCAACGTTGACGCAGGTACCGCCAGACCGGCCACTTTCCACGATCAAGGTCTTTGCGCCGTACCAGCCGGCTGCGCGGCGACCGCTGCCGCTACCACCGCTGCCACCACCCAGGACAATGTAATCATATTGCTGAACGTCGACGGGAGCCATTGTTGAATATGTCTTGCTCTCAAGGGAAGGAGAAGAGGAAAAATGACGGGTAATTGAAGAAAGACGAGAGCTCGGAGCAGTTGAGCTGGAGGGCGAAGAGAAGGGCTTCAGGGTAGCCAGGGTAGCCAGGGTTCGATTTACGGTCAGTCGACCGATGTGAATGTGCTTGCCGGGGCACCGAATTAAGGAAGAGCTGCGAAGGCTGCGAGAGGATGTGGGGAGGGAGCGGAAAAGCATGGAGGAGGGGTAGTATTCGTATTTACAAGGAGGGGAAGAAATGAGCTGACAAAAAAAGGTGGTGACGATATCGGGCTTCGATACGCGCCGAAATACGTGGACGCATTGAGATGCCTGAGCGCCTGATTGCTCATCACACGTGATTATAAATCAGGTAGACCGGGATGGGCCGGGCATACCCTAGGGTGGGCATAGTGTATGTACAATCTAGAGTACTCCGTAAAGTAGTTTAGGCCCGGGTATTTCAGTGCCTCGGCATTTCGGGATTGGAGAGATAGTAAAGTATATGTAGATTTCGTCTTATATAGGTTATCCCTTAAGTATTGAACGGTAGAAGATAAATGAATGTGAACATGGCACCGAGCAAAGCTTGAGGTATCTGCCATGTATAAAAGTGTTGCTGTACTGGCAAACTATTGCAGCCATGAATTCAGATTTGTTGAGACAAGAAAATGGGAAATGAATGGGTGGGTTGTTTATTCAGTGACGCTTCGAGCTCGCCAATTGAACGGCGTCACGGTTGAACATGATCGATATATTCATGATGATGTGGGAGGTGTGATGAGGTGTGATGAGGTATTCTGTTCCCCAAAGCGGAAACACATATCTGAGACACCGCATGAAGTGGCTGATGCCACTCTGCGAGGGTTTGCCACTCGGACGTCCCTTTGGAGCGTTCACAGGCCAGGCGTGCTCTCCATCTAATGGCGGACAAAGGAGAGGGGGACCACATGGTATCGGAGGCTTTGTAGGTTTCGACCGCAGAGTGCATAGTCGTCATTCCCGATTCTAGACGGCGAGAATGCGATGAGTGTGCCGACATTTGGCCAGGACAACACTTAGTCTCGTAGCAGCGACCGAGTATGCGCAAGATCTGAAGGGGACCCAGGCGTCGGGGAGGAAAGACTTTGAGAATTGTGCTTGTGCTGTTGAATGAATCAGATATGGCTGAGGCATTGTATGCATTTGATCCTTCGGTGCGCACGGGGAGGTGGTGTTCTCTTCACGTTAGGCTGTTCAGTTGAGGCGGAATCTGGGGTATCCGGACAAGAACAGCCCACTAGTGGGAGTATGCGATGACGGCGAAGGAGATGAAGCAGATGCAGAGCGGAATATAGACGTTGCGTTCCATGTCGGCGGGGTTGGAGTGTTTCATTGTTTGGTATGATCGAGGTGGTGTGTAATAAAGGAGAGTGTTCAAGTTTGAATGAGAGGGGAACCCCCAGGTCAGGCGGGAGGGGCCACTGTATTATGATTGTCTGATGAACTTCAACGATTGGAGTGGAGACGCTTAGTTATCAAGATCCTGGCTAATCGTTGGGCTCAACAAATGCCCCGTTGACGTGTGATCGTTTTCATTGGCCACTGCCCGATGAGTGACGACGTGGTCCAGTGGCGGGCGCTGTTTCGAGCAGGGGTTCACACCGCTACCAGGCAGATTGGCGCTGGAGTAACTAATGCTCGTACTAACAAGTACTCCTACTCGTACTCGTAGTACATAGTAGATCGGATTCCCCGCATTCGAGGGTGCTGAGTACCTGCAGTAGCCCTCGGCCGACCCCGGTGCACAGATAGGAACTGGATCTATGAACCCTTGGGAACCCACGGAAAATCAATCTTAACACAATGCGCTTTATTACATTTATCGTATCAAAGCATTAGCCCTACAAGATGTTGAGCAGTCTCCAAACCAACCCGATCTATCAATCATAACTCCATAGTTGGTGTACTCGACAAGATCGCACATGACGCATCATATGGTATACCCCTTAGAAAGACCCTGGTATCCAAGGATAAACCCAGCGAGGAAACAAACATGGGAGGAGGGATAATAAAGTAAAACAAAACCACGCATAATTAACTTTACTCTGCAACGCGCACGAGCGGCCCTTGTTTACAACGCCTCCGACATTCGCGACTCAAGAAGAATGTAAGGGGATGAGCCAACCACCGCAACTCAGCCAATCATGGTACCTCATACTCGCCTCCATGCCTCTGCAGAAGGGGGAGATTGGTTAATGAAGTAAGGAATTTCCCAGCATCGCGAACTTGAAGACCCTTCGTAGTTCAGCGTGGCTCAAGCGGACTCGTTGAATTCTACAAACTTGAACTCCTCCCAGTATACCTCGACTGATCATATCCTCGCAACGACAATAACGACCTAATCCAAACGCACCCTCCCACCAGTCAACATGCGCGTCTCTGCTACCATCCTCGCCCTAGCTACCACTCTGGCCTTGGGTTCAGCCGCCAAGATTAACATGAGCTGCAAGTTCGCATCCGATCACACTGGCATGGTTCAGACACCCTACTGCTGCCGCGGTTTGAAGGCAAATGAGAATAACCCCAAGATCAATGAGGCCACCGACTGTATGCTTTGCCCTGCAGATGTATTTGCCAATGTGCTTCTCAAGATACTAACTCCAAGAATAGGCAAAGCGCTGTCGCAGCCCCAGCTGTGCGAGGACCAGTCTCGACCCGCTTGCTGCTACGAGATTGTAAGTCAGACCGAATGAAAAATAAATATCAAGATACCAGTTACTAGGGCTAACTATTATTTCTTCAATGTGATAGGGACCCAAGAAGATTTGTACCTCGCACGTTCTCTTCCAGGATGCAAAGGATATCTAAGGCAAGGCGGATAGAGAATCAGGGTCATGTTAATCGTGCGCATGAGTTTCGTTCAACCGCAAGATACCTTGTTCAATGTCAATAATTTCCATTGAATCGATATCGGAATCACATAGCAATGAGAGAGTTCTTAGTCTTGTATCCATGAAATCCGTGATATACGTTTATACTTGAATGTAGTCAATCAAAAATGTCGTTATATTTTGGCTAGTTCTCGCCAAAGCCAGCCGCTACCTGGTATAGAAATAAATGCTGAAATGCAACACAAAGACGCCAAGTCATGCCCCAAAAAAATGCTATATACAGTCCCATTTTGCAGGACTCAATCATGCTCATGCTGAAGTAGATTCCACTCCCAGCATTCGCTCTGTGTTCCTCCGAAACAGCTTCTCTGCCAGTCCGGGTTCGTGGACGCAGAGATCCAAGCACCATTCTGTAAAAGGGCTAATGTCAACACCAGTAAAACGAGTATGCGGCCAGTCAGTAGCGTAGATCACTCGGTCGGGGGCGGCAGACAGGAATTCTCGGGCCATGGCCTTCAGGTCACGCATCCCAGCATCCTTGGTCAAACGGTAGGGGGCGGACACCTTGATGTAGGTGCTCCCAGTACGGATCAGGGAGATCAATGAGCTGAAGCCGGGAAGTGCGTATGGGTCAAAGGGAGATTCGTCCTTGTACAAGGATATGGGGGAAAGTTCGGGGCTGCCGAAGTGGTCGATGCAGAAAGTAACACCAAGATGAGGAACGATGGATTCGAGCATGGGGATCATCTTGAGAGGCACGTATACCTCGATCATCCAGTTACGGGGACGGGCAATATCGGCATGGCGTTTTAATGTTGCTTCCAACTCGCTTTGTTCCATGATCTTGCCAACTGACTGTAGGTTGACTCGTAAACCCCGGACGCCAAGGGTGTGCCATTCGTCTAGGGTCTCCTGGGTAATGGTATCAGGGTCAACAACCACGACAGCACGACCTCGAGAGGGGCCTAGTTTGGCCAGAGCAGCCAACATGCATGAGTTGTCGGTGCCGTAGATAGAGGGCTGCACAAAGACGAGGTTCTCGACTCCAATAGTCGACTCGAAGTTCAAGGCATCTTCTAGGGTATGGATAGATGGCTGGTATACAGCAGACTTCGAGATAGGAAACCGCTCTGGTTCCACGACATGCATATGACTATCCCATGATTTCAGGGGAACTCTTTGCTTGACAGGTAACTTGACAGGTGCAGCACCATGGGACGCACGACGATCAAATCGAGGCGAAGGGGCTCCCGTGAGAGAGATACGTGGAGGGCTCCCCAGAATTTGAGAAGGAGGCTGAGTTGAAGTAAGCATGGTGTCAACAAAGGTTGATATCGCACGTGAAAGGGCTTCAGGAAGGGACAAAAATGGAGAGAGAGGAGTGAAGCCTCTGGCATCCGCACTTACCGATGACCAGGCACTGATACAACTGGGTCTCAACCTCAGGGCAGTTCTGACCGGCAACATGCCGTCGAAGGGATCGGCCAACGTCCGTAGGGGCCTTCAAAGCAGGAAAACTTGAATCATCTAAAAAAATCTGCCGCGTGTTGTCCAACACGGTACGGACAACAGATCTGACCCACCCTGGCTATTGACAATTTATCCAGGGCGTGGGATGTAAAGGTGGTGTTTACTCGTAGACGGGAGGAGGATGCGGAAGTCGTCCGGGAGGCAGGCAGGCAGAGTAGCAGACCTATCCACCTCGGTGAATGGGCGATATCCGTTGCATATTTCACACTTCCGGCTAAAGTAATGACAACGATAAGGAGAAAAATGGTAGAAAAAAGGGGCGTTGCCGTCTAGCGGAGCCTTCTTATTGCGAGAACCACCCAGTGGATGCGGATACCACAGCGGCGTGATCCGACTGACGAAGCATGGAGTACGGAGTATACTCCATACATATGGTTATACAGTGCAGGGTACTTCCGGTGCACGAGGCACCCTGCGAACGGGTACGGGTAAGATGCAGGACGAATTGTATGCAGCCTAGACGAGGCTAAGGACTCGGCAGCAGATTCGATCGTCCAGGTGGGCAAAGTGGTGTGAGGGGGCAATTCTGGTTCGGATGTTGACCGAGTCCACTTCGCATTTGGACGGTTCCCACTTCTCCCATTCCCCCCGTGGAAAAAAGAGAAGAGAGCACGGGATGCCGAACCAACAGTGTGAACCTTAGCTGTGGCTCTGTCTCGCCCCCTTCAAATCCACTTCTCGTTCGAGTTGCTCCTTCGCAACCCACTCCTTGCCGTGATTTCCGCCCTTCCCCAGATTCTTCATCTACACCTCCACCATATCCTAATTAAAGGGATTTGGATTTGAGATCATAGATCATGCCATGGTGGGAACCAGCACGCTGGACTACTAGTCCCTACTACGCTCTGGTGGTCCTAGTCATCGCCTGTGGTGGTATTCCGAAAGGTTCGTTCATTCGCTCTTCTTATCATCGTACATCTTACTTCTTACTTCTTACGGTGTGGCTTCAAATCGGAGATCGTACGAGTAGATCCTGCGAGATCATGCAAGTCATTTATACACTGCTCAGCTCGCGTCCCTCGCGTCCCCAGTCATTCAAGTTTTCTTTCTTCTTTGCCTTTGCTTATAGCTAACCACCGATCGCTGTCTAGGTTATGATGAGGGTGGTTTTAGCGCAAGCGTCAAGCTCACCTCCTTTACCATCGACTATAATCTCGTCAAAGATCACTGGAAGAACGACGCGACCGGCTTAGCCAACCGTACGGCTAACATCACCTCGTTCAATGTCCTGGGTGCTGCCTTCGGCGCGCTTGCTGGTCTAGATCTGAATGATCGCCTCGGGCGTCTTTGGTCGTGGCGACTGGCCGTGATCGTGTGGGCGATCGGAACACTGATCCAGATCTTCTCCTCTGGCATATATGGCCTGCTCCTTTTCGCCCGAATCTTCGCGGGTCTGGGTGCCGGCCTATTAACCGTCACCTCACCCCTGTACCTGTCGGAAGTGGCGCCAAGGAAGACGCGAGGTCTCGCCGTCAGTCTTTACATGGTGGTCCTGCTATTGATCCTCGCCGTCGGTATGTCTTTGTTTCCTCAATCTGCAATCTCACCACAACACAACACAACACAACACAACACAACACAACACAACACAACACAACACAACACAACACAACACAACACAACACAACACAACACAACACAACGCTAATACGACTTCGCACTAGGTTTCTTCATCAATTATGGCGCCAATCTCCACATGCCCGCCACGCGCACCCAATATCGCCTAGTCCAAGCCATCCCTCTCATCCCTACCGGTATCGCCTTCTTCCTCTCCTGGCTGTGCCCGGAGAGCCCTCGCTACCTTGCCTCGAAGCAACGCCATGAGGAGGCAAAGGAGGTCTTGGCGCGCCTTCGCGGCAAGTCAGTCGACGACAAAAGCGTGGTGGATGAATTCGAGGAGATTGACAGCCAGGCCCGGGAGCGAGCAGACCTCAAATCCATCTCTCACTGGAACGCTTTCAAAGAGTCACAGACCAATCCTAACTATCGTCAACGATTCTGGCTCCTCATGACCATGCACACGATCGCTCAGTGGACTGGTGGAAACGGTATTACTTACTACGTCACGACCATCTTTACGTACGCCGGTGTCGATGGTGCCGACCAGTCGCTCATTTCCTCGGGTGCGTATGGTATCGTCAAGCTTGTTTTAACCATCGCCTTCACCTGGGGCTTGATCGATTATTTCGGTCGTCGTCGCTGCACAATGACTGGACTAGCCCTGCAGTTGGCAGCGCATATCTATATGGGCGCCTATATGGGACTGCAGCCAGGTTCTGCCGACAACAAATCTGCCTCGGATGCAGCTATTGCCTCTGTTTTCATTTATGCCGCCGGCTGGTCGATCGGTCTTTGTACAGTTCCTTATCTCTACGGCACGGAGATCTTCCCCACCCACATCCGCAACACGTGCTACGCCATCAGTATGGGTCTGCATTGGTTCTTCCAGTTCGCCGTCGTCCGTGTCACTCCCAACATGTTCGCCAACTTGCACGTCTGGGGCGCTTACCTCTTCTGGGCCATCATCTGCACCCTCGGACTCATCATCTTGGGTATCTGGATGCCCGAGACCAAGGAGTTCCCATCGAGAAGATGGATGAATTGTTCGAAGGCCCTTGGTATCTGCGCTGGAAGGCCAAAGTTGGCGAATCCGATGTGTCCTCCGAGTCAGCAGATACCATCGCCTCCCAGGAACATGACCAAAAGGTGTTCCGTGAGCGCGACGCTAAGGCTGTCCACGAGACAAGCGGCTAAAACCAACGAATCCGCAATTCATCGGTTCGCTGTGATATTTCCAGCAACCGACTTCTGAACTCACTGGATGGACAACAATACCCCAATTTCTACGGACGTCCATTTACAATTTTTCTAATCTTCTCAACACCCTCGATCTATACGGCTCGTCTTTCTCCTACATTTTTGTGACGGATGCTCGGTGTATAATTTTATATAAACCCTTTTCACACTCTTGTATTAATTCTGCGTCGGATGACTCCGCACATACCTTTTGCACAAAAGCTTCAGAACAGCATATAACAACTTAAAACATACAAACATGCATATGCACTTGTGTTGGACTCAGGTCCAGCAAACACTTTATTGAAAGATTTCCGTGCTCCTTTTGATTTTGACGTAGAAGTTGCAGAGACTGTACGTAGTACAATGTACTAATGAATGAATTTTATATACGCCAACGAATTGTCAAACTATAATATTCCGATCCGTCGCTAGATTTTTGTCACAAAACAAATATAAACAAAAGTCTCAACGCTATTGGGAATCATCAAGTAGAAGAGAGGGGAAAGTAACCAAGATCTCGATATAAACGCTTTTCATTTTAACCCTGGCCCGGCCAGCTCGTCTCAAACGAAGCCATATTGGTCGTAATGGGCTGGGCATACGAGAATGCCTCGAAGACCTCGGGGGTAATCTCGTATGAGCCAGGGTCATCCACTGTCATTACAGCATTCGGCATACCGCCTAGGAGGTGTGTTGCTGGCATCTGGGGCATTTCGCCCATCTGTGACAGGTCGAATCCTGAGACAGCCTGTTGCTGGTAAGGGCTGTATCCGGGCATCATCGAGGCGGATGTATTTGATGCCGCTGTGTTTGGTTGAGTGCCCATGGTGGCACGGCTCTGTTGGCGCTGGTGCTGTTGGCCCGGAGAAACATGGCGGGAGGGATTGCTTCCAACCGAAGGGGATTGACTTGATTGGGTTCTGGAGGGAGGTGTTGGTTGTTGAGGTTGAGGTTGTTTGGAGTCGGCGGGGGCAGGGGCACTGATGCCAATGTCGATTTGGAGTTTTTGGATCTCTTGGTAGAGTAGGTTGAGAGCGGTTGTGATGACAGGGTTGGAGATCTTAACACGTTCCAGGGCGAAGATGCAGAATTTCAACTTATCCAGAGTACCCGGCGCGGCGTACTTGAGCGCTTGAATTTCAAGGAGGAAGATAGAGGCTGCTGTGTAGATGCTGTATGCAAGCGACAAGACAACGTGGTTGTCACCGAATGTTCTGCGATAAAGATCGAATAACGATAGGATTGAGGTTGCAGAAGACATGCACTGGACAAGGTGACTTGTGTCATATGATTCTTGATTAGTCTTCAATAGGCCCCTGGAGCATAAAATCGGACGATGGAGCAGGATATTGACAGTATGGTATAGGCAGCTGGGTTAAATATGAAATTAGCAAAGTACCAAGGGCTCCGACAGCGAGACAAACATACTTAAGTGTCATTATGTGGCTTGGAGGACAATAAGGAGGCAAGTCGGTGGCCACCAACTTCAAGTACTCGGGAAGATCATCCCACCAGTCACTCAGGTTTCTGGACTGCTCTTGCACACAGTCGAAGAATTCTGCCTCGGTGCTTTGTCGCATGGGATCATATATATGAATTAATATTTGATTGAGGACTTCCGCTAGTCCACACATCCTCATGAAGCATGAGGTTGAATGGGCTTGTGTAGGTGGGTAGTGTGCCCCATCGGGGAAGGTCACGCCATGCGGCGTCCATATTTCAATTTCAGACGTATCATCCACTGTAAAGCTGTTAGCAATAGTTACCGGTAGTCATCATCCAGATGCAAACCCACATATCATGCGTGGCGGGCTAACGCGAGAATGTTGCATCGTAGGTGCCCGTCCAAAGTATAGCGAAACGATCTTATCCCAGAAATAACAGCTCCAGAAGAGTCGATTACGGATCTCAATATCCTCATCGCTGAGCTGTACTGCTCCGGGGTATTTGCGACTATCAATTGAGATGCCTAAATCATCGAGTAAACGGAAGGCCATGCCGCTGTAGAGCCAAGCCTGTGTCCGATTGCCACGACCGCATTCTTGGGCACTGAGAAGGAGTAATGTTTGGATCGTTGGGATGCCCGCATATCCAACCTTGAGCGAGTCGTGGAGTCCTGAGACTGCACGCTGATAGAATTGTGCACCGCCGTCGAATGCGTCCAATAATGGGCCGATTTGTGGTTCAGCTTTGCACCATCGTACCGAGTGGGAGAGCAGGGCGTTCATTAGGATATCGGAGTAATAAGGTCCTTGAATTTTCATATCACCTATGCACTTGGATCAGCATCGCTCTCCAAAACGGGGATCTTCACTAGACAGGGACACAAACGTGTAAAGGCTGGGCGGTAGACAAAATTGAAAAGTGGCTGAATCCAGCACCAATGGGAATCGAGAAGATATTGAAAAGGCTCCTGCACGTCATCAGTCTCGCATCCCGATCAAAGCTTCGGCATTTAAATCTCACCGGCATTGCAGCCATCTGCTCAAAGGCCCGTTCTCGCCACGCACTGTTGACCAGCCGCTCCTTGCGAGCCTCCATTTCCTGGGCAAAGTGTGAGGTGGAGGCGGTCTCGTTGACCACTCCGCTGGGCAGCTGAAACAAGCTCGTGGGGCCATGGAAAGAGATCCGACCATCATTCTCAACATTGAGGCCATCGAAATTCCTGGTGAGATCCTGGGTATCATCGTTCTCCGTCTTAATCTTGCGTCCGGCGCTGGAACTGGACTCCGCCACCGAGGCCGGCGAGCTGACCTTGCGCGCATCCACATCGGATTGCTGTTTGGCCAGAGCGTCTTCTAATTGAGCAACTCGAGTTTCAAGTTGTTTGGTATATGATAAGGTAGGGGCTCTGTTGGGGTGCCAAACAAAAGTGGGGGGAAAGGATAAATCAGCCACCAAGCCTTTTTGGAAATCGACTACCGCCCCGAGGAGAGGGGAGTGAGAGGGAGAGGGAGAAGGAGAAAGAGAGAGGCAACTCACAAGCTGTACACGCACACTTCACCTCGAGCGGCACATCGTGAACATGACGGACTAGCTCCGTTGCATTTGACCTGTCAGGATGATCGAATCAGTACACAGGAAGCTCCCTAGCCTTCGGGGGCCCTATAGGGCACCGCATCTCGGACTCTGGCCGATTCTCCGCTCACCTTGCGCTTGCGACAGGCCTCGCACGAGAAAGCACTCTTCCGCGGTAAAGCAGACTTGGACGACATGTCAGCCATGTCTGAACCCTCGACGACCATTGGACGTTCACGGGGCGTGTAAGAGACACGCGACCCCCATTGAAAGACTGGGGGGAATAGGAGTAGAATTGAGGGGTTGGGGAGAAGGGAGGAAGAAGGTCGAAATTCTTGGGGGGGCGCGCGCGAGTAGAACGTGGGGCGTTGGGCAATCGCGGGGATAGGCAGAGAGAGGCACAGAAAGAGAGAAGCAGTTTTTTTGGGTTATAGGATTTCACAGTGGACCTTTCTTTCGATACTAGCCTCCTCAGTGGTCGTGTTTGAGAGAGAGAGATTATGATTTTAACTCTACTAGTGATTGACGTCGGATCAGGTCAGTCCGGGTTAGTGTTAGTGTTAGACCAGCTAAGCAGTTGAACGGATCCGCCTCAAGGGAAATCTCGACGAGCAGCCAATAACACTCGATTGGCGGAAACTCGGTGGCTCCATCGAATGCGGCGATATTCCTCACTGAGTGGCAATCCACTTCTCTCGTTGGGTACTCTCGCCGGATCCACTTGCTTCTAGCGGGACTTTCGACCTCTCGACAGGGATTCTATGGTGTGATCGATCGAGATTGATAATCATCTTCATGCCGCATTTAGCTATTGCTGATAGTGGTTGAAGTGGGAAATGGAACTACTAGTGCCAGTGGTTTTGATATGTGCGATCTATACAGCTTAATGCCCCGATAGTACATACAACATCTAAATGAAAATGAAAATGTTAAAAGAGATGGGGACTCTTCATGCCCTTATTTTCTGCCCTTTCCTTTACCCTTGCCTTTACCCTTGCCCTTATCCTTGTTGCCCTTGCCATTCGTCTTGGGCGCATCTCGCTCCGACTTGCTCTTCTTCCGTCCAATATCTCCTTCGTGACGCATCTTCGCATCGTCTAATCGCTTCTTGTCCTTGTTGCTGAGCTTGATCTTGTCCTTCTTCGTCGGGGCGTCAGGGGGTCCGTTCAACTCCGCACGACCCAGCTTCTTCGCCGTGCGTTTCTCCTGCTCACTCTCGAACCAGGTACGCTTGGGTCGCGACATGATCTCCGAGCCATGCTTCATCAGATTCTGTCCCTTGGTGACTTGCATTTCGGCTTGGGCCATCTGCTTCTCAACCTTCTCCTCTTCAAGAACCTCTTCGACCTCATCGGCGAGATCGGCCGCCTTCTGAGCCCAATCATCTGCAATGGCCATTTCGACAACACGACTGATAATCTTGGCGCCCTGCGCCTTACCGGCCTTCACGGCGGCCTTGACAACCTTGCGGTCGGGCTCCGCCGCGATCGTGCAAGCACAACCGGATCGACCAGCACGGGCGGTACGACCGACACGATGCAGGTAGATCTCGTGGCTCTGTGGGGCCTCGTAGTTGATCACAGTCTCCACGCCCTTGATATCAAGACCACGGGAGGCCAAATCAGTAGCTAAGAGGAAAGCGACCTTGCCATCACGGAAGTTTTCCACACTTTTGATACGCTGGATATTCTGTCAGTATAATTGCCTCGTATAGAAAGGATACGGGAAATCTGTAGAGCATACCTGTTCTTGACTCATGCTACCGTACAATTCAGCGGCCTTGAGTCCCAAGAGTCCGAAGATAATGCGTACTCGGTGAACCTCCTTCTTTTGTCGGAAGAAAATGATCACTCGTCCGGTATAGAGCTCCTTGCACAGATGCAGAAGATATCCAAGCCGCTTATCCTCACGGCCAGGGCGTAGACGAACAAACTCCTGGGTCAGGGTCACAGCGGTTTGCTTCTTGGCATCGACTTGCAGTCGCATTGGACGGTTCATTCCAACGCGGATAAGCTTGTCGATAGAGTCGGTCATGGTGGCAGAGAACAGCATAGTCTGTCGGGACTTGGGGATGGTGGTGAGAATCTCATTCAACTCATCGGCGAATCCATCTTCCAGCATGCGATCGGCTTCATCAAGAACCAGAATCTCCAGGGTATCAACTGTAAAACTAGGGGAGTTACGCATGTGATCGATGAAACGACCAGGGGTGGCGATGATCACATCGGGGCGCTTCTTCAAGATGTTTTCTTGCTCGCGAAGACTGAAACCACCAACAAGCTGACAGAATGTGACATCGGTGAAGGTAGCAAGCTTGATAGCGACATTGTAACACTGGACCGCCAACTCACGAGTAGGCATCAAGATCGTAACACGACTTGTAGGGGTCTTGCGAGGACGGAAGAGTAGACGTTCGAGGATGGGGACAATGAAAGCGCCCGTCTTTCCGGAACCCGTCACGGCACTACCGACAATATCCTTGCCCAGAAGTGCCACCGGGATGGCCTTTCGCTGAATAGGTGTAGGGTCCGTGAAGCCAACGGAGGCCAAACCACGGAGAATGGGACGAGAGAGGTTGAAATCTTGGAAGGTGCTCTTGGCGGACGCTGCGGCGGTCTTTTCGTCGGTCTTCTCTTCGGGAGCAAAGAAGGCCTTGCGCTTCTCTTGCTCTTCCTCGTCCACTTCGCTCTCGACATCGGAGTCTCCATTGACATCGCCTCGGTCGTCAGGGTGGCCAACGGGGGTAGCGACGGAGTCGTTGTCAGAAGCAGCATCATCGTCGGAGTCTTCAGCTTCTTCTTCTTCATCGTCATCGCTGTCTTCAGGGCCAGAGCCAGGTTCCGGGCCTTCAGCTTCGCTTTCCTCCTCCTCGCCATCGACGCCCATGCCGAATCCATCCTCGGCCAGGAGCTCATCGTCGCCAAAGTCCACGTCCATGCCACCCTCGGCATCTTCGTCATCAGACACGTCGCTTTCTTCTTTTTGGGCAGCGGCCTTCTTTTGCTTCTTCGCTGCAGCCGCTTCCTTCTTGGCGTTTCGTCGTGTGATAATATCGTCAATATCAACCGCCTTCTTATCACCACCATTCTGTTTGGCGTCATCCAAGCCCCAGCCATCGAATCCTTCTGTGATGCCGACATTGGCAACACCGCCAACGTCAAACTCGAATTCGGGGTCCAACGCGCCATCATCGTTACCAACACCCATTCCTTCCTCCTTTTCTTCTTCCTCCTCTTCCTCCTCTTCAGACTCGGGCTCAACGACCTTGCCCTTCTTGCCCTTCACATTCTTGGCTTGTTGCTTTTGTTTCTTGCTCTTATCCTTAGAAGTTTCGGTTTCGCGCTTGCGTTTCTTGTTGTCGCTGGAAGATTCTTTGCCCTCGGGCTCGATCTCTTCATCGTCATCGAAGCGTGGGATATCTTCGTCGTCGGACAGCGTGAGAACGAAATCGTCGTCCTGAGCGGCGCTCCGTTTTGTCGGTTTGGGAGCCATGGTGAATGTGTGATCGGCGACCAGGTTCAATTCCGTAGAAGTAGACTTCGGAATCTCTCTTGGAAGGAATTAAACAGAACCCAATTCCCAGTCAACCTGCGCAAACCGTCGGAGGAAATCTTGATCAATATTTTGCAGAAAAAAAAAGTTCCTAGGGCGGTATGGGCGGTAGCATTTGATGACTAAGTTCTGATCAACTAACTAACTACTACACTCAGCAGGTCTCCTCCAGAGAGAAATCCAACGGTTCAATTCAATCCTTTTTTTTTCTTCCCTATGCAGAATTTCGAATTGAGGGATCTTTTAAGTTGTTGAATTGGAATATTAGGATCGTATTTACGAACATTTTGTTAGGGTATCTCCTTTTCCTCCACGCAGCTTAGCAACGCAAGTCCTCTTTTGCGCCAACAGGAGTAGGCTCAGAAACATCTAGATCAGTTGAACGAAGGCTTTCGGTCTGCTGAAATACTAGTCTCAAAACTAAGGATACTGATTGAACGACTGATATGACGGATGCTTCCTTAAATTCGCCTGAACTGACTAATGACCGAACTGTTGACCGACTAACTAGTTGGAGTATCCCTCACATCTGTTTTATCACCTTTCTCAATTTCCATCGTCCCATCGACTTTTTTGGATTTTGTCTTGTTTTCTCTCTCTTCATTCTTTGCCGCATCGCATCATCGCATCATCGCATCATCACATCATCACATCATCACATCACCGCATCACCGCATCACCGCATCATCGCATCGCCTGTGTTGCTCACTTCAAGATTCCAGAGGTCAAAGGGGTCTAGGGCAAATTGGTCTCAAGCGAAATCCCCATGACTGATCAAAACACGTGCAAAATCAGACCACAAATCCCCCTTTGCCGATCTGGGGATTACCGGAGCAAACTTCTCGAGAAAGCAGCCACATATTGAGACTAGATGATAATGGTCAGCATCGAGCTAAGGGAATCATTAGGATGAAAGACAAACACTTACCGGTGGCCAAACTTCACTCTGCCATTCTTGATATGACACAAGTTTTCGAACTTGAACCTCCTCATAAGCCAGCTTCTGATCCATCGGTATTTGCTCTCCTTCGGGGGATCATATGCGATGGCAAAAACCAAGCGGCTGAGATTGCACTGGTAGCCATCACCATACTTCAACTCACCCTTTGGTATGAACTCATAAGGGCGGTAACCATCGGGGCGCTGGTTGATATCACAAGTACGCATGATCATATCAACTAGCCCGGTTGCAATATGAAGTTTCTTGCATGTGTGGTCCACGAAGACTCGAACCTCCCCAGTCGCCGGCTCGTCATTGAATCGTTTGACATAGGCAAACCCGAGGATCTCGGGCTCGTCGGGTCGAATCTCATGGACATGGACTCTTCTGTCTGGAACTGCAACAATGAAAGGCAGGTTCCGCTCACGACAAGTCTGGATGATGCGCTGGATCGCAGTTTGGCCGATCGGAGTTGTACTTGCAACAAAGGTTGTATTCTCTGCGTACCAGTTGAACAGAGGAAGAAGATTTTCGGCATCCGAGGGTTCTCCAGGGCGGAGAAGAAGGTAATGATGAAGCCGTTGTGTCCCTGGCCCCAGAAAGCCTCGGGTTTCCAACGCTCTTTGCGATTCCCGGATCTGAATCCTGGCTTTTTCCTTCATCTGAGTTCTGACGTTCCAGATGTATCCGGCGGATGTCTCATGCCAATGAAGGCGAGTCTGCTCATCCTCGGTAACTCGTTCGCAAATACCATGCTTTTCTTTCATGATCATCATCGCAGCACCGCCATCCGGGGAGGCAGTTCCGTCGAAGAACGCAGCGTGATAGATATCCACTGGGTGGCCTGAGCTTGGGAGATTGGCGACCCACTTGAAGAATTGTTCGCGAAACCATGTCGGATCATAGTGGTTTGAAGGCCAAAAGCCCCAGTTGGACTTAAAGTCGTGCTGTTCGTAAGCCTCCGGATTCTTGACCTTGGATGGCATTGGCTGGTGGTCATAGCTGCCTCCAGGGGGTGAGGAACTCATCGAAAGTACCCCATTGGTGATTTTGGGATACATGGGAGAGGACGCTTGGTATGCAGTCCATTGACCATGGTACTCGGGAGTACCAACTCGCTTTCGCTTCCAAGCTGCATCGAAGTCCATTTTCAACTCGTCGTCATCATCTGGAATGACTGTTTCCGGCTGACTCTCTTGGGCTTCGGTTTTGGCAGCAAGGCGAGGATGCGCGAGCTTCCGATAAACCAGGTCGTCGATTTTTGTTCCCGGCCCGATTCTCGCTTTTCGGAGTTCCTCTGGGTCAAGGCAGTTTTCACGGATGCTTGCGCAAGGTCGATGCTCACGAGCGTCTTGGGTGATGTTTTTATCCGCCCATCGGCTGATTTCGGCCAAGGTCAGAGGTTTCCCATTTCGAGGTGGATTCAGCTCTGCGACCTCATTAATGGCCTGCTTGAGTTCGCTCCTCTCTTTGTCGAGTCGAGTTTGAGAGAACTGAACGAGCTCTCCACGAGGGGCGACGGCGTCAGCGTCGGATCCGCTGTCCGAGCTCGTAAGATGGCGCATGTCCTCCCCCATGGGCACAAGACTGCCAGTGTAGCCAGTCATTTTTTCGAAGAAGACAGAGGGAGAAGCTACTCCTTCAATGACCAGATAGTCAGAATCTTCTGGCGGGGTCTTCTCTCCCTTGGGGCGCGCATCAGTCTTAGAGCCAGTCATATCGAGGAAGGTGACGAGAACTCTGAGGAACTGGGACTTCTCAGCATGCTTTCTTTTAAGTCGATGAGAACCGCATCCCCTTCAATATGAGGCGCAGGTAAGTAAGTACCTTGGTCAAGAAGAGTGAATTTGGAAGGGGGTTTTTCACGTCGTTTGAGTCTTTGGTCTTGACTCTGTCGTGACAATGAAGAATGCTGTGTCTACTATGGCTCACGGCCAAGGTAGATCACCTCACGATCGACCTCGTGAGCACTTTCGTGAGCACTTCAAGATTCAAGAAGAGTAGATATGGGGTCAAGATGTGCAGGGAAACGAGAATGGAGAGCAGATATCGGCAAGCACGATAACTTAAAAGGGTTTGGAAAGTGGGATAGGATGTAGAAGAAAAGGTCGTAGAGAAGGAAGGTAGGGGAGAGGAAGATGTTGGCTCAAAAGTGAGGTGAACGGTGAATGTAGATGCGCCGTGTGTATAGGAGCAAGAGTGCGTGGCATCAAGGTGCGGCCCCCCCCAAATTGGATTTTATAGATCCGAGATCCATCTGGTTGAATCGGTGTCTCTGCACCCAATTAGTCGAGCGACCGTCTTTAAATTGGCTATTGGCAATTTATATGGTCTATTAATAAAAGTATTAGCAAAAGATACATATTCTGATGAATATAAATGGGTTCAAAGACTAGATGAGAGTGTATAATTCATGAAGGTCCGGTCTGGCTGTTATGGCGTGCACGCAAAACCCCAGGAACTTTTCCCACCTCCCACCACCGGCTTCCTCCTGCAAGATCTGAACAGCCCAGGAACCACCACCGCCATGCTGTCTATTCTCAGGAAAGCACGATTGAAGGATAAAGAGATGCGGATATTAATGCTGTGAGTCCATTTTCGAGATATTCAGGGCTGTACTGATCACGATGGCTCCAGGGGGGTTAGACAATGCGGGAAAAACGACGATTGTGAAACGAATTATGAAAGAAGACGTCACCTCTGTTAGCCCAACCCTGGGCTTTATCATCAAAACAATTGAATTTATGGAGTGAGTCCCTTCTCCAGACATCCCAGCACGATCGGACACAGGAATCACCAATGGACTAACCATATGCAGATACAAACTCAACATTTGTGAGCACCATCGCCCTCCCCAATCACCATCACCATCACCACCCGGCTAATTATGAACAGGGGATGTGGGCGGGCAGAAGACATTGCGCTCCTACTGGAAAAATTACTTTGAAAAGACTGACACATTGGTCTGGGTCGTCGATGCCACCGATAAACTCCGGGTGGACGACTGTCGTGAGGAGCTAGCTGGTCTGCTTCTGGAAGAGGTAAGCCCTCTGTCCACCACTATTGCCATCCTCAGGACTAATTCCCCGCCAGCGACTCATGGGAGCTAGTCTCCTAGTTTTCCTGAACAAAACCGATGTGGAACATTGCATGACTGAGGAGGAGGTGCGTGAGGTGAGTGATGGCATCATGATACCGGTAGAACCGGTAAAGACCGGCCAGCCTTGAGACTGACTTACTGCAGCGCCTTGGTCTGGATTTGATCAAAACCCATAAATGGACTATTCTCCCCTGCAGTGCCATGACCGGTAAGAACCTTCACGAGGGGTTGGAATGGGTTGTACAGGATGCGAAGGACCGGTTATTCCTATATTAGTCCGTTCATCCCCGGGTTGGATTGAGATGCATTGATGATGGCAGCTACTCGGAGGCAGTTCCTCATGAGTCTCCAATAGCATACTACTACGATATACTAGTATATTATCTGTTCCTTGCTTGCGCTGTATTTTACCATGGTCACGGTCGACTGGTGCCCCCCCCCACGGTTGGGTTTCGATTTTGTCAGGAGCTAGAAACTTCGATGTGGTGTAGCACGAGCTGAAGCATGCTTGTTGAACTTGAATTTCGGGGGTTTAATCACCAAATTCAGAAATAGTACTAGTATTTCAACCTTGGAAGGTTCAACTTGAAGTTGCCATTTGATGCGGTTGGCGCACTAGTCGTACAGAGTCGCCAAAAATATATCCCGCAGGCTCAGGCAGTTCAAACTTGGAACTTGAAGTTCCAAGATATCTCCGATCATAGAACCAAGACCAAATGGTATACTACTACTATTAGTCCACGGGTGCATAGTACTAGTAAGGGAGCAGGATTTGATTTTTCCCCGAAGTCCCTGAAATTGAAGCTATCCCACTACTCCTAGTACTGGATATCTGACTGCCGGGCCATTTTTCTGCATGCCGCACCAAACCCTTCCGAAGGTATCCCGCTGCAAGGCACAAAGTGATAGGTCGATCCTGCACCTCTAGTCCCGGAGAAAACGACAAATCAATTGTCCTGCGAATTTGCCCCTGGTGAACCAAAGGACCCCATCGCCCCCCCCAAAAAAACTCAGAACCGGAATTCTTGATGGCGGCCCATGGGTCCAGCAGTTCGTTCTGCGGGGCCCGAGTGGATGGCGGAAGTAAACAAACAACCGTGTGTACTACTAGTCCAAATGGTTAGTTACTACTGCTGCGGCTGCGGCTCGAATGGAGAATCATACTAAACAAGAATAATCAATTAAACTAAATTAATCAATCGTGAATACATGTAAATATATATATATAATTTCCTCGTGATATAACTAAAAGTCAAATGCATACAGTAGTTGTCGAGAGTTGAACGAATGTGGGATGATCATCGGAGCCAATGGCTTGCGATGGATCTTGACTATCCCCATTTAATTTAAGCAGGGCGGAGAACACACCTCAGCCCTCAGCCCTCAGCCCTTGCACCTGATTCTTCCCCGTCAACCACCCCTCGTCTCTCTCCAGGTCTCCCCTTCCCTTGAACACTTGGGAAGTTGACCGGCACGGAATCATGACGACGAACCCCGACGGTTCTGAGGATGTCAATGACTTCCTCTCGCGCATCCGCGAACTCGGTGAAAAGCGCGACACCGAAGACGAAGAGCGGACTAAGAAGCTCGAGGAGGAGATCCTCCAGGGGCGCAAGGAACGACAAGCCCGTCGTGCTGGTACGATCTTCCCCGACTTCTTGCAGTTTTCACTTGCAGATGCAGACCTTGTCGACATCGACGGCGCGCTCGCTCGTTCTACGCTGACCGCAGCTGGCCCGCCCCGCGCCGCAATGGACTGGTGGACCCCACACATGACGCCCATGATACTAATGTCTTGGTGATGCTAGAGCGAGCACGATCCATCGCCGGGTCTCCTACTTTGAATCCCTCGAGACTGAGCGCCTCTTCCCTTGGTCAACCCTCGATCGAGCCCCCCGAGCACCTGGAGCCGACGGTGCAGACCCAGGACCCCGACACCGCCACAGCGGACACGGCTAGAGTGGGCCACGAGCGAAATGCCTCCGAGTCCAGCTCGCGACGCGGGTCAGTTCAGGAGGTAGGACTTGAGTCTCCGACCCGAACCATGCCCACCCTGTCGCGCAGCCGAACGGGGACCTTGTCATGGCAACAACGCCCATCGTCGCGAGACCTTGGGAACAGATCCCCCGGCTCGACTTCTCCGACACGATCCAGTCATTTGAGAAACACCTCTACAGCATCCGATCAAGACCGGCTGTCTCGTGCCCAGTTTCCCCAATCACTGTCCTCGAAGGATCCCTCATGGTTTCGACAGAGCCCAGATCGAGGTGCAGACTCACCGGCCCTCCGAAAAACCGAACATGATTCAGAAGGCGTCGCTGACCCAGCCGAAAGTCGTCAACTGCCAGGTCTGAGTCGGGATTCCACAGTTGAACCAGACCGAGCTGAGGACGCAACTCCCTCTCCCCCAAGAACCGCTTCCACAATTGGCGAGAGCAGCTTTCATAACCGATTTTCGAGTGTCTCTTCAGTATCACCAGCGACTGGATTGGGTTCTCCGGTTACACTACCAGAGGCACCAAAACTTGACCCCACCCAAACCGAGGCATCAACCGACGAGCCAGTACCTGCATCCCCCACCCAGCGGCGAATGTCACCAGAGCGATCTCGATCATCCTCGCCAACAAAGGGACTTGGCGGTTTCGTTCAGAGTGCAATGATGAGGAGATCGGACAGTGTATCGAAGCGATGGAGTACACAACTTCCACAGGGGCTGAGCCGAAGTAATTCTATTGTCTCAAATCGCAATAGTGTTGCGGCTCCAAGTTTGACTGCTAGTATCAGTGATATGACCCCAACAACCAACTCACGAGTGAGTCGTGAATCATCGCCCGTGCTGAACCAACGTCCTGGCTCGAGTCACAGCGAGGTGACAGTGGTGCACCCAAAGGAGTCTACCGAGAGGCCTACAACCCCTTCAAATCCGGGGCCTAACGACAGTGGCCGCCTAGATGCTAGCCCGAGTCGACCAGCTCTCTACGGCCATGCCCGGTCTACAAGTTCTATGACCATCGATAGCCAGAATACCGAGGGTCCCTCAAGCCCTTTCACCTCGAGGACAATGGATCCCAAACGATGGAGTCCCCAGAAGGCCTCATGGTTGGAAAGTGCCTTGAACCGACCCCCCGAATCCCCCAAGCACCAGCGACAGCCATCGCAGCCGGCCTGGCAGAGAGAAAGACAATCAAGGGGCAGTGTCGATCTGAGTCGTTTCAAGGAAGTGACCCCTATTGGCTTGATGCGGACGCCTCTCCCCGGAGGTCATTTCAAAAAGCCCAGCCTTTCAGGAGCCCCGTCAGCTCTTGGTAGTCCCACTGCACCCAGGTCGAAGGAGGCAATTCCCACATCACCCACTGTTGACGCAGACGAAAAACTGTCACCAACCAAACCAGAGCCAGTGGCCGAGGAGAGAATGGCATCTTCTGAGCTCACGCCTGAGCCCGAGAAGGAAGAACCAGTGATCGGGCCCACAGCTGTACTTGAGCCTCAAAGTCAGCCTGAGCCTGAGCCTGAGCCCGAATCGCAACCTGAAACTGAACCCAGCTTTGTACCTGAGCCTGCTCTTGAACCTGCTCCCGAAGCTGTACCTGAAGTAGCGCCCGAATCAGCAGCTGAATCTGCCCCGGCCCCAGAACATACACTTGAGCCCCAGCCAACTCGCAAGGCAGCACCCCTCACTTTGAATCCCAAGCCAAACTTTTCGCTCCCTTCGCGAGATCCAATGTCACCTCGAATTGCCAAGCCGCCGCAATCACCAGTTGTTGATTTCCGAGCAAACTTACGAAAACGAGAAGTTGCCAAAGACACTGGGCCACAGAAGGAGCCAGAGTTCAAGAACGTATTTGGCAAGCTTAAGAAGACCGAAACTCGCAACTATGTTGCTCCAGATGAGCTCAAGGGCAACATTATGCGGGGCAAGGCTGCTCTCAACGTGACCGGTGGACCCAAGAGAACCGAACGGGTTGATGAGTTCAAAGACAGTCTTGTGAAGCAAAAGGAAGCGATGAAGGCTGGAGGGGGATCGATCAGACGGAATACCGTGGGAAAAGATGATGAGCCTGAGAAACCTGCTACCGATGTGCCAGAGGCCATTGCAAAGCGCCATCTGATGAACAGAACCAATAGCATCAGGCCAACCAGTCCTGAAAAGAGCTTCGCCGCGCCTCGTGGGCCGCCGCCTGTATCCCCATCTTCCACTGCAGGAGAGGTCGACGCGGTCCAAATCCCTTCGCCAATAAAACGCGAACCCATGACAATTGATAGGGAGCCGCATGCTATTTCAACACCAGTAGCCCAAGATTCTACGACGGAAGAGTCGAGTTCTGCTGTGGAGGTGGATGATGTGCCCTCTGCAGATGCAACTAGCCCGGCTCGTGGCCTGCCACCACTGAAAAACACAGAGACTGCACCGGCAGTCAGTTTGTCTCCCAGTTCAGCCCCTAGAGGGAAACTTGCAGGCCGTATCAATCCTGCACTAGCTGCTCTCCTATCCCGGGGTCCTCCAGTCGTGACTGAGGAGCCGAGGAAGGGGTCAGTATCTGTCTCAAATTCAAGTGAAACTTCAACCCCACCGTTCACGCCTCTCGCCCATATGACAAAGAGTCGCGCTAAAGGTCCTAAAAGACGGCTTCCCAAGGGGACCGCTGCTTTACCTGAATCATCCGCTCAGGACACTAAGGAGGTTGGTGCAATTTCATCTCCCGAAGTCACAAGCCCAGAGACCGCTCCTGAGCCTGTAGTCTCAGAAGCCACGTCGAAGAGCCTGTCAGAAAACACCTTCGTTCTCAATACTGAAAACGCCCGAACAGAGAGCCCCCCTCGACAAGCCCCTACCAGCCGTAGCTTCCAGCTTCCAGAATGCTCTCAACAGCGGACTGCAACAGAGGCTAAAGAACACTCCCCCGTCTCCCGTTTCCACGGGAGGGCCCGACATCTTTGCACCTAGTGAAAAAGAGAATGCAACCCTCACTCGAGATATGGAATCGCCTGGAGCTGTTAGCCCGCTCAGTCGGCCCCCCGTCCCGCCAAAGCATATCACATCACCCTCACCTTCCCCATCGCCATCAACACCTGCACCAAGGCCACAGTGGGCGCAACAAGCGCGCTATGCTTCGACCTCCCCATCACCACTTAGGACGAGCTATGGTGAGAACCGAATGGAAAAGCCGCAGCCGCCAACACCAACGTACAAGAACATACCCGGGGTAACGGTTGCAGATTCTTCGCCCAGATCTAGTGGGCAATATTCTCCTCCAGTCCCTCGCAAGCGGTCCGACATCTCTCTCGACAAGCCTTCTGATCCGCATCGACTATCACGAAAGATGTCCGCGCCGTCATTGGTTGCGCAAGCGGCGGATGCCCACGAGATCATTAAGCAATTCTTTAAGACGTTCCCTAACCCCCGAGACCGAATGGATATCGATCCACAGCTTATGTTGATGGAAAAAGCCGACTCTTCAGTGGTCAGAACCATGAAGCGTCAAATCTGGGAACTCACTGGCGATGGAAAGCGTCAAGAACTGCCAGTCAACCAGGAGTATGTGCTGTACGAGGGAAGCATGTATTTATGTGTACATCTGTTCGAAGCGCAGAACAACAAGAACTCGGAAGTATATCTCTGGTGTGGAGACGATGTTCCCGAAGGTGCACAAGATGATGCGCAGCTTTTTGCTCGCAAAATCGCCCGCGAAAATGGCTGCAAACTCGAGGTCATTCGTCAGGGCAGAGAACCCATGCGATTCATACAAGCCCTCGGAGGGATCATCATCACCCGCCGTGGGTCTCATTCTCGATCCAACTCGTCAGCTCTGTATATGCTCTGTGGCCGGAAGCACCTGGGCCAAATGGCCTTCGACGAGGTCGATTATTCACTGCGCAACCTCTGCTCCGGCTTCCCATTCGTCATTTCAGCGCCCTTTGGCAAGTTATATTTGTGGAAGGGCAAGGGAAGCAGCCCCGAAGAAACCGGTGCCGCACGTCTGATCAGCATGGACCTTGGCCTGACAGGCGAATTCGAGGAGGTCGATGAAGGCCAGGAGCCGGAGAGCTTCTTCGATGATTTCGCAGGCTCCAACGAGCCGAATCCGCTCATGACATCGGAGTACTGGCAACTTAAGCCTAAATACGATCACTTCCGCACTCGTCTTCTCAAGGTGGACCATGAAATGGGCCAACCGCCTCGTTTTTGGATGCGCCGTCCAGGTTCGAGCTCACCTGTTGTTCGGCCAAACGATACAGTGCGAGAAATCGAACCTTTCTGCTACAAGGATATTATTGAGCGAGATGTCTTCGTTCTTGATACTTTCTTTGAGATCTATGTGTAAGTTGCCCCCATGCGAAAGAAACCAAGTGGATTCAAAGACTAATATACCCTTTAATAGGATCGTGGGTGACCATGCGTCTCAGAAGTCGGCCGACTTCGCCTCTGCGGTTGTTTTCGCGCACGAATACGGCATCCTAGCCGCATCCCTTCAGGATCGACCATTCATTCCGAAGAGTTTTATTTCGCTGGGCGGTGTTCCCGATCGTTGCCAAAGTGCCTTCCGCAAATGGAACCAGCATTCTCTTCATGCTCCCTGTGTGTTCCCCTTGGACGTGGCGATCGAGGCTATCCGATCTCCGGATCGAGCGTAGGTGTGTGTGATACCGGGGATGGGGGGACTCTTCAGCTTCCTGGATCTTCTGTTGATTTATTTTTATTTCCTCTTCTTTTCTGTGTTCATCTTCTCTCTTTTTTCATTTTGTGCATATTTCGGTCGGTAAAGAGGGCATTCGTGGAAGGAGTCTTTTCTTTGGTGTACTGTGCTCTAGAGGAGCATTCGTGGGAGCGTCTGGGATGTACATCTAGAACTTGATTTATTTTCGTCTCGACTATGTGCACTGTCACCATCTGTGTACAGAAATATCCATCACTTCACTGCTACTAGTATTTTCTCCTCAAGTTCAACTACTACCTTTACAGTAGTATAGCACGGCGGGGATATCGGAGATGCCGGTCCCCGGGGCTACCTGCCTCCGATCAATCCTACGGGCCTCGGCCTATCGCTTGACCGCTTGTCAATTGGAACCTTGCAGAGGCTCCAAATAATTATTAAGCAAACCACCGTGACACAACTGAGTCATATTTCCATACCGTATAGGCAGAAGATCAAAGGATGAGATAACCAGAAAAGAAAGTGGAGGTGGGGGAGAAGTTAAGTGGTGGGCCGAATCCATTCCGTTAGATGTCGCCATCCAATCTCGCGACTTTTTTTTTAGCGTGCCCGTCTCTCTCCCTGTCCACCCCCCCACTACCTCCCGATTCCTCCTATTCCTATCTCAGAGAATGTGATAACCTTACAGGATGCCGCGAGATCCTGTTCCTGTTTCAATAGAGCACCTCCCCATTGCTCGTGAGCTGGGGAGGGAGCTGGAGAAGTTCGACCCCAATCTCTATTTCCGCGCGACCTCAGACCATCTGCATCACACCTGGGCCAAAACCTTTTTCTCCCGACCGGAACTCTACATTCGCCCTCGATCGATTCCGGAAATCCAACAACTGGTCACTGTTGCGCGCCGACTCCGCCGTCGCCTCGTGACCGTCGGTAGTGGCCATTCTCCCTCCGATTTAACATGCACCTCGTCCTGGCTCGTCAACCTCGATGATTTCAACCGCATTCTACACGTCGACGTGGAAACCCATTCTGTCACCGTCGAGGCAGGTATTCGATTGAGCGAGCTCGGGGATCGGTTGGAGAAGGAATATGGATTGACACTGGCAAATCTGGGGAGCATTGACAGTCAGTCAATAGCTGGTGTCATCGCGACGGGAACTCATGGCAGCTCGCTACGACACGGTCTGCTCTCGGAGTGCATCGAATCACTCAGCCTGGTCCTGGCAAATGGACAGCTAGTGCGCTGCAGTCCGACCAACAACCCGTCCCTTTTCCGCGCCGCACTGGTATCCCTAGGAGCTCTCGGTATCGTGGTGGAGGTGACTTTCAAGGCCAGACCGTCATTCAACATCGCCTGGCGGCAGGAACGCTATTCTTTATCACAGGTGCTCGGCGAATGGTCCACCGGTTTGTGGACATCGCATGAATTTGTACGTGTCTGGTGGCTGCCATATGAGAAAGGCGCGATCGTTTGGCATGCCGATAAGACCGACGAGCCATTGCGCGAACCCCCCAAGAATTTTTACGGCGACTGGTTTGGATATCATGTCTATCACAATTTGCTCGCGCTATCATCTTACCTCCCACGCATTCTTCCGTGGGTGGAATGGTTTGTCTTCGGGATGCAGTACGGCTTCCGAGCAGGGTCAACTGTTACCGAGGCAGTCGAGCCTGCTCGCGCTGGTCTGCTGATGAATTGTCTATACTCGCAATTTGTTAATGAGTGGGCTCTGCCTCTTGAGGACGGCCCCGAGGCCATTACCCGTCTGTCGGCGTGGCTGAATGGTGACATGAAGACGGCTCGCATTCCATTCTCATCCAAAGGCCTGTGGGTACATTGCCCCGTCGAGGTGCGAGTGTCAGATTCAACGCATAACCAGAACCCACGTCCTTTCCTCGATCCGACCTGCCACAACGGACCCACGCTCTACCTGAATGCAACGCTCTACCGGCCGTACCTCCGAGACCCGCCCTGCCGACAACGATATTATGAAGCCTTCGAGTGGCTTATGCGGGATATGGACGCCCGACCTCACTGGGCGAAAAACTTCAGCGTCCTTGGTTCCAGCGAGCTTCATGACCGCTACGGCGAAGACATGGACGAATGGCTGACTGTGCGGCAAAGAGGTTGATCCCGAGGGCATGTTCCTCGGCGAATGGCATCAGCGCACCTTGCCCCTGGTCGACGCGACGGAGACGCCTGACCGAGGCGATCTCCTGCCTCTAATGGAGCGAGAGAGCGAACGTCACAGCCTGCGCATCAGCGGCGCTGGCGACGGCGTCGAGTGGGTTGGCGAACGCCGGTGGGAGCGTCAGTCTGAAGACGGCACAAACGAGGAAGACAAGCCGACCCCCGAGGTAAATGCATCAAGTCCAATGACGGCCACCAGTGAAGAAAGTTTTGATTTGCTTGCCAAGGGCGAAGCTAGTATTGTGCTCCCCGATGCCAAATCCGCATGAATGGAAACAAAGGGAAATAATCGGGGGCCTCTACGGGGCAAGCGGCCATTCGCGGTGGAGTGGTCGGGTGAACGAGCCGACGGACCTGGAAAGGAAATGCCATTGTCCTGCTGATCACCAATTCAGTCCTATTGGATATGAAATTGGCTCGGATATGCAGGGTGAATCACCTTGCTAATCTGCAGTTTAGGGTTTATACCGTTGACTCGGGGTAATCTGACAGGTTGGGCCTCAAAAACGGGGAGGGGAAGGGGAAAAATGTGGGGAGGGCAGATTGATCTATTGGAATTCGAGTCATTGAGATCTGGTCGTTAGATAGAATCACCGCCATGCACATACGGTTTTCTGGCCTCGTGGTCCACTCGCCCTGCCAATCTGCCAAGCTGTCAATTCATTTGGACCTGCGGGACACTAGCTGTAGACTGCAGCCTACCTTCAGCTTCTATGGAGTATGTATGTACAGTATGTATGTACACTTCTTCACAGGGCGCAAGGCTGCACGCAATCAATAGTCCTGATTATCGTCCCTGGGCAACCCCCACCTGAATCTCTCCAGGAATTCCATGAAGCTCGCCACCCACCCGGCTTCTGATCACCCGATGTTGCCGGGATTTGGAATCAACAAATCTGCCTTCAACCAAGGAATAGGCAAAGCAAAGTACTATAGATTTTGTCACACAGGAAATACACGGCCTATGTATTTCTCAGCTTGAAGCTCTCTCCTAGGGTTCCTCTTTTCTGTTGAGGAGGAAGATCCTGAGATCAAGATCAACTGTTCTGATTAGGGCTGCGTCTTGAGTGATCCTGTGCTCGAATCTGATATAGCGCACTGGCACTGTGCTCTGCTGCCTTGTTGAGTCTGTGTTTCCGTTGGTGCGAGACTGAAAAGCTCTGGAGGATGCTCACCTCAGCTGGGAATCATGGATATACCATATCATCTCCATACCATGGGACATCCCGAGAAATGGTTAGAGAATGGGAATGGGTATAACACCCCCCCCCCCCCTCTCTTTCTCGCAGTGCTCAATAATACCTGTGGAGGTACTTTCAATACCTGCAATCTATCTCCCTTGGGGCAATCGCCTTTTCCACTCCTGCAGGCCGAATGACAACCCCCCGTCACTCTGACAACATATCACGCCGTACCACGTTTCGGTGCATTGACTGCAAGGATATCCATATCCATTATCAGGTGATATTGACTCCACCGTCATTGTCACTGCCACTGCCTGTCACTAGCCATGGGCAATGGGTACTACTGGTGATGGCACCGCATGGACCTCGGCGCAGTCAGCGCATCGACCAGTGACTCGCAACCTGACTCGCGACCAACACAATTGAATTCCCCATCAGTGACTTCTCTTTAGCCGCTTTGATCGCACGTGTTTACCCTGGCCCGATCGGTGTGACAAGGACGTTACGCCATCGCGATTGCCCACCAAATCCTTCGCTGCCCAAACGACCGTGATTCTTCTCTCGATCCACCAGGCGGCTCGGACCGTGCTCATCTTTTAGTGCGGTGGGTACGTGCGTGTCCTTCTCTTTGCCTCTCTTTCTCTCTATCCGTATTCCGCTCTCAGATGAGAAAGCTGGAAAGGATTGCTCCGAGTCTCGGTTCCACTCGTTGACGCGCGGGAATCCCTGCGTCGTACCTCCCACAGCCACAGGATGTCGCGAGACATCGAACGGCCGCACCCCAGTTGTCTTTCTGACAGACGGCTCCACGTCACTCTCCGGTATCTATACTTTCCCCCTCGGTCGCGGGGGCATGATCATCTCATGCTGCGGGGCCCTAGACAGAGCGGGAAGAGAGACCAGACGAGGGGGGCGAGGAGAGGGAGGGGGAGGGGAAATTTGACCCCAGCATTTCTTGCACTACGCCCTGAATAATCATGATATCAATCATACATACTCCAATATACTGGCGGCTGAAGCCCTCGATGTTCCATATCACTCACCCCGCCTGCTCCATTCTCCTGCAGGTCAGAACGAGCTTCTCAGCCCTTCTACACCCGGCACTATCTGATATTTTGCTTTTGCTCTTGACAATCATTTTCTTCTACTTTCTTCCTCTCCAAGTCTCTCCGTCACTTCCCGTACTCTCACCTCGTTGCTTCTGTTTGGTGCCTCGGGTGCTTACACGCGCGTAACTATGTCGTGGCAACCAAAGCTTCGCCCCAAGGGATTCCCTCACACAATCGACGACTTTGCGGTTGCCTCTTTTTCGGAGTTAGAACATCGTTCACGAGCGAGTGAGGATAAGCGAGATCAGCGCGTCTTCCGGGTCAAGCGGAAGCATGTCCTCAAGGCGTGCGATCGATGTCGCGTGAAGAAAACCAAGGTGTGTTTGATTCAACTTTTGTTATTGTTGAAGTAGCAATTTCTGAACTCTTCATCTTAGTGTGATGGGAAACAGCCCTGCAATCGCTGTTCAGTATACAACCATCCATGCCTTTTCCGTGAGAGGAAGGCAACCCAGACAAAGGTCTACTCTCGAGGGTAAGCCCGTGCTTTTCTCTATCGGCCCATGTATGTATTTTGGAACGTCGCAAACTAATAAAGACCATTGTTAAACGTAGATTCGTCGAAATGCTCGAATCGCACCATTCCTTGGTTGTCAAGGCGTTACAAAAACTATATAAATTCTGTATTAATAATGAGGGCTTTCCAGGCGAGCCTCTTGCAGAAGCACCGGATGGCTACCCTCTCACACATGCTATTCTTGATCGGTTAGGATTGATCAAGCAGGCCGAGGAGAATGCAGACGAACCAGACGAGGACACAGAAGATTTGAGATATCTACGACTGCTATCCACATCAACAGAGTGCAGCGCCACTGCAGAGCCATCACCAGAACCGGCTACTCCCCCAGAACCCTCGCCAACAGCGCTATCACGCCCGTCCGTCTGCAGCTCCATTCCGACTCCTATCACGGGACGAGGTAATAATATCAGATGGCAACCGCAATGGGATCTTCAGACCCTCGCTTCAACAAATTATAACTATTCTGAAAATGGATATCAGGATATGATATCCATGCAAAGATCCTCGATTACCGGAACGGATCTTGGTTCTGGCGATATTCCACCTCACATTCATGTCGCAGGCTCATCATCTGCCCCAAACCCCCATTCCCACGACCCATCGTTTGGATACTTTCTTGATGGAACTTGCAATTCGGCAGATAGCCAACCCGACGTCAAGCCTGCGGTTAGATTCCATTCCGGGATCATGCCTGAGACACACCCCACCAGATGGGCAATCTGCCCAGTGATAGTCTGAGTGACTTCCAATATCAGGCTCAAGATCTCAACTTCTATCCTGGTTTCACTCCAGGCTGGGCATTTCCGTCAGGTAAACTCGAAGAATACTGAGACCAACCGCTTCCATTCGCTGCATCATCTTTGGACTAGGCTGCTGGGCAGCATTTGAACCTCTTTCGCTTCTTATTGATACTGCAATACTTTGGGGAATCTCCCTTTTTACCTTCTCGGTTTCCTATATTCTCCAGGATTTTTTCTTTCTTCCCCCCCCCCCCCCCCCCCGAGATGCAATTGGAATTGTGGTGCGAGAGGGAAACGTCATGATCTTCTTGGTTATTTCTATATCCTCATCTCTTCTCACGTCGGAATTTGGAGTCCGATCTGTCGCGATTTCACAAGGAGTTATCTACCAGGCAGAAGTTGAGATACATCTGGCGATTGAGCCATGACTTATGCCTCTTTATCCGCAACCCCCCAACGTCCAACAATTTCTATCCTCTGTCTCCTTCCGGCTTTCATACCCACCCAAGCAGCTTTTTCTTTTCTCACTTTTCATTCCCCCCTATCTCATCCCAACTCTAGCTTGAGATCCAAGACACATCCCAGTCCCATCAATTTAGGAACTCCTTGTCTATGCCTCTCCTGGTATACATCTGGTAGACTTCAAGTTGTGTTTATAAATGCGTGTCCTACTTAGACGGAAACGGCGTTAAGGATATTCATGTATCGGCGAAAGAGACTGATTTACTTTTCGCTTTGTCATTTACACCTCCCAAGGCCACAAAATCTTGTATTTAGAGAAAAGCCACTGTATTTCAGGTCTAAAGATTAGAAACCTTGGACCCTGTACTTTCTTTTCACCGGGATTGATTCCGAGCCCTTGTCCAATTTTTTCAAGGAGACAAGACAGCTTAACTCCTGGTCTGTCGCAGGGTACTTGAGTTCGAAAGCCGGTACAGACTAGAGAGGCTCGTGCAAACTTCCAATCGACCATGCTAGAATAGCCGGAATTTACCCCGATGCCAACCGATCCATCCCAACAAAAAGGTACGGGCAATACAAACCCTTGACAGGCAAAGTGGAGGCGACGAAGTTGCACACTCTGCGCAGAGATTGTATGCGCCAGATAAGCCTGGCGTACAACTCAGAAACCAGGGCCCGAGCTACAAGGAGGTCAGTGGTTATGTTTGATCACGCAGTACATGATGGTAGAGGTTTGTTTTTGTTTTGTGTATTCCCATGTCTATTTCCGCCACTTGACGGATGCGATAGATGAACATACAGAACGGGAGGAATCCCATGGACGAAATGAAAAAAAAGGAAAAGAAATGGAAGGAAACAACCATAGGAACAAAAACACCCCCACAAGATACCCGATGAAGCGGAAATGGAAAATGAAGAGATACAAAGTTAAATATGAGGTTGGAAAAGAGAAAAAAAAAGGATTGAAGGATGCAGGCGAGAACCGGTAACCTTGGGGAATCAATTCAGTTCAAGGTTGCACAAGTCCCCGGTAAAATCCAGCAATCAATGCAAGTCAAATGCGATCAATCCTCATCCTCCGTTTCCGTGTTGGTATCGCTGGTATCGCCTGCGTCGCCATCGGTGTCACTCTCATCGCTGGAGTCGTCGGAAGCCTTCCTGGTCTTCTTCTTCGGGGCTTGGCCGGTCTTGAGCGCGTGCATCTGGCCGGCAATCGAGTCTAGGAGGAGAATATTAGTGTTAAAGTTCGGTCTTGAAGAACGTCGCTTGCAGCGGGTCAGAACTTACCCTCATCCGGTTCGCTGATGTCGTCGTCCTCTTCCAAGGCCGCCGCCTTGGCGGGATCGTCGATGTGCAGAGTCACTTCCAGCTTGGTATCGAGACCCATATAGCTGTCACAGACCATGTTCATGACAAAGTTGAAGTCACCGACCTGTGGTGGGGCCTGAAACTGCATCTTGAGAGTTTGCATGTTGAAGGTGGGCTTGCCGGCCTCGTCGAGGATGGGCTTGTCGAAGGTGGTGAAAGTGAAGGGAGGAACGGCCATCTTGCCTTGCTTGGCATCGGCCAGGAAGATGTGCCAGCGGGGGGAGTGATCACGGGCAAAGTAGGGGGCGTGGGCCAGAGGCGGTTGGATAGTCTCAACCTTGTTCTCAACCTTCTTGCCGTCCACGAGTTTAGTAGCGCGGTTCTTGGCCGGCTTGCGGCCCATCAGCGCATCCAGATCATCCTCATCGGGGTCAATGTCCTCAAGGTCCAGCTCATTTACAGGAGGCACATCTGTGCATCCCGGAGGAACGAACCGAGCCTTTACGACCAGTTGTACCAGACTGCTGGGCGTGATAACCTTCTCTCCCATAACCTTGAAGAATGCCTTGGAAACTTCCAGAGCGGGTAATTGTTGTGCAACCGAGATGGCATCGATATATTGCTTCTCGGACAAGAGACCGGCACCGACGGTGAGTTTGCGTCGTTCGACTTCGGGAATGTTCATGAAACTTTGAACATTCAAGTGGTTCTTGGAGTGTTCTCCCTCCACAGCCTTGACCACAGCGTCAGTGAAGTTGGGAAGTTGCAAGAGCGGAGAGGCGCTGGGGGCACCGCCTGAATCAGGTTCTGAGAGGTCTGGAAACCACCAAGGATAGGTCGAAGATTGCCGAATGCCAACGAGATAGCCGTGAATGCCTCACCCAAAGAGAGAGCAATGGGAGCTGCTTCGTATTTTTCTGTACGTCCACCACTCATTAGCATTACGATTCAACAGGTTAGACATGGTGCTAGAAACTTACCCGAGTCAAGCGAGGCATCACCCAGGTCGATTCTATCGAGATAGGCCCACAACAAAGCAAGCGCCTTTCGGCGAGTCGAGTCGTCCATTTTCTTAATTGTCTCACGGTCCTTGGCCGAAAGCGAAGAGTCCTCGGCCAAAACCTTTGTCTCCAACTTGGCCAGGCCAGTCTCGGCCTGATCACCCCTCAGCATATCCTTGAACTCTTCACCGGAAGACAAGGCACCGACAATGCCACCGTCCGTGATGTCATCCTTGTACTCGCGGAAGATGTTTCCAGCGCTAGCAACGAGAACACGCTCCTTGGTGTAGCGCTGAGAGCCGTACCACCACTTTCCAACAATATATGGCAGCAGAACTCCCAGAAGAGCTCCGTAGACCAAGAGCACATACTTGCCGTTACCCTCCATCACAATGAGTTTAGGAAGAGCAATGCCAATACTAAAGCTCTGCTTGCCGTCGGGGTGGCCAAATTGAAGGTAGTTGTTGCGAATTTCCTCATCAGTCAGGGCCTTGTAGGCCTTGGTGAGTTCAACAAAGCGCTCGTTGAGCATTTCCATTGTTTCATTTTTGGCGGGGTCGGGGCGGATCTTGTCAGGGTGGTAGATCAGGGAGAGGCGCTTATAGTGGCGGGAGATGGCTTTCTCATCGGCGCTCTATTGCACGAAATCTTGTTAGCAATGAACATTTTCCACGGAATCTGTCCTCAGTGGGTGCGCCGGGGGGGCCTCAAAACATACCCGCGAAACACCCAAAATATCATACGGATCGTACAACTTCGTGGTTGTCCTGGCCGTAACCAGGATCAAGTATGCCATCCACGCCATCACGATATATCCGACAATAACAGTAATGATGCGCTTAATTCGGCGCTCTTTCCGCAGACGCTTGCGCTTTTGTGCCTCGACGAGGTCGGCATGTTGTGGTTTGAAGTCTGATTTGATGCGGGGGGCGGTGTTTTCAAGGTCTATATGGAGAATACAATTTTAGCAACAGAGTATATTTCTGAAATATACCGAGGCGAAATGTTCCATGGACGCACCTTTGCTAGGGCGGAGGAGGTTATAGGTTAAAGGGAGGGTGACCAGTCCAGTCAAGGTCAGGATGAAGAAGGGGAAGAATTGTCCCTACAAAATCGCAAAAATCCACAGTTAGTACGATTTCAAGGATCACAGCATCACAGCAGAGGTTGATTGCCTGACCTGTTCATCATAGGTGTAGTCTGATGACATCTTGCGGCAAGATTAGGGCGACAGCGGGTGCCGCCGCGGGATTTTAAAGATCGTAAGGTGCAGGGTTCGAGAGCAATCGAACAAGTGCCGACGTGAATTGATGTTAGCAAAGAAAGGAGAGCTTAAACCATGGGGACCGAGTGCATAGCGGAAGAAACCAAAAGAGTGATGAAAGGGAGCATCCACAAAGCTTCCTGATCTGGTGACGACCGTGTCCTCTTGGGTTCACGTGAACCAGGGACGGCAGTTTGTGGGGGCGGTGAGCGGAGGTGGTGGGCGGTGGAGCCCCTGCAGAGTTGACCCTGAATATCGGCAGTCTTACTAGTACGAGGTTAGTGGACTCGAATTATTGATCCTGCTAGAGATGGGCAACTCTGAAGACTCGAAATTTATGGTTCATGGATAAGTATCCTGATATAATATATTTGTGCCCCAGACCTGGAGAAACAGGTATCGCAGACCGATAAGTTGCCATGAGAGAATACTATGTCTACAGTGTAACAACTATGAGTACTAGTACTATTATTGAAATATTTGAACGTAGATAAAAATTGTTCACGTGTCTGGGAGCTAACTGTATATACAGGCTACTGAAATTTACAGCAAATATCAGGTATTCACCCCTCAGAATCATATATTTTCCGGCGATATCCACTGTATGCGGCGGCCTGGAACCACCCGGTGCAGGCGACAAAACAGAACAGATGGGCGTGCTTAGAGATGTGTCACGCTGCCTCGCTAGACTCAAACAGGAACTCAAGTGTCAACAACTGATTGCTCAGTCGGACACGAGTTCAACCGATAGAGTCCAAGCGGGAACGGCTGTGACTCATCCTCAAAAGGCGCAAATCGCAAACCAGGATCCACATGGCCGGGTCGGAGAGGACCAATCCAATACCCTCGGAGAGGAGTATCTTCATTGCTACAAGTCGGGAGACCCGCAAGAGTCCATGGGATCAGGCGTTCTTGGTGTCGCGTCAGCCGGGGTTTGTGGCTGTAGGCGCGCGGTGGTTGGCTGGAGTACACTTTGCTTTGCTTCGTGGGCAGAAAGTGTTTCCTTTGGGCCAATATGTCGCGGTATTTTCGTTTTCGTAGATGAAAAATCATAAATCATCGCAATCGAGTAAAGATATTTCCTTTTTTGGTTTTGGAGCTGGGAAAATGACCCGGCGGGATCATCGATCCAGCGGGTGTGGGTTCAGCGATCAATCTCCAAGAGTGCTGTTGCATGTGCTGCGGCGTATGAGTCAGAAACATATTCGATATCCCAATTTGACTGGTAATAGGAAACTTACGAGTCGATGTAGTCAAGGCCGCCGAAATACTCAAGCATCCGATAACAGAGGCTCACATCGTCGCCTGGCTCACCGCCGAACAAACGACACTGTTCGGCTTCCAGCCCTCCATTTGCCCGTGGGACATTGTCACGGATCTGCCAGGCCGTATACCCATAGTGCCAGGTTGGGGCGAGGTTTGCGGGGACCGGCGATCCAGGTGAAATGCATGCGGGGGTGGTATAGTTGGTGGGAGGTGATTCAGAGGATATAGATGGCGATGGCGAGGTCCAAGTAGACGATGGGACCAACGACGGCGAGTCCAGTGGCTGAAGACTCGTAGAGACGGAAATTCGGTGACGGTCACTGGATTGATTGCGAGATCGTGGTCGAGTTCGGCGTCGATTATGCCTCTGGCCCATTCTCAGGCAAAAATAGCGGGAGATCCAAATATACAAGGGATGGAAGCTTTCCCCAGCCGGGTATCAAGGGAAAAGAAAAGAGAAAAGAACTTTTGGAGGGGAGCGACCATCACCTCCTAGAAAGGACGAGATGAGGTACTGAGAAAAAAAAAATCATAGGATGTGTTGCAGGGGTGGGGGAGGATTTATACGGAGATCGAGTATGGAGTACTCATACGCCAGCAGGGGAGAAAGTGAGTCAAAGGAGTACCGACCCACTCTTCTCGGCAGTGGAACCCCCGAAAAGTCGATCATCTCATGCCTTAAAAAATGGCGCCAAACCCTGGCGCTAGGCCTGGGAAAGGCGTGATGTGCTGCGTCAGTCCTCAGCCCATTCGCGTGATGCAATTTTAACTGGTTGAGCTTTTTGGCGCAATCGACATTTCTGTGCTTGTATGGCTAAAAACTAATGAGGTGATACCTCACGCCATTTGCAAGGTTTTTATTTTATTTTTTATCTGTGCGACCTGGCACTGGAATGCCTGAAACCACGTATGTATGTACGAGTAAAGAAGATCAAAGAAAAAGTCTCAATCAAGGGATGACGTGCCAAGATCGTCTGGACTGACAGCTCTGCCTTTGCCTTCCTCGCCGATGCCGGCCAGTGCCGTGCGGACCGAACGGAGATCGCATCAGGCAACGCAAAGCCACTCTCCCTTCCGGATTTCCCCATTTACCCTAAACATGAAAGGAAATTTGAATTTGAATTTGAATTTGAAATTTGAAATTTGAAATTTGAAAATTCTGATTAAAAAGCATTGACCAGATTCGGAGACACTCGCCAGGCTCCGAGCGACATAACGCTGGGCTGCTTATGACTCTTGCTGAAAAATCTACCAACGCTAACCCCGATCTCCATTCCGTGATCCGGCCATAAGGCTTAAGGTTAGGCTTAGAAAACAAGTCCGACCCTGCTTACTCTCCTGGCTGCTTCGGACTTTGTGCAGACTTCTCCGGCGAACAAAAATTGAACACTCATCAATGCCCAAAGCAAACCTCCTAATGTGGACCACGCTACGTAGCCCTACCCTCCTCACTGGAGCATTCCTGAAACCTGCTGGAGCTCCATTGTGTACTATGTATAATGTGCCCCATCCATTCCGCTATTGACCGCCCCCATTCTTGAATCGAAACCGACCCACGCTTGTCCAAGAGGTCCCCATCAGAGAAAGGCAAACATCTTGATCTCAATACTCTCCCTTGCAGGAAGCGTCTCCGTATCTGGTACCACGAACGCCGTGTGAGGCAATGTCATGCCTCCTTCCTCTGCCTGCTCGCTCTCGCTGTCGAACTGCGTGAAGATCAATGCCTCCTGGGGTTGCTGCTCGCTAAGATAATACCATCCCTGACTCTCCCGGAACGCATACTTGCCCAGCTCATGCCATCCATGTGGCAGGACCATACGACTCGTAATTCGGTCCTCCTGCCAATTGAGCGTGGCCCAGTCACACACAGCTAGAGGATCTCGCTGGACAGTCTTCAACGGTCGCCAGACATTAATGGCCAATATCCGACGCTTCAATAGCTCCTCTCTCTCAGCTGCATCTGGAATCACCGACTCCAAATTCTTCAGCGCACCCGCAGGCGTGAAGTCGGAATGCACACTATGGGCCGGGGCCCGGTTATTGGCGAGCATGGCCTCGTCCTCACTGAGGCATCGCACGCGATGGGCGAAAGTGACAGTTCGCGTGGCGCCCGTTCTGGACCAAATGATCAGCGACAATTCCCGTTCCAGGTGAAATTAGAAGGCACATTCATTCCGGACGTGCATTCCAGGCGCTCTCTCACACACACTCACATCTGGCGCACGAGGGCCTCTGTTTTTGGAACAATGACATTCCCCACATGGCTTTTCTCTGCCACGCCTTCGAGTTCTGGCATGTCATGCCACACATACTGAAACCCGTTCAGTCTTAGATTATACTGTGCTTCTTTGCCCCGAATGTCCTTTATATGCGCAGTCCGGACGTTGTCGGGCTCGATCATCGCTGCCATGCACTTCTCCGGCGCCATCTTCGTGAAATCCACCTCCATACTCTGGTTCTCAAGCCTCTCCCAGAAGACTAACTCAGCCTTCACATCTTTTGGTTGACTCATCGGATTGGAGAGTGTTAGTGTTACTAATGCAGAAGCTTCTCGTTGACGAAAAGCGTGGCGTGGCTCGGTGGCTGGAATGTTGTAGGCTGGATATTTCCAAAACTAACCACGTTGCGGGGAATCGCGAATATTTGAAGTACTCGATCCCTCGGCCAGTCCCTCAGCCGGCGTATGTGCATAACTCAGTGGGTTGACTTTTAGGAGTCTGGTTAAGGGGTTTCATGGATTCACCCGCTTCTACCTGGGCGCGATCCTACCTTATTTAGGGTTCCATACGAATACGAAGCCGAACCCGAGATGTTGACGTTTTATGCAAAAATCGTTGATGATCAGTGGGTCAACGTCGTCATGCCCAGGCCAATACGAAAGTCCGAGTCGCCTCCCTATGAATTGCAGCACTTGTACGGAGTACGCGCGGGTGATTAGTCGTCTAGATTAGAATTCTAAAGTCGGCACCTGGTTATCTTGACGCCGTGTGATGGTTTTCGGTAATATAGTATAATTAAGGAATAGCAATTGTTGGTTCTTCAAGAGAGTGATACTGTTTGAACGATGAGAAACTTCTCAACTGACCAAATCGTGAAACTTATCATCCTAAATAAGGTTGGGTCTTGAATAAGTTCATCTATTTCTAGATCTCGATACCCCCTTTCCCTTCTCCGAGAAGCCCTTTACTGGCATGCTTCGTATTCTCGTTGAATGCCAATACACCGATGCTGTATTAGATCGCATACTAGTAGTAAGTAGGCTCCTTTCAAGGTTCACACTAAGTTCAATGTTATTCCAAGGTTTGAGCGCCACACAGTGACTGCCCAGGTGGGCTGTTAGCCGTACACAGCCTACCTCACTCAATGAGACTTACAATCAGTGCCTGCCCGCCCAGAGACAAGTGGTAAATATAGCATATAGATGAGTTTATTCGACACTAGTATATGAGAGTTTGTTCTATCATCAGCTGGGCACCTGGGCAGGTACAGCCTGGAAGATACCGGATGAGTCTGGGCCGCTGTTATATACTGCCAGTGTTTTGTAACTTCATTTAACATAGCCTTGGAACGCCCGAGCTTGAACATTCGAAACCTTGGAATTCGATAGTTAGTATCCGTGACCATTAGCACTGATAGTATATTTATAGTGGCCTCAGGGCGATATCAAGTTAAATGTTAACCACTAGTAGTATTCCTTGGAAGGTTCAAGTTTAGAACCAAACTTGAATAAAAAGAATAACCAGAAGCCTCTAGGACTTCCATGGCTACAGTTCTACAACCCAATAGCAGCTTGAATATTAGATCGCTCCACTGCTTTGGCGACTATGAAAGCAGTATACTCAACTTAAAGTCTTCTCTCAGGTCTCTTTGAAATCCTAGGATGTTTTCCCCCATGTTTCCCCGGGTACTTCAATATCACAACACTCTATTTAACTTTTACATTCTGCAGTGTACTACCTCTTTGACGCCAGCCCATTTGGCCCCCACCCTTCGCTTTTTAACGAGTTTCATCCCGAACGATGATTGATTGGATCACGTTCCATTAGCACTGCCAAGAGCGGACCTCTTAGATCTCGTGAGTCTTGAGTCACCCTTGCTTGTAACAGGGTCTTCTCTTGAGCCGCACAGCTCCAGCGACAAAGCGATTTTACTTATTTTGAGCATTTACTCTTGTTGGTTTGGAAAATAACAACGAGAAAATGCCACGAAGAACTCCTCTTTACCTTCCACCCGAGGTGGTGGAGATCATTATTGGGTATTTGACCTTTGAACATCCTCCAACACTTTTGAATTTTGCAAAGGCTAGCAGAACATATTATGCATGCTGTCGACCAGCTATCAAATCCATAAAGTTCCACGATATCAATCTGATGGTATCCTCTTCGAAAAGACAAGTTGAAGAAGCTGTGAATCGCCTGATTAAACGACTCAAAGCTGAGGATGGTCTCCATTTCGTTCGCCAGCTTATTATTGGATACCCGACCTATGAGGGGGAAGTACATGATTGGAAGCCACCTCGAATGTCCGAACTGCGATGCAATAAACCTGCAGATGTGTATACGACGCAGTATGGAGAATGGGTAGAATGTTTCGAAATGGAAAGGGATACCTACTGTAGTTGGAATTCTCGCAGTGAACCGGACCTCCGCGCCTACAAATCAGTGGTGAAATTAATAATACTGCTTCCCAGATTGAAAGATCTGATATGGAGTCGGAATGCTCATGTTCCACTATGCATTGTTGAAGCTCTACGCCATGATCAGCCACAGTGTCGCCTCCATCTGGATGGGCGACTCCACATTTGCGATCTAAATACAGCAAAAAACCCAGAAGATCTCGCATTTATCACATCTCCATCTATTCACTCGATCAAAGTCAGTGGTGGCGACGCATGCTACAATAGCATTTTGCGTTTGGCGGGACTTGCTCCCAATCTCAAAAAGGTTCGAATGAGAAGATGCCCCAGTTTCGAGGGGCCCGCATTGGGTTCAGAAAATTTCCAGTCAGGCACCGCGTCATTGGTAGATCTTCGTTTCGAGGCCACTTGGAAATTTGATGAAAGACGCCTCTGTGAATGGAGCTATTGTACGGATTTCTCTACTCTGCAGACCCTTATTATCCATGGTCGATTGAATGATGCAGCATTCAAAGTTTGGGATAAAATGGAATTTTTGTTTCAATCTCTGAAGACTCTCCACCTGAACATTGCTGGATCTCGATCAAAGGAGTTTTATGATGACGCAAGTAAATTCCTGCGAAGCTTGCCACCCTTAACTGAACTTGAAGTAACCGGCTGGCACTTGCGCATCGGCATCGAGTCACTCCTCAGCGTCCATGGGTCTCACTTGCGCAAGTTTACGCTCAGAAAGCCCGCAACTTGGCAGACTTTGAGCGAACATCAAATTCGTCAAATCAGTCGAAAGTGCCCATTGCTAGAGGACCTAGGAGTTACAATCGACGGCGCACAAAGTCACACCGAGAAAGCCGAGATATACGCGGCTCTAGGGTCAATGCAAAACCTCAAATACCTTGATCTCACTTATGAAGTCGGTTTTATGGGGCTACCTATGATCCCTAGAGAGGAGACCACCTTATCGACAGGAACAGAAAGACCCGGCTCTCAGCATCATGAGTTGCCCAGCTATTCTTCGTTTGACGAATTCGAAAATAAATTTTGCGAAGGAGCATGTGACGAGTCTTTTCGGCTTCGAAATGGTCATGTACAGAAGATGATGGTTGATGGTATCATGGATGAAAGGCTTGCTTGTGAGGTTTTCCAAGCCATCTTGGACGCGAAGACACAAAATTCACCTGTTCTCAAGGATCTTATTATCAAAGTTATAGGTGCTCATGTGCGCAAAGACCTGATAGATATAGTTCACTTGCTTTCCAGTGATTGGCGTGTGATATACGAAACCGATTTTCGACGTCGTGGCAAATTGATTGCTAAAGAAATCGAGTCAGGCAGGGGCGACATTGGAGGAAGAAATAGAAATCTTCCACTGTGGTTGGAGCCCATATTTTATCGAATTTTCCCGGCGGCGAAGCCGAAAGGACCACCGCGGAAATTGTCAAAGAAATTGGCTGCCAAGAGGGACAAGGAAAAGAGTCAGGCCACTCCGATGTGGAGGCGCTACATACATAGTTTTCCTGCTGCTTCAGCAACAGAAAATTGAAATCATTCTTGATTGATCAAGCATAATCAAAGGAGTACGGTTAGTCACAAGTGACAAGAGGTTTGGGGGTATTCCCAGTACTGGAGCTCTGAAGGACCAACCATGGAACTAGAAACGGCCCGAAAGGTGTGAAGTATAAAGTTTGAAATGTTATTCTATGAATGAAGAATACTAGTAGGTATATTGCTCAGGTTCTACGAAGACCCACGAATAATTGCAAGCATCTCATCGCCTTTAGGCGCTGTAGTAAGATTCTCATATCCGTTAGCCGTCACGAGAATGTCATCCTCAATACGCACGCCGCCAATAGGGACATATTTTGCTGCCACGTCAAAATCAATATACTTTGCGAACGGCTGCTTGCGCGCATTCGCGAGAGCCAGCGGCGAGAAGTAGAGACCCGGTTCTACAGTCAATACCATACCCTCCTCCAACAATGGTGCTGAGACTGTACATGGTGAAAGACTGTAGGGACTCAAAACCGGGCCATATTGTTCATGATCAAAATCTGGGTGCATGGCCATGATGGAAGACTCGGAAACATCATGAACCTCAAGTCCAACATGATGACCCAGTCCGTGGGGAAGAAGACCTTCGAGGCACCAGACGCGCGAATTTCTGCGTGCTTGCCGCCTTTAAGGACTCCAATGGCCAAGAGACCATCAATCGCAATATCATGCGCCAAGTCGTGCAAAGATAGATATCGAGTACCCCTGCGGATCTGCTTGATGCACTCCTCTTGCATTCGCTCCACTAACTTATAAATATCCCGTACATATTGGTTGGGCCACTCTCCCGTGAGCGGGAATGTTCGAGTCACATCGCTTGCATAGCAGTTCCACTCCGCGCCAGCGTCAAGACATACAAGGGGTTTCTTGTGCAAAGACTCATTATTCCGATCGTAATGAAGGACTGCTGCGTTAGGACCCGATGCCGCGATAATCTGATATGCCTGGTTCCGAGCACCGTGCGAAAAACACGTGTCGAGGAACAATCCTTCGATCTCTGACTCGTTGGTCATTTTTTGGATACGTTCGAGAATTCTGCGATGTGCCAATCCCGAGACTTTGTTGGCTTGACGAATCATGCGAATCTCATACTCGTCCTTGACACCTCGAGCCGCATCCATGGCGGGCATAAGTTGTTTTGTGTTCAGCGGAAGCTCGGTCGGTAGTCCATCGGGAGTTTCCGATTCGTGAACCATGTAGAGAGAACTGTTCTGGACTCGTTGGCTCAGCCATGATTCCAGCTCGGGCTTCAGCGACGATTGATAGAGGACACGGTCGATGTCGTAGCGATCTTGGGCATCCTCTCGGGAAAGGGTCGGACCCATCCAGATCGCGCGGTGTAGATCGAAGTCCGGAACATAGAGGGTCAAGAGATCCAATGCGATATCGTATGTGAGAGTGCAATCGGGCTCATCCACGCCACTGAGGTAATAGAAGTATCGACGTTGACGGAACGGTCGCGCTTGGTCGGAGTCGCGCAAGTTGATTGTCGGTTGACCGGCAAGGAAAATCAAGCCATGGGAAGCACCAAGTTTGCGAGCGACGTTGCGAGCATGTTGTTTAGCTGTACCAGGGAGGGGATGCGATCAGTCTCGGGTCGGGGATAGAGGAAGAGAGGGAAGTCCTAACGATCACGAAGGGGTCTGTGGTAGGAACGAAGGTTCCGGACAGGTCAAATCGGCCTGGGCGGTAGTCCCGTAGACCCTTCCTAGGGTGGATAGGGAGGCTGAGACTTACCAGGGTATTTATCAAACGAAGTCCCGGAGATCGCAATGCGGATCTGGTAGGAGTCGACCGAGTTGACGACGATATCCCCCAGGGCGTTTTCGCGGGGGAAGCAAGAGAGCCGGAGCGCATGATGGGGATGGGTGGGTGAGTAGAGAGAAAATGAGAGGGGTCACTTGTCACTTGTCACCTTGGAAGGTTCCAAGCAAGGAGCCACGAGGGGAGTTTAAGAGAGAGAGGGGAAGGGGAAGAGAAGGAGAGGCTTATCCGTAGGGATGGTGACCTGTACCACCATGACCTTGACCTTGACCTTGACCTTGACCAGAAGGGATACAATAGAATAGTAATAGTAGTAAATGTTAAATGTTAAATAATAAATAATAAAATATAAAATATAAGCCAAAGGACCAAACACTGAAACTGTAAATATCGCCAGTGCACTCCTCCCACGCAGGTACTAAGCCGCAAGCATCTTAGATAAGTTGGATTGGGGCCGCCTTCATCGCCCACTTATCTCTCTCTCACACCACCACTTCCCTCCAGTCATTCCCTCCTCCATCTTCCACACTTCCACCTCTTCCCTCTGTTCTCCATTTCATCGTTTTCGCTTCTATTCTCCTTCCTCTCCCTGTCATCTATATTCTTCCTCGGTCAATGAACGATGCAGGGTCCTGAGGCATCGGGCCCCAGTGCGCTCGCAGGCCTCCCATCCACCCTCAGTACAGTGATAGGCTCCCCGACGACGTCACCGCTCGATCTCGTCGCCTCAACTCTCCCAACCGCCATACAATCCCCAACCGGCCTATCTCACCAACAAATCCAGCAGAACATTCAGCATGTCCTCTCAACTATTTCGTCCGACTACGAAAATGGCCGCGCATTTGCCGCCGGTGGCAACTCCTCCGGCTCCACCGGCAAAGGTATCCTGATTGGGATCCTATCCGCCTTCGGCTCAGCGGCTATTGCATTCCTCGTTCTTGCGATCTTCTTTTTCTTCAAATATACCCGTCGCGGGCGGATCATGCTCGATCGCATTGGTCGACCCGGTGAATTCGACGATGAGCAGGCCTTTGCCCGGGAGGAGGAAACGGCCCTCGAGGGCATGGATGATCTGTCGCGGTCGGAATATCTACGAGCCAAAGGTAGGATCGAGATCTTTCTGTCGACGACTATAGCAAGACCTATAGCTGGGGTGAGGTTGCGTTGCTAATCACTTCCTGTACAGCCTTCGTTCAAGCGAATCCTCCCGAATCTATGCAGACCGATATCTCTCTCTCCCAATTCCTCGCAATTCAAGAAAAGGGCGTCTCGGCGTGGGAATTCCAGCCTGAATTGGAAATCGCAAATTGTTTCGTTGAAGGGCGCACAGAAATTGAATTCTTCGATTCCGAGTGCAGTGTGCAGACCAATCTTCCCATTCCCAAGCAAAATGAGGTCTACTACTGGGAAGCCAAGATTTACGATAAACCCGACTCAACCATGATCGGAGTCGGTCTGACAACAAAACCATATCCTCTTTTCCGATTACCCGGTAGGTCTAGCCAGTGTTAAGATCCGATGCGTGGTAATCTTGGAGCCTTGCTAATTAACTACCTCTAGGTTTCCACAAAACTTCTGTTGCCTACGAATCCACCGGCCACCGCAGACACAACCAGCCATTCTCACCGACACCGTACGGGCCTCCACTTCTTCAAGGCGACGTTATCGGTGTTGGCTACCGACCCAGATCCGGTACTATCTTCTTTACTCGCAACGGAAAAAGGCTCGAGGATATCGCCCATAATTACCGGGCCCAAAATCTATTCCCTACGATCGGGGCCAATGGCCCTTGCAGTGTTCATGTCAATTTTGGTCAAATGGGCTTCGTATTCATCGAAGCTAATGTTAAGAAATGGGGTTTGGCCCCCATGACTGGTAGTCTCGCCCCGCCCCCACCCTATGGCAGTGAACAAGGCAGCATTTTGCTGGAGTCGGGCCGTGAGAGCGCCGCCACGATTTCGCAGCGGGTTTATCAAACCCACACCGCCAGAAGTTCCAGCATTGGCCTCCCCCAAGCCGTCAGCCCTGGCCCTATCCGTTCTCCAACCGACATCTCACTCGCTCAATTGGCTCATATTCCTTCCAACGAAGATGCCGGGGAGGGATCCAGCCGTTTAGACGACAGCGAGAGCAACAACCCTGCTCCTACGGGAGAACCCGATGAAAATGGCGTCTTGCCTCCGGAATACTCGAGCCCGGGGAGTAGCCGCAGGGGCAGTGATGCCAGCTTGGAATTTCCCGTCCAGAACTCTGAAGACTTGCGTTCTCCGCGAGAGAACGATCATCAAGAATCTCAAAATCTGCCAAGCTATCAAGCAGCGGTAGATCGGGAAGAGGATGACCTGGACTAGAGACTGGCATGGCCTCCACCACGATACTTTATTATTACTATACGTTCTTCTCATGAACATACTATCCTCTGGGTTACTGGTGGGCTCCAAAAACGGACGAGCCTACAAATCTCTCACTTATACCATTTCTTTGTTGTTTCGATTAGCGAGTCCACGGATGGCGTCTTTTTTTTAGCAAATTGGGAGGATTGGCTGGATTATGGAATATGCAACTTTTTTTTGACTGGGAAATTATATCTATTTGGATTTGAAATCGGGGTTTTTGCGATTTTATCTTCTGACTATTGGGTTTCCTCACGACCTCATGTACGGCGGGCTGCAGCTACACCCCGCCTCTTCATTCGCTACCAATTCCCCGCTCTTGTTATATTCATCGTCGGAAGCAGGAAACAGGTCTGTACATTTTGTCATCTAACATCCTCATACTCCGGGTGGCCCTGCTCTCAGCGTCAATCGGATACCCTCCAACTGGCTGATTTTACCCTTTCATCCTTTCATCTTCAAAGTAGAGTAGAAGGAGTGACGTTGCAAAGGTTTGAGCCCCATGTTGACTGCTCTCGTCTCTGCCTTCTAATTGGAAACTAGTAGCTACCTGAGATGGAATACATAGGTCATGCCACTGTAGTAGACTAGTAGTTCTCTTCATGTATCAGTATTCCAATGCTCTAGGTAGTTTGAGTCATCTCGAATATACCATGGTAGGCATAGATATCATACCCCACCGCAGTTGATAGGGCGTCATATGACCCGTTTATTACGGAATAGGCAGGGACCAGTCGCCTTAGATAACCGTTTATCGGCCCTGAAGGTGATCACCCTGCCCTATACTACCTTACCTTGATGCCTTGAACTCAAAGAATCAAAGAACTAAACAAAGGGCAATTGACTACTTAGACTTTCAAAGAGAATCTACAAAGAAACACATCAAAGAAAACCAGTATATCCTTACTAGTTACTTAGTAGTAAAAAACCAAAAAAATACTCGGTCATCGAGCCGCCAACAACCGCCGGGCGCACCAGGAAAGCGCGCCAAGACCGCCCCCAACTTCCCCAGAAGCTCCGAGCGTCTCGTCGGCTTCGGCTTCCATTTCTTTTCATTGTCCTTTCATTCCTTCATATTTGCTGAGGCTTTGGAGTCATGGCCCTTGATTCCATTTCAATTTTCTGAATTCCCTCTGCTCATCCACTGTCTCATTCTCTCAATTCTCCACCGTTGCCGAAGTTCCGTGGAAAATCGTCCCCACAAACCGAGCGCATCGGCACGCCCGAGATACCCATCAGCTGCCACGTCTCATATATCATTTGTACAGGACTGGCTCTGCAGGCGCTGAGAGATCTGTGAACATCTTGGCGGCATTGACCCAATTGGCTTGTGATCTCTGGACCTCCCGTGCAGTAGCGTCTTGTCCAGCCCTCCTGCATACCGCGCGCCTTCGTCATACAACCTGGGGAAGGTCCACATTAGGCGGAGTCATCCCCAAAATTCGAGTGGCAGAAGATCTTATCTGCCCTTGCCTACCTCGTCTAACCTGCGACGTGGTAACACACGCGTGTCTCCGGCCCTCTCGAGGACGAAACACACGGCAAATTTTGGCCTAGTGCCTGTCTGGTCCTGATCGCACCTCTCCCCCCTGCATGTGTATTCCGGTATAGGTGCTAAGAGGCTAGCCGGGTTTGCAGCAGATTGAACGACAGTACGGATTGCGATCTCGCTTTCGTACTAATATTTCCCTTTTTCCCCCTTTCATTTTTTCCCTTGGAGGCGCACTTGGCTTCGGGAATTTCAATTCTTCTGAGCCGCATTCTGCAGACCAATCTACAGAGGTACTTCGTGAGACAGTTGCACCGTCAGACTTTGGGCACCTGGTCAAATCAGGCAGCGAGGCAACTCTCATTCATTCTGAGACTCGAATGCTCGGGACTTTGAGATTCCAGGTTTAGCTCAACGATGCCGAATCAACGAAGAAAGGTAAAACATGAACAAAGGGGAAGCGTAACAAGCAACGGAAGCATGGCGGAATCAGTCGCGGATGCTGCTTTTGAAGTCATTGTTTTGGTAAGTCTCCCGCATATGACATGTATTGAAATGTCTCACGTTTCTGGTCTCGACTTTGTTTCACAGTCTCGAGGGAGTGTGGATCCGGTCTCGGGTTCCAGCAGCCTGCAAGTTTTGATGCTGACTCGGTTCAGGGGCCAAATGGTGGACCTCGTGAGGACAGGGTGACTGGCCTATTGGTACGGTCGACTTCAACCGGCTGGCAGCCAAACTCCGCCATCGCTGTGGATGGGGGTACCCTTCTCGCCGGGATCATTCGTTTGCTGAAGAGGGATATCGAAGGAGCTAGGGATAATGTGCTGCAGCATGGTCCCTTTGCAGGTCTACGCCTCCCATTTAAGTCGGCAGAAGCCAACGGAGCGCATGTATTCAGGGAGATCATCGATGCAGTTCTCATCACACACCCTCATCTTGATCACATTTCGGGTCTGGCAATCAATACACCGATTGTCGAGGCAGGAAATGGTCCCAAGTCTGTGGCTGCTCTTCCATCCGTGATAGCAGCCCTCAAAAACCACATGTTCAATGATGTTATCTGGCCGAACCTGTCCGACGAGGATGGCGGTGCAGGCTTGCTTACTTACAATCGCCTGGTCGAGGGCGGCAACAATAGATTTGGCACTGGAGAGGTCCGGGGCTATGTACGAGCCTGCACTGGTATAACGACTAAGTGTCTAACTGTCAGCCATGGGAGGTGCAAGCAGCGGTATCACCCAGAAACCGCGACGCATCACAGGATCAATAGCACTATATTCGCACCTCATCTACCTGAGCATTTCATGCTGCCTTCTCGAGCGATGTCAATTGATCCAAATGAAGGAAGGTAATTTTGACTCTTTTCAAAAGACAAGTTGCAGATGAACTTCTTGCTAATCCCATATCTAGCTTTTACTCCCCCGCTCGCTCACCCCGACTTGCTGCGACCAAGGAGCCTACCATGGCCACTGTTGAAAGCTCTGCATTCTTTCTGCGAGACAGCATAAGCGGAAAAGAGATAATCGTCTTTGGAGATGTCGAGCCGGATTCGGTAGCTCTAGAGCCACACAATCGGCGCGTCTGGAAAACCGCTGCCCCCAAAGTCGAGGATGGCACCCTTCGCGCAATCTTCATCGAGTGCTCTTATAATGACAGCGTCGATGATGCCTATTTATACGGTCACCTGTGTCCCAGACATCTCATCGCTGAACTGAGCGTCCTCGCCAAGTTCGTGATGGAGGCACGCGACAAAAAGAACAGCTTGCCTGCGCAAAATCCCAGCGATCCAGCAAAGTCAAAACGCAAATGGGATAGTACGCCCAACGATGATCCTATGTCTGTAAGCCCAAGATCCATGAAGCGAACACGCAGCATGGGCGGCAGAGCAGACCTGGCAAAATTAAACAGAGTATCTGAAACACCCGACGCGCCCTCCTTGTACGAGGAAGAGGATTTTGATTTCAGTGCCCCGAACGCATCCCGCTGGGCTGGCGCTGATCCTCTTCCACTGCAAGATTTATCTGTTTACATCATTCACATCAAAGAGACGCTCGCTGATGGACCACCTCCCGGGTATGAGATCCTGAGCCAGTTGCGGAAGCAGGCAGCTGAGTCGTCTCTGGGCTGTCAGTTTTTCCTTCCAGACCCGGAGGAAGGCATATTTATTTCATGAAGTTTGGCTCTTTTTCTTCTTCGCTTCTAGTATTTATTATTTTGATTCGGCGCAGGATTTTATATTATTCTTATGTTTGGAAATAGACGGTACCAAGGCAGTGCAGAATAGGGGCGGATTCTTGTATTTTTTTTCCATTATTCCAATGTTATTATTCCTTAACGATGAGCAAGGCATAGGTATCTCTGTGGAGATCAGATCAAACTTATAGTCAGCAAACATCGGCCATGATCTCAAACTGACATAATGTAACAAATAATCCACAGCATAATCCATCGATCAAGCCGATTGCCCCTCTGTCGCTCTGGCAATGACATCCTCCCAGACACACCCGCCGGCGGAGGGAATCCGAAGACCAGACGCAACAGAACCATCTTCACTATCACGTGGGGGAAGGGCAGCAGGCAAATCCAGAATAGTCTCCCCATCTCTAGCAAAATCAATCAGATCCTCCTCGCTACCCCATTCACCCATAGCCATCAAACCTATAGGCACACCGCTATCTGGATCATAGCCAGCAGGACAGCTTATAGAAGGGCAACCAGTGAAATTAGCCAGCCAGACATACTCCATATTTCTCACAGACGCCTTGCCATCCGATACGCCGCGAGAGAGATCTGCTTCACCACCATCAATATGCCAACCAGGGAGAGGAGTAGTAGGAGAGAGAATCAAGAGACCAGGGTGCTTCTGGAAGAGGTGGGAGAGGTGGGTCATCAATAAATTGCGTAGACGCTGGGCCACGAGGAGTTCCTGCGCGGTGATCTGGTACATTCCCAAAGAGACGAGAACCTTGTTTGGAGCCGTCAGATGGCGGATCTGACGAGCATCCACGCCAGATGCAATTTCCGCCATGATAGTCAAAACATGAGCGCGCTGGCCTTCAGGAAGATAAGGTATTGTGATATCGATGACATCGTAGCCATTTTGACGGTAGTGATCCAATGCGGTGTCAAAGACCGCACGAACAGGGGCTTCGGCGCGGTCGATCCATTCGCGCATTATACCGATTGTCTTGGCGCGTTTACGGTCCGGTAGGGCGGGAATGGGCCTTGGGAATTGAGAGGAGATTGGATCTTGCGAGGCGGGGGCGGGCGTGGCCATGATCCGGTAGGCGAGGGCAAGGTCATCGATGTTTGAGGCCATGGGCCCGAGTACGCCTACAGTCGGGGCAAGACTTTGGGATGGTGCTCCAGATACACGGCCGTGGGTAGTCTTTAGCCCCCATATGCCACAGAATGATGAGGGAATACGGATTGAACCGCCGCCGTCTGCACCCAGGGCAATGGGCACCAATCCTGCACCAACCGCATATCCAGATCCGCCAGAAGATCCACCGCAATAGTAGCTTTTGTTATGAGGATTTCGAGGGGTGCCGAAGTTGGGATTATTGTTGGTGGTGTCTGCGGAGTTTAGCAACGAGAGTTAAGGGTATTGGTTTTCGATATCTCATACCGAGGCCGAGTTCGTGCATGGTGGTCTTCCCAATGACAATAGCTCCGGCTTCTTGCCATTGCTGTACACACCAAGAGGTAGCATCGCTGCCAGCCTTAAAATCTAATTTACTTCCCAATGTCCGTTTATAGCCTGTGATATGGACTTCATCCTTGACCGCGACGGGGATGCCATCAAGAGGACCTAGTGGCTGACCCTTCTTGTATCTCTCGGAAGAGGCTTCTGCGGCTGCTTGAATGATCTCGACCTGAGACTCAAGGAAGGCAGTCGAGTGTTTCCCCACAGGCTGAACATCACGACGCACCAGGGGAAGCAAAGCCTCGACGACCGCGGTTGGGGTCAGTTCACCCGACAAGTATAACGCGCGATAGTCGGCAGAGGTATAATAGCTATGGGGTCCGTTTCGCTTCGCAATCGGAGGGATATCGGTGTCATTGTGGATATTATCAACAGGAATCACGGTGGGATCGTAGCGGCCGGAGTACTGATAGAGGTGGGGGATTTCGCGTATGACATCGAAGCCAGCACTGCGCCAGAAATGGCTTTGAACGAAACCTATATTATGGATCCTGGCGAGTCATCAACGGTCAGCTCTCGTGTCCTCGCTGCAAGCTTTCAAAGTTGGAATGGAAGGTCTTTTGGAGCTTACAAGGTCGCACCGATGGCCAAAGGTATACCTCGGAAGACAGGTATGGATTGAGTTTCATTCTTGTAGGGTACTAAAGGGCCCTCGCGAGGCTGGGGATAATTGAGGAACGACTGTTTGCTGGAAGCCATTTTTTGCAGGTCATAGTAGGAGCTGGAGCTGGAACCGGAGCTGGAGACGGAGCTTCAAGGAAAGCGGAGGTGGCAGATCCCGCCGAGGCGATGATCCACGGGTGTCTTGGCACGATATGATCTCACTTACCTCGGCACGTGGATTGTGTTACTAATAACTCTGTTAAATATGTATGGATTACGCTGAACAGCAAGGTAATACTACTAATACAGCCACTTTAAGCTTGGAAGCTTGATACTATTTGCAAATTTATAATACATCTATAGGCGCAATTTGATGTTGGCCTTTTCCATGCCCAACGCAATGCCGGTGAGGATCGCCATGTAGGCAACCAATATGGCCATGGCTTGGGGCACGTTGACATCCAGGGTCGGAATACTCAGATTAACCACACCCGTCAGCAGGTTGGCAATTAAGAAGATCGCGAGTCCACCGTGATTAAATGATGTCAAAACGCGACTCGTGGCAAATGAAGTCCTTTCTCCTTCGCCGTCCTTGCTGCTCGCTCGATGAACAGCTGGGAAGAACACAGTCTCGACCAGGCAGAACAGAAGCAGCTGCGCACTGTTGAAAGCAGAGACCCACAAGACGTATGGCATATTTGCAAGGCGACGCGATACATGGATACCAGCGCCATAGCCGAATGCGTAGGTAGAGTTGAAGAAGAACAAGCTTGACCAGAACAGTACTTGCAGGGTCAAGCTGATAAGCACGGACTTGCGAGCTTGCTGCGGCGATTTTGATGAGGAAGTACCTCGGGGAATGATGCGAGTCCCAACACCCCTTCCAGCGAGGAAAATCGCCAAGTAGCCCAGGAAAGAGAAGATTCCCTCACGGTTCTTAGAGATCAAGTCCTCGCCCCGAGGAGAGATCAAAATATATGCTTTCAAGTCGGTGGACTCTAAGAGAACTTGGTAGAATATGGCAATACTAATGGCCAGCGCCTCATAAGAGGGAATCAAGGCCGTCAAAGAATCGAATATCTCCACAAATGGAGGCAAAAATCCAAGAGTGAAGAAAAAGTTCCAGTGAACTCCATACTCGGTGACATGCTCCGCATAGTCAAGGCCCTTGACACTCCAAAGCCGAATGAGACCCAGCACAAGCAGGGGAATAGAATGTCGCATTGAGCCAAGGAGTCTCTTTGAAAAAGTAGCGTTGGGGGAACTGGAAGCCCGACTCTTTAAAAGTGCACGCGCAGAAACCACGCCGGCCGAGAAAACGAATGAGCCCACACCCATGTCCATCAACGAGGTGCCCCAATTCTCAACCTTGGCGAACCGGCGTGGGAAGACTCGGAAATCCACGGCGAGAATGGCGACACACGTAACTATCATCATCGCCGAGCGGTAGGTGGTCAGGAACGGGTGGATTGGTAAGGAGAGTGCATCTTCTTTAGATGTTTCATCCTTGGCGTTTTGCTTGCGGGGTGGTTTGGCTTTCTGGGTAGGGCGAAGAGGAGGCTGGGTCAAGAACAACAGGATCGCAGGGGTGATGAGGAGAATATTTAATAGGACGGGTGCTGACGAGTAAGCGGTGGTCGCGAAAAGGATGGCCAGAACATTGAGAAGAAAGTCTGTTAAAAGAGCGGCGGGTCCGTAAGGCGTAAAGAACGATAGCCGGGATTGGAGCGCGGACCACAAAAGTACCGAAGCCTAGACAGACCATGTATGAGTATTCGGCTTTTTTTTTTGAGATTGGCAAGGAAGGGGGAGGTTGGACAATACCGGCGCGACTAATGTGACGGCATTGATGTCACCGATAGTGCTTCCCGAGAGGTTCGAGACGAATGCCTCTTTCCGAGCTTTATAACTTGCATCCATTTTTGAGGCTGAGGTGATATGAGACGAACAGTATCACCTTTGACCAATTGTCCGCATTTGTAATCAAAGAGAACGCGGGGGATTGATATTGGAGGTGGAACGGAGCGGATTTTGGAGGTCCAAAGGCTAAGGTAAAGCTCCCGGGGGAGACAACACCGTGGCAATCACCTGATCCGCGATGTATGCCTTGCGGATCCCCGGAACCTTCTCGACACATGCTCTTATTTCCCACGTCACCTACGCATGAGATTCTTCTCTAGATTCTGATAAATGAGCGAAGATGCTTGTATGCGCTCTCTAACCTTGGTACTAACTATATGTTACATGAATGGTTCCCCACCATGAAGCTGGCCACAGCCTCAGTACCGATCTAGGCAGAAGGAATCAACAATGGCCATGATAACACCGATCAACAAATCAAACAGCGTTGGTAAAGCAAGGCTAGCTCGAGGCTTCGAGGGGTCTGCAATTCGGAAACGCTCAGGGTACGGCCGGCAGTGAACGCGATTGGAGGATGGGCGTTGCAAGGCCCCGGGAAGCGACGATCTGGGGTATCACGCTCGTGGTTTCTTGCAAGGCTAGTCCGGACCACTCCTTAAATCCCCTCCCTTAACCCGGCATCACGTTCAGTGTTGCAGCCTGGCTGGAAAGTTGGATGAGGTTTTTTCCGTTGCGGATCAGGAGCCTCCTCGAGTCAGGGCTTTTGATCGGACCCGCTCGACATCTCAGCTTGTGGATATAGAATGCATAGCTGTGAACTCAATCTACCTTGGATTTTAAAAATAACCGAATCCGAGGGGGACTCGGATCCGGCCCCATCAGGGACGATCAGAGTCGATCGGAATCTCGTGCCAAACAAAACATCATTCAAGGCCCCAGTGCTCGCTCCGTCCAGGAAGGGCTCCGGTAAGCGAATCTCGAGCTACCATGCCACGAGGCTGCGGCTTATGGGATTGTAATTGACCTATTCGTCTCTTCCTATTGGACCGGCAAGGCCGACTAATGGGGATCTGCCGTGCCCGGCGTGCACTGTTCCAAATTTCAACGCCATTTTAATCTGAATTACGACCTAGTATAGCACACACTTGGGTGCGAGTAGGTTAGCCCATACCCTTGTGATAGACGGGAAATTAGCCTTTTAGAATCATTGGCTGCATCCGGGGCGGTCTCTAGATCCTTCTATGCAGATCTTACCATTGTCAATTTGACTTGCTGAAAGTTTTCATTTTGATTCAAACCTGATGGGCTGGATAGCGTCTAACTCGCAAGTAATGAATTGTTTGTGAGTAGTACACTGTACGTAAGGTACACAGAACATTAAAGGTATGGCCTTCGGCGCCTAATCTGGGGCTGCTTTTTCATTGATCCTACTTGGCTGTTGGCAGATTGTTTTTTAATTGAGCACCTGGGAATCATCCCTCACGAATGTGCTCTAGATTTGGTGGAATCCGTTCCGGGCCCGCGCTTGATTAAGTTCGAAGGGGTCATAGAGATGTATACCGCAATTTAGAAATCCATATCAAGGATTTCATTGGATCTTTGATGATGCGGATCGTTGTTTTGGTGTTTCATTATCAGTGCATAGATCTACGTGAGAGTGTTAAGAGGAATCCCGGCTTTTTATTGATCATGCAAGTTGATTCGAACACGGCCGAGAGAACGACTCGGGTAACAAGACGAGTCTGGGCGTTGGCAAATCCTGGGGGCCAAAAATGAAAAAAAGGGTCGAAATATCCCACCCGGGTAACGCCGCCGCCGGGGGTTTGCTACTCGATTTCGGGCGCGGAGACGGAGACGAGGAATCTGTGCAGAGTGATGGTCCCGACATACTAGGGTCTAGAAGTAGTAGGTAAGTGAACTGGCAAAATGCATAACCTCAAATCCGGTATGCCGTGAAGCCAACAGCCTTGTGTCGTTCGTTTTCTTTTGATAAATTTCTCTTTTTCGTATCGGGATTGGCTAGGTCCCCCACTTAAGAAAGCCGAAAGATTGAGAATAGGCATTGTTGGGAATTTGCAGTCACGAAAGAGCGAAAAATTAGTTTGATATCATGATACTTGGGTATCAAAGGCTGGTAGGCGGAGAAACCACCTCTTAGTTACGGTTGTAGCGTCAGAAAGCGTATCGAATTCCTTCTAGTCCCTCCCGGAAGTCGCATATTTTGCCAATTCCACAAAATGGAGTCGACGGAACCGTAGGAGGATGGAAGGACGCTACTCTATGATCATAGCCTCTGGGTACGTACCCACAGGGTTCGTGCGGCCTCCCATGGCCAATTGCCCATCAACTCTGCATCCAATGGTTGACTTCGCGGCATATGTGCGAGTGGCATTTTGCTTGGGGCCTGGCCTTATGCCAATGCAGATCCGGAGAAAGATACAGGCCCATCGCGGTGGTATGAGTCCGTTTTTAAGGCACTTGATCCCCTGCAGACCGCTGCCATAGAGACCGCCTAGGCTCCAAACCCGCATCTTTCGCCCCATTGCGGAGTAGCCCAAAGTCCTTTTCGTTTAGTTACTCTAGTCGGGATTTGGTCCAGACCATCTGCTTCCTTCTCTGATACCCCTACTGCGGGTCGGGTCTGATGATAACAGGGGCCGCCCGCACGAGGGTACGTCAACACACTCAACGCCATCTTGGAAAGCGCTCGCGTCTATAGGCTCTGACTTTATGCTGGCTTTTCTTCACCCAGTGGCCACTATTAGATCCATGGTCACCAAAAACGCCCTTTTTGTCTGAGACGACTGGGTCAAGAAAAGTCGGACTGCCATCAGGAGTCTGGAGCCTAGCTTTGCTGGCCCAACATCGAAACGTGCTATGGACAGTCAAGACGGCGGGCCACCACCCAGAAAGCGCGAGTCTCGCTCTGGAACCCGAAAAGTCACTGCTCTCTCTTCCGAGCAGCTGGAACGGAAACGTGCAAACGACCGGGAAGCTCAACGATCCATTCGACAGCGCACCAAAGAGCATATCGAGCAACTTGAGACACAAGTTTCGTTCCTGCAGGCCCAGATTGCGGAAATGCGATCCCACAGTGATCAATTTCAAGAAATACTTCAAAGAAATGCTGCTCTAGAGGACGAGGTCGGTCGCTTGAAACGCCAGCTGGCCTATTCAGGCCATTCCGGAATGGCAGTAGATGATGAAGAAGTTCTTCCTTACAGAAGTAGTTGGCATTCTGGTGAAGAGCCTGGGAATTCGGCGTCGGCTGTCCCGGGAGCTAGCACAATGATTCCAACACCTCAGCTTACCGGATCATCTCATCCTTTGTCATCGAGGCTTCCTCGGACACCATCGGCCGTATCGATGTCAAGTCGATCATCGCACCCTCAAGATTGGCCGCAATACACAAACACGCGTTCACCGTCTCTCAGGAGAGTCCGCGGGGTCGGAGTTTCCAGGGCGCATGGAGTCTTATGTGATAGACGGGCATTTGCAACAGGGGACGCGTCTGGCGCTCCCACCATCCATCGCCCTCTCGGCGCCACAGATCAGTTATTCACCCAGCCAACAATCAACTGAGAATGCATTTGGGGAGGTATATTCCGTAAGTCAGAGTCGGGGAGAGCATTCGGACAACCTGCACTCGTCCTCGCAGTCTTCGACAGACCACGTTCCTTCTTCGTTTCTGCTATCCCAACGAACCCAGGCCATTTCCATGCCTGGCGTCAGGGCTGAGGCCCAACCAGCATCAGCCCAGTCTTACCAAGCATCCGGAGCACCGTACCAGGATTCCCTACCGAGACAAAGGGATCTACACTACCCTTACCCTTGGAAGCCGCAATCCTAAGCATGTTCGGTCGTGGGTAAGATTAGCCTCAAGTCAAGACTTGATCTAGGTAATTCTCAAACTTGGCGTGATGAGAGTCGGCTGGAAAGGGGCGGCAGAGAAGGAGGCAATGGGAGAAAAGGGGATCTAGATGTTTGAAGGTAAGTTTCACGTTGGACAAAGAACCCGGTCATTTTTGTGGCAGCTCACATTCTCTCGAATTTCGCAGCCAGCCTTTTCCCTCGTCGACGGTCAAAAATGGACGGAGACGGCAACCTTGGAATCAACTCGGCTCGCATGAAAGAAACGGAAAATACATCCGCCTTGTACGACAATAAATGTGGTCCCCACACGACAATTTTGCATATCTTGCCATCATTTATTTACCTTGGGGTTATTAAAATTCAAATTGGAGGTTTGAAAAAGAGAAAAAAGAAACTAATACATAGCATTCAAGCATTATACATCCATGGATGGGATGTTTGAAGGACCTCGGAAGTTGAAGAACCCGTGGACCGATGGGCCTGCTGGCTGGGTTGTCTTCCATGTTCGGAAAGCGACGAGGTACTACTACTAGTAGTATGTCACGGCGTGCTACGTGGAGTTTAGTTTTGATACAATAGATCAAATATCTTGGTAATTTGGTTTCTCAACTGTGTTCCATTAATGTATCAAGATCCCCGGTGAACGCGGTAGCCACAAGGCAAGTAGTATGAAGCTCATACAGTGCCTAGGAATAAGTTTGAACCTTACCCCACTTGGGGATCTTTCGATCTTCTAGGCTTTGGTTAGGAGTCCGTCCAAATATTTAAAAGCTGTGCAGGAAAACAGAGTGCCTACCAAATACTAGTTAGTACATGCCAGTGATCGGAACTTGTCTAAAATGAACAAAAGCCAAACCCCCATGACACAACAAGACCTAGGCAAGTAAATTTATTTCTACAGGTAATTCACACTAATTTCTCTTGCTTCTGAGGACATTTACGGAAGGTCCCCTAAAAAATTGAAGATATATGGCAAACTGCAGGTGTGGCCCTATCGCATGACTGTAGCCCTGCCGAAGGGCTGTGCTGCGGTGGAGCTGCCTAACTCCAGGCTCACCTTTGCCTCGTCGATTAGCATCCCCTCCCCGTGGCATGGGGTATTATTAATTTTTCCCCTTATAAAGATCTCGGCCTCGAAGGGAAACGATTTTTTGTTCTTCCTCTTCCTCTTTCTAAATCTCTCAATACCTGAAATCCCTTACTTGACATGGACCCTCTCAAGATCAGTGTTAACGGCGAGTCATCCATCACTCGTCTGGCCGAGCAGGGTCTCCGACTTTCCGTGGAATCACAGGGCCCAAAACTAGAAGCTGCATCCAAGGAAGTGGTTTCGAGGTCAAATGAACTCACTGGTCTTTTCAAGGCATTTTCTCCACAGACTCAGGCGGGTACAGTAGACTTCGAGAACAGTTTACCCCCCCAGACACTCACACTTTGTTTCTCGGGCCCTACCCGAAACTACGCTGATCTATATTAGGTAATGGCGTATAAAATATTTACTATAAATAGCTATGCCTGTATTTTGGGACTATCGCTTTACGTATCATTACGTATCTTACACGAAATCCCTATACACTTGCACCTTCCTGCCCCTCCGTACCATGAGATTTTTCTCTTTCGCACTCTTTCTGAGGACTGCTCAAATCTTCTACACAACATGGCACCCAGACTCAACCGTTCAAAGTTGCTGTTTATCAGTGATATGATCAAAAGCCAGTCGCTAACCCATTCTCAAATAGCCGAGGTAGCAGAATGCAGCAAACAGACAGTCAAAATATCCGCAGAAACTTGCGACTGTTTGGAAACATATATGCCCCACTAACTGGGATCGGTTGTAGAAGCAGTTTAACACCACTGATGCTAGGAGTCCTCTGGAATCCTAGGTGAGATGCTCTATGCTAAACACAGTCCGGGCTAACGCAAAAGTTCTCTGGCTGAAGTTACGAATAAATTTCTCTCAAAGAATCTTCAACGCAAGTGTAAATTACACGTACGAAAACCAAAGGGCTGTCGATGTAGGTTATTGCTTGAAATGGATTGTGGTGCATCGCAAATTCAATTAGACTGGTAAACAAAAAGGATGCTTACCCAAGGCAAAATAAAACAAAGACAAAGATTGAATCATGTTTCGATAGCCAGATCCCCGGTTTCCCATAACAAGAGAGTGTCAGATATGGACACAGCATAGGGGTGAGCGTGACCTAAAACTCGTTGTTGCTTGGCAAGGCAGGTTCTGAGCAAATCGATCGCTTCTGGACACCGTTCTGGACACCGACCGGTAGATTTCAAAGTGTAAGCTAGATTGGCCATGCTCCTCAGCGTGGAGGGATGGTCTGCACCAAGCTTAGTCTTGCGAGTCTCCATCACCTGCACCTGGAGCTGCTTGGCTTCATCTAATCGACCCTGGTTGCTATAAGTCGACGCGAGGTTGGCCATGCTCTCCAGCGTATCAGGATGGCCCGCGCCGAGCTTAGTCTTGCGAGTCTCCATCACCTGCATCTCAAGCTGCTCAGCTTCATCTAACCGATCCTGGTCCCAATATATCGACGCAAGGTTGGCCATACTCATTAGCGTCGAGGGATGGTCAGCGCCAAGCTTAGTCTTGCGAGTCTCCATCACCTGCACCTGGAGCTGCTCGGCCTCCTCCCACCGACCCTGCTTCCTATACGTCGACGCGAGGTTGGCCATACTCATTAGCGTCGAGGGATGGTCAGCGCCAAGCTTAGTCTTGCGAGTCTCCGTCACCTGCACCTGGAGCTGCTCGGCTTCCTCCCACTGACCCTGCTTCCTATACATCGACGCGAGGTTGGCCATACTCAATAGCGTCGAGGGATGGTCAGCGCCAAGCTTAGTCTTGCGAGTCTCCATCACCTGCACCTGGAGCTGCTCGGCTTCCTCCCACCGGCCCTGCTTCCTATACGTCGACGCGAGGTTGGCCATGCTCACCAGTGTGTTAGGATGGCCCGCGCCGAGGTTCACCTTGCTCGTCTCTATTACCTGCACCTCAAGCTGCTCGGCTTTATCTAACCGACCCTGATTCCTATACGTCGACGCTAAGTTGTCCATGCTCACTAGCGTGTTAGGATCTCCCGCGCCGAGCTTAGTCTTGCAAGTCTCCATCACCTGTACCTCAAGCTGCTCAGCTTCATCTAACCGACCCTGGTCCCAATACGTCGACGCAAGGTTGGCCATGCTTATCAGCGTAGAGGGATGGTCAGCGCTAAGCTTAGTCTTGCTCATCTCTATTACCTGCACCTCAAGCTGCTCAGCTTCATCTAACCGACCCTGGCTCCAATACGTCGATGCGAGGTTGGCTATGCTCGTCAGCGTGGAGGGATGGTCAGCGCCGAGCTTAGTCTTGCGAGTCTCCATCACCTGCACCTGGAGCTGCTCGGCCTTCTCCCACCGCCCTTCTAAACGATATGCTTCTGCTAATATTGCAGTGCTTTTAAGGGTCACTTCGCTCTCTTCACCAAGAACTTTCAATCTATACTTTCGTGACTTTGATGCCATTTCCCTTGATTCTGTGATATATCCACTTCCTTGTGCATACCATGCCCCTCTATAGAGCAGCTCAGCCCATTGCTCTATAGACACTTGGCATTCTGGACGTTGTGATAACGCTCCTTTCACATGTGGAAAGAGTGGCCGGCATTTCTCCCAATTCTCATATTGACCGGTCGGAAATTCTGAATATAGATTTTTGATGAATTGTTCTTTCCACTGTTCGAGCTGACCATGGGTTTTGAGCCATGTACGTACTGTTAGCTGCACTAGTCGATGCATTGTGAACGATATGCTGTCTTCTCTGACCATTATCAATGAAAAGTCGCTGAGGGTCATAATATTATTTTCGAAATCAGTGTCAGCGTCACCATCAGATCCACTGTCTGAGCCAGAACCGTCTGAGATGTCCTCAAGCAGCCCCAGAGAGCTCCCCCCTTCTTTCCTCTCTCCGCTGAACTCGAAGAATATTCTCATTTATTCCTTGCCGGTCAAAAAAGCTCATTAGAGAGAGCAGATCAGCTGCAGACGGCCATTTCCCACGAATATAATCAAATGAAATTTGCCATGTGAGCAAAATAGAGTTTTTAGCCTCCCAATCACGGTAAAGAAGCCCGGCCTCCTCATTTAGTACACGCATTGCTTCACGGTCACTTTTCTGTATTTTTTTGAGGTATTGTAACACAGAACAACAGGGTGATCGATGTGTAATATAACCAGCGGCCTGTACGATCGCGAGTGGCATAAATTCAAGCTCTTGAGCCAGCTGTACCAGGCTCTCATGCTCTGTCGGGATACTTAATTTCTTCTGCAGTAGATCGAGCGCTTCGGCTTGGTTCAGTGGTTGTACTTCGATAAGATTCTGATAATTCGTAACATCTAGCGCCACTCTCCTATTCCGAGTAGTAACAATAATAGACCCACTAGAGTTACCGAAGAGGTACCTCATCAGTGGTTGCGCTAAGGCATTGCTCTGTATATTAGTTTAGCCCTCTTTGCTGGTCACCAAGGGTCTGCGAAAGAACTCATCGTCGTCGACATTATGAGGAAGAGAACCCATTTGCCGATCCTTTCATCCTGTAACCAGTTTCCAACAAGTTGGAATATATTGACATTATGATCCTGCCTCCCAGGAATTTTAACCCGATCCGCAAGGTCACGGAGACTTTGCTCACAGCGAGCTATATTACTCGTATGGATCCAGAAAACCTACGTTTCTGCCGACTGCTGTCGGACCAGATGAGCATACTCAATGGCAAGTTGTATTTTCCTGTTGCCCGTTAGTACAGTATTAAACAAACCTCCTATAGAGTTACTCTGACCCAACACCACCAAGACCGACGAGGGCTATTCGAGACCCTGGAATCAAGGCTTTTTCGTAAATCTGATCAAGGAGTACATCCCTACTGACAAAGTCTGGATCATACGGGAACGGTACAGTCTCGACAGAGGCTCTGGCCGTAGCTCCGGCTGTTCTAGGGATAGAAAGCCGCTGTTAGTCGAACTAACTAGGCCCATCATCTACGCTATTAATAACTCACCCGCCGGGAGGTTTACCACCCCATTATTGATCCCCACCTGGTAGCCTGAATTTCTATCGCCAAAATTCACGCAGCCCATAGTCAAGAATTAATTAACAATATTCAGGGGGTTTCGAGAGAAACAAGGCGTTAATACTAAAATAGTTAACCATCGTTAGCCTCACCATCAGGTGACTTCATGGGCGCTAAGCATTTGCACTTTAGTGGCCGGAAACGCTTGTGGAGGGAGAATCCTACGAGAATTCATACCCTGTCACAAGCCAACCCCATATTTAGCCAACCAAGGTGAGTAGGTACTTAACGGCACCAGCACGGCCTTCGTCGTGTAAGAGATAGGTAAAGTCGAGAGTTGCGAAGGAAATTGAAGAGACAAGATAGGCGAGTATCAAGCCAGATCGCCAGATCGCCAAATCTCTCGTCCCTCCCCCCTCCTCCCCCTTTGCTAGAACATTCTACAAATGTATACGGTAATTTACAATAACTCACGAGACAAGGAACCTTAATTATGTTCCACAGTATGATGAGGGGAAATAGGAGTTGTTTTGAAGTAACCAAATACGGACTAGCGTTGTTCCGGGTACGGCCTGAGAAACAAATTGTGAGTGTATGGGGGGTAAACTGTTCTCGAATTCTACTGTATTGCAACTGCAGATTCACCAATGTCGCCTCCACCTTTCTGAGCACGCGGAACTTCACCCCCCCATGACAGGGATGGTCAACCGTTAGAGAAGGTGTATCAGACTTCCATGTCCTTTAGCATCGTCTTTCGCGATATAAGAAAACTCAGCGAGGTCGTTGGCCAGCTTCTGACTTATTCCAATGTGGAAATCTCCTCCATCGATTGGAGTTTGAGCGAGGCCACTCAGAAAGCCCTGGGCTCACAAGTTCGCAGGGAGGTCATTCATGATGCAGTCACTAAGGCAAATGATTATGCCGCTGAGGTTGGACGAGAAGTATACGCGGTGGATATCATGGATGGAGGGCAGAACGCTACCATGCAACATGCACCGGTAGGGAGATCTCTTTTTGGTTCTGCTCCAGCACCATCTGGTGGAGGTCTTTTTGGCGGTGGTGCTACTGTTGGATTTGGAGCCACTACTCCTCAGGCCTCTCAGTCATCTGAGATGCTGAGCCTAAGTCCCCAAAATATCAAATTTACGAGCTCGGTGCACATTGAATTTCAGTCGTACCCGGAAAAGTAATGGGCGACAGGCAACTAGCCCTTTGCAGTCTTTTGCGTGGGATCGATTACATATTTGAGTTTAATTCATATATTTTATTTAAAAAAAAAAACCATCATCTTTTTGGATCAAATCATCTAAAACCCAAGTAGCGGCTCGTCCACCGAATCTACTTCGAAGTCAAATCGAATTAGATCTTCCCTGTAAGGAATAAAATATGTATGCGTAACCCTTTTTAGATTTGTTAGCTGCTTCCATGGCACGTGGAACAATAAATTCAAAATCGGAATACGTATTCAAGTTACCTTTCATGCTCACTGCTTGCCTGGTACGCAGCCAGCGCTGTCTGGTCTTCATGGTAGCTCACTAAGGCATACTGGAACCCCTTGCTCTTCTCCATAGGTTCAGTAATAGAAGGACCTCCCACGACAAGTCTTTGGCTCTTGACACAAGGCAATGATTTGAGTGTTTTTATTTGCGTAAGAAACTCCTCTCGTACGGCAGAGGAGGCATCTGCCCGAAATTTAAACAAGACTGTTGGAAACCATGGAGGTCAATAAGCGCACAATGCTAGGAAGTATTCCATTGAACGAACCGATATGGCAGATCGTCATTTTTGAATAGAATACTGGGGGTCAAGTAATAGATTTCAAGTTATTTGAAGTTGAAACTGGGGTAAATTGGACATTTTATGGTTCAGCTGGGCGACGGATGACATCCGAAGAGGCGGGGGAAGGCCGCAGATGCTGTGGCGGCAACCGACGGAAGCTCCCCGCACATTTCTTCCGGCAACGAGACTTCCACTTCCACTTCTCATCGCTCCAAGCCCTCATAATTCGAGAGAAAATGGAGACCCCACGCCGTAATCGGAATCGTGCTGCATGTCGGAGATGCCAACGCCGAAAAATTAAGTGTGATGGGACTCTACCCCAATGCACCTCATGTAAAAAGGCAAATGTGACTTGCATAAACGACGGGAAGCAAGAGGTTAATCGGACGTGAGTTATCTCCTGTGCGGGTACTGAATGTATAATAACTGGGGGAATAGCTACATTGCCAGCTTGCAAAAACGCGTTCAATGGCTCGAATCACTGGTGCGTGAACAGGGTAGAAGTCTAGATGCTGAACCGCCCGAGTCTGTGGACCTTGCGCATTCTGGACCTCCATTTGAAGAAGATCACACCTTCACCCGTTCTATTACTTCGCAAAATCAAAATGAAGAGATCCGGCCTGAGCGACATTTGGAAGACAATCGGACTTCCCGCACATCAAGACAAGCTCATGAGATAGGACTAGTGTCTCTGTCTGCCGGCGGCGAGGCAAGATATATTGGACCCTCGAGTGGTTACTTTCTTGCAAATCTCGTTTTCTCCAGCGCTGGTCGGCAAATGGGACCAACAGGAACGACTAGCAGCTCAAATGAGCCGATTTCGTTATCGACGGAGCTATTCAACAGCCCTGCTCCCTTACCAGCCAGGAAAGAGGACGCCATGGAGTTGTCATCGAAATATTTCTCTTCCATCCATCTCACCTACCCATTCTTACACGAGCCATCTCACATGCAGAAACTGGAAAAAATGTACAATGATACGGATCCTGATCCTTCCACTGCATTTCATGTATACATGGTGCTGGCGATAGCTGCCTCGGATTTATCTCGGCGCTTCAGGCTTCGATTGCCTGCAGAGGGCTATTACACTGCGGCTACCAAGCACTTTGAGGGAGCATGTGCTGATGGCTCCTTGGAAGGGCTGCAAAGCTCCCTCCTTCTCATGGTATATGCTCTCCACAATCCCTCCTGTGGAATGAATATTTGGAGCCTCAATTATCAATGCTTGGGCGCTCTAATTGACCTAGGACTTCAACGTGATGTACGAGTGTCTTCAAACTTCCCAATATCTTTCTTGGAGCAAGAGATGAGGACCCGGATTTTCTGGGTAGTCTACACCTTTGATCGAACGTTGGGCACAATGATGGGCAGACCAATTGGAGTTCGAGATGAGGCATGCGAACTTCGAGTGAGCAACGCAACCTTGGAACGATGGTTATGAAAGGAACCATATGCTAATTATCGGTAGCTACCATCAGATGTCGCCGATCAATTTCTCGCTGAGTCGGCTGTTGAAGAAAGGCTCGATCAAGCCCCTCCATCCCACATTACATACTCCATTCACCTCTTCAAGCTGGCGCGGATGAATTCCGAGATCAAATATGTCATGCACAGCATTTGCAGAGATCCACCACAATACGCATACCCTCCCGTTGCTGATATCCATCAGTGGCAGAGGGAAATGGTCAACAGTCTCCAGTCATGGCTACTTAATATTCCACGGGCAACAGGAATGGAACCCATCGCCAAGATCTGTGAAACCAAATTCCACGAGATGATGATCCTGATTCTGCGACCAAGTCCTGGTATTCCAGAGCCCTCAGATGACCTACTCGCAAGATGTTTTCAGCATGCAGTCGAGCTCCTCCATGGTTTCAGAGAGCTATACCGACAAGAAGCGCTGGTATATAGCAGGCTCATTGTGCACTCCATCTTCCTGGGTACACTCATTATGCTTCATAGTATCTGGAGACTACCCCAGATTGCATCACAGGTTCATATTGACGATGTGGTGGCTGACACGGGTATCAGCTTGAACATCCTCAGCAGTATCGGGGAATACTGGACTGAAGCTAAGCGGGCAAGAGACTGCATCCACGAGCTTTCAGGTGCTACTATCCAACGCTTAATCAAAGTTCGAAGCCTTGATAAGTCACCGCGAGCTACAAGGACTCAACCACATAGCTCAATGCAAGCGCAATCAGGAAACATAGTAGCCGAAGAATTTCCAGAGCAGGTCGATTCGGCCATTGGTATTGCGCCGTCAATGATTTCACTTGGAGATGACTATGATTTGAATTTGGATAGCTCAACCCTGCTCAATGACTCATTACCTGGGGGTTTCATGGATTTTACTGGGGCACCGGACTTTGACAGTCTCATGTGGGATGTGTTCAACAATAATTAAGCACATGTAAAATTAGTAACGGCCAATGAATAAATACTATGAGCAAGTATCCCCAGCGACGATCCGATATAAAATCCACACGATTTGTGTTCTAGTATCAATCGCTCTATACAAATTGAATCCAATCTCCACTCCAACTGCGTTAACCATGCGGAGTGTTCCCGTTGGAGCGGGAGCCATCCGCTTCCCCGACTTGCCCCCCGCGTACTTAAAAACGGCTCAACATCTCCATATCGAAATATGAGAATCAACCCCAAAAAGTCAAAAGGAGGTCCAAACAAGCACGACTACAAGAAAAATTCACAATGACCAACGAAAGCCAACAACAAATGCATCTGATCAACCACAAGGATTTGGAATCCTTCGTTGTACAAATCCTCATTGGCAACGGCACCCCTCAAGAAAGTGCCGCCATTGTTGCAAAATGCCTTGTAAGCGCGGACCTCCGGGGTGTTGACACGCATGGAAGCAATCGAATCCCTAGCTACATGGAGCGAATTCGCCAGCAAGCTTTAAACGCCAGCGCAACACCCACTCTCCGTCAAGTAACGCCCGTCGTCGCACAGATCGACGGACACAACGGATTTGGATTCGTCGCGGCACACCAAGGCATGGCACGCGCCATTGAAATGGCCAAGGATTTCGGCATGGGCATGGTCTCTATTAAACACTCCAATCATTTTGGGATGTCCGCGTGGCTCGTTAAGCAGGCTCTGGATGCCGGTATGATGTCGCTTGTTTTCACGAATTCCTCGCCCGCACTTCCTGTCTGGGGCGGCAAGGAGAAAATGATGGGCGTTTCACCGATTGCGTGCGGTGCGCCTTCTGGGAATGCTGCGCGTCCATTTATTCTTGATATGGCGCCATCTATTGCGGCGCGGGGCAAGATTTACAAGGCGTTGAGGAGGGGTGAGAAGATTCCCACAGATTGGGCCCTTGATAAGAATGGAGACCGCACTGATGACCCGGCTAAGGCGCTGGAGGGGGTCATGCTGCCTATGGGCGGACCGAAGGGATCGGCATTGTCGATTATGATGGATGTCTTCTCGGGTGTGTTTTCTGGAGCTGCTTTCGCTGGCCATGTTACAAATCCTTATGATCCATCCAAACCTGCGGATGTGGGCCATTTTCTTGTTGCCATCAGACCGGATTTGTTTATGACTATGGATGAGTTCAAGGAAAGGATGGACTATCTTTACAAGCGGGTTACTGAGTCTGAGAAGATGTCTGGTGTGGATCAGATCTATTTCCCTGGTGAAATTGAGATGATCACGGAGGAGAAGAGACTAGCAGAAGGCATTCCTTTTGCCGATGCGGAGATTGCGAGTTTGAATAAGGAGGCCGATCTGGTCAAGGTTGAGCATTTGAGGGTCCAGGAATAATTGGGCTAAAGTGAATGATATCGTTACCATGTACTAGTAGTACATTTAGAAATACTACATTGAAATTTTATAAGTGATACCCGAAGTATGAATCCTAGCCCCGACACTTGTGGAGGGACAAAAATGACTATGACTACGAGTATGATCGGAGATTCTGTATTTTGAGTAATACACTCTTCGTTTAGTCAAGCTATCATGATTGATACAGCCACTGGAACATGGAAGACCATGTTGCGAATCCATGTCCTAAGGTGATTAACTGTCCTTAGAAGCAAGCCACGAAGCTACCGAGAACCAGTAGAAGCCATCCCTAGCCAATTAAGAAGATGCCACCGAAGCAGAAGGACAACTAATACAACACAGGAGATGCAACATCGAAAAATAGGGCCACTGGAATTCAATTATCGTTCAATAACCCCCCCCATATAAGAAAGTGAGTATGAACGTAAAAAGACACGGGGATGGCAATGATCGCAATTGTAAAAGATATCTCTGAACAAGAACACAGTGCTGGTCCCACTTTACAGTCAGAGTAATAATGACAGGAGAAAGGAAACGTTGAATCACAGAGAAGAAAATGTGGAAGGAAATAGGGATAAGAAACATTAAGCAAGGGGGAAAGGAAAATGTATTCTAACAAAGGAAATGAACATGCTAGATATTAATCAAACACCTGGCGGATGAAGAAGAAATTTCGCTTCATGCACGGAATGGGGGAAGGAAAAGCAGGGTATCACATGGTTATCCAAAAAACATCGCTGCTCCTTTTCAGTCGAATATGATGAAATATTGGAACAGGGTTGGATTGGAATTTGCCTTGCAGGATTCGAACAGTCTGAGGCATCGACTGTTGGTGCCATTTGGTTGCAACGACTGCTCTCGGAGAGATCGGGTAAAGACGATTTTCTTCTTTTTTTTCGAGGTCAAATCGGTGGAGGGATTCACCTGTCGTCACCACCAGCCCGAGACTTGGCGCGCCGTCGGAAAAAGTCCATCACCTTGCGGGCCGCACCTGAACTGCCGGAGTGGTGGGAAGAATCGCGCTCATACTCGTAAGCATCAGCGAATTTGCGGTTGTTCTTTTGCAGAACGTTGGGCCCACGCCCAGACCGACCAGCTTGCATAGATGACCGGGGAAAGCTGTCGTAGGTGGCATTGTAGTCATCGTAATAGTTTGGCTTTGACGAATATGTGTAGTTGTTTCCATGGTGCTGGTCATCGTTTTGGTAGACCTGCTCTGAAGAGATGGCTCCGAATGAATCCTGTGTTTGGTCAAACCGAGACCCAAGCTCAGCAAATTGTTGATCGATCTGTGATTCATAGCTCAGGGGGCCATTGTCTTGCGGATTCTCATGCACCTCGTCTGATGGTCCTTCACTGACGATGCCCATAGCATCCTGGGTTCCATAGCTTGTCGCACGAGGCCGGGTTGGGGATGGGCCAGTAGCGGGGCCTGTAGCTGGGCGCTGGGGACCGCGGGGGTCAACAGGCCGGGAGGTCTGTGGTGCTTCTTCGGGGGTTTGAGCCCGCCCAAAGCCTCGGATGGAAAAGGATTGGGGGGAGAAGAGAAAAGCGACGAGGACGGCCCTCGCCAGCAGCTTCACTGGCTTTCCTGTTGTGACCATACTGCATAGATCGTCGAGAATCCATGGAAACGCGAGAATCCTCTCGGGGAAGAGTCTCTTTCATGCTGGTGGGAGGGTAGCGTTTGTTTTGCCGAGAACGAGCGGCAGTGCTTTGTGAGTTGCGACCACCCATAATAGAACCGGTGCGCCCGAAAAGCTTTTCGCCAAGGCTAGAAACGGTGTTCGAACGCTTGTGACCCTTGGGGGGCTCTTGTCGGGGCGTAGGATTAAAAGTTGAAGGAAGTTGCTGAGTACTGGGGCGGCCGATGGAGGTGGTCGATGACTGTGCAGGATTCTGACCAAGTGCGAATTGGCGGCTCTTTGGCTGTGCTAGACGGCCCTCGGTGTTAGTTGCAGTGACTGTAGGGGCCACTGGCTGCCCATATGAGCCCCGTGAAGGCAGGCGACCAGTGTTGAAAGAGGCCATGGAACCACCTGTTGTCGGCCTCGCGTTCGAGGGTGCTGTGGCGGTCGTATGGGTTCCTGTGATAGCCACGTAGTCCGAAGTGGAGCGAGGGAAATGTCCTGGCAAAGGCTTGTCGTAATTGACAGGCGGCTTCTCCTTGGCTTTAATGGGGACTGGCTCAACTGATTTCTCGGGTACTGGAGGACCCTGCTCTTCTTTCTGAACAGGACCGTGAGGGCGTGACTCGGTGTCTGCAGGGTATTCTCCTCGTACAGTCTGGGACTGCGGAGCGACATATTCGACTTGAACTGTTCTGCGCTTTGCATCACGGGATGTCTTCGATTTCTCGCTTGGCGATTCTTGTGAAATGTCTCCGGCGTGGTGGTTAAGCCCACCGACAGCTGGTACGGGACTTTGGTGTGTCTTCGGTGGCTCGCGGACCGATGCGCTTCGTGCCAGAGTGGGCGCTTCCGGTTGAGATTCGGCTGGGACAGTTGTGTTGGCAATGTCTGCAACATTCGTGGTGCTGCTAGTAATGTGAGAGACGATGTGTGAGTACTCGTTCAGCCAGCTGTGACGAGCCACTTCGAAAAGATCTGCACGTTTGCGAGGATCAGGGACCAGTATGCGCCTCAGGAGGTCACGGGCGTGTGGTGTAACATATTCGGGGAATGTGAGAGGTGTGGTGACAATGTATTTGTACAGAAGATTGATGTTATCTCCATCGGGATTCGCAGGGTCGTCATCGAAGGGGAGATAGCCAGCCAACATCGCATACTGAAGAGGTAGAAAATATTAGTTTCAAAGAACGGGAAAAAATGAGCAATACCAGAGACTGTTTAGAGACATACCAGGATGACACCGCAACTCCACACATCCACCTTGCGCCCAGTGTATAGCGAGTCACTCACGACCAGCTCCGGGGCGGCGTAGCAAGGGCTACCACAGCTTGTTTGCATTAGGTCACCGCGTCGAACCCCGGTGGGACCGATCTTGTCCAGGCGCTTCCGCTTGACATATTCTTTATTGGTTAGATTGTACTCAATCTCCTCCTCCAATGGATCATGCGGATCGAAAGTGTTTGCGAAACCGAAATCAGTAATAATGATATTACGATTCCGATCCAATAACAAGTTCTCCAACTTGAGATCTCTGTGCACGATGCCCTTTTTATGCAGATAGCCAACACCAGAAACGAGTTGCGCGAATAACCGACGCGCGGAGTTATCTTTAAGGTAGCGGTTGTTCAGGATATAGTCGAAAAGTTCACCCCCAGACGCATACTCCATAATAATACCGATATGACGGTCGGTTTCCACCATCTCGTGGAGGCGAACAATATTGGGGTGGGCGAGCTCGCGCAGAATCGAAATTTCTCGGTAGATTTTTGGCAGCCGACTCGGATTCGTTCCAAGGGTGTCTCGGCGTATGAGCTTGATTGCGACTTGAATGCTCCCATCTCTCTTCCATCCCAGTTTGACCTTTCCAAATTCGCCCTCACCGAGGGTCTGGCCTAGAATATAATGGCCGAAAGTCGTCTCTTTGCGCTTAACCGTGTTACCGTTGTTGCTGTAATCGTGGCGACTGCGGTGCCCAGTTCGAGTTCCATCCTCAACGGGATCATTAGAGTAGCTTGCAGCGATATCTCCAGGCGCAGCTGTCGGGGAAGCGCTCACTTGTCGCACCTGCTCTCTCTCCCGGTCCACGACGGGGTCGCTGACCTGTATCGAGTTGATGACTGCACTCGACTCCTTCACTAGAGGTGCCCCATGTGCGTTCTCTGTGTCAGGTTTCATCTCTATGGCGGAAACGGGGGCTGCTCTCGACCTGCCCGAGTCCCGCGATGTTTCTTCAACAGGATCCGGGCGACGGGATCGGCTTTTGCCATTGCGGTCATCGCGCGGTCGATCGCGGTTTTCTTTGCGATCACCCCGACTCTTACTTTGGCGAGAGCCTTTTTCTCCCGATGAACCATTGGGGCTGCGACGGCTGTGGTGCGTAGATGAGACCCTCGGAGGCGGGACCGGTGGTGAGCCTAGCATATCGGGGAAATTGTTGCGCGCATTCCTTTGTGCGGGTGAAGATGCCGTTTGAGATACTGGAGAGTCGTGGGCGGACAGTGGCAAGGCCGACTGGTGGGAAGTGCTCATAGCCGAAGAAGCTGATTAGGGCCGGCCTCAGAAATGGCTGCTAGGCAGATATCAGTAACCTTGATCGCATGTGCTTGTGCAATATGTTCGTTTACGGGATGGGTGAATGCGGGGAGAGTGTTTGCATAGCGGTCGCCGGCATACCTTCTGTTCGATGCGCAGAAAGCCCGGCGAGACTTTCTGGCTGTGTGACGAAATACGACACGCTCTATAGGGTCCTTGTCGACAGGAGAGCCTGCAGCCAATTGCGATTAGCACAATTGACGCGCAGGAAACACCTAGCCCTCCCGAGGGGTGTTTGGCGAGAATCGGAAAGGGAGAGAGTCGGGCGATCGGTCGCACTCACCGAGTGTCGACTTCAGCCTCACAAACTGTACGTCAAACGCGCATGGTTAGCATAGGATCCCCACGTTCGATTCTTATCGGCAATCGACAAAAGGATAAAACATGCGACTGAGGCAGGAATGGAGGGGAGAGGTGGGTGGGCACTGACAGAAGCTTCGATCGGAGGAATGGGGGGAAAGGAATGCCACGCCTTTGGGGGGGGGGGGGTTGCGAACAAGAAAAAACGCACGATAGGGTCCAAAGAATAGCCGGTACACTCGATCACGGCTATTTACCGGCGGAATAACGCGTCGGCAAAGTAGAGAGATGAAGCAAAAGGAAATGAAGAGGAAGATACCTGCACTGCAGGTCTGTAGAGTCCCCTCTTCCGACCCACGACCTGGGGGAGTCGCACGTTGTCCGAAAAACCGGGGGAGAGAAACAAACGCGGAATGAGTATGTCTCAGGCGCGATTGGGTTTTTTCGAGACGATCAAGAGTTCAATTGTCGACGCTGAACATGGTCGAAGCCAGGGCTGAGGGGCGCGGACAGGGGGCGCGAGGGGAGCCAGAAGGCGAGAAACACTGGTCGGAGGGAAAAAGGGGGTTCGAAGGTGAGAGATCCCCAAGAAGAAAACAAACAACAAAAGAAAGAGGAACAAAAGAGGCCGTCGAGACAGACCTCGCGAAAGGATGAGGTGGATGGGAAAGGGGAGGAGAGAGGGAGAGAGAGGTGAGAGAGAGGGTACGAGTAAGATACGGGTCTGGTCGACGGAGTACCTCTACCCTTGGTAGTGTCGTTTAGTCTGGGGGAACCAGCGGGTCTATCCAGCCTTCTACTATCCAGCTACTTTTCCATTGATGGTATTGGGTATTGGGCATTCAGTATTTGATTTTCTATTTCTACAGTACTATACTATATTACCAGCTGAACCTATCGTCCTATACTTAATACTCTGATGATAGGTATGATGCCGTGTGCTGGCTCCATCCAGCCGAGGATACTGTACTTAGTGTAAGCCGCAAGAGAGATAGTACACAATTTACACAAATTGGCGCGACTATTTTCTGCCCTGAGAATCCCCTTGCTGCACCTGTGATAGAACGAAACGGGTGCGAGGCCCGAGGGCTGATCCTCGCATGTGGAGAGCAAAAGGGAAGGTCGGACGGCCTGAGCAGGTATCTGAGGGTCTATGGAGTAGTCATAGCGCAAAGACCAAGTGAATGTCGAGACCATCGTCATCAGAACTGCCACCATGCCCGTAAAGTACGGAGTAAGCTAGCAAAGGATAGGACGGCGTGAGCCCGTTTCAAAAGAAAAAGGGGAGAGGGGGGGGGAGGTGTCGGCGCCGGTTGTTTCGCATCGCTGAAAAGTGGGCACCTCGCTAGGACCGACGATCGTCATTAGGCCCCTAGAAGCGCGATCGACCTCGATTCGATATTATGTACTCCGTATCAAATATCTATCGAGATCTCTCTGCATTATCCTGGGGAAGATCGGGCCCCGATAGCTTCTTGGTCCAGTTAGGAACGGGTCCGGAGATGAGTGTCAATGTAAATTGTGTGCCCGTGGCTGAGTGGTTAAGGTTGCGATGGAGAGGTGGTCCTGGGGGCGGAAATTGCTCGTAGCAACAAAGCTGAGAGAGAAGCCTCCTCGAGTAAGCTTCAGCTTGGTTGTTTGTGTTGAACTCGAGAACAAAGAGGGTTTTGCATTCATTTCCTCTAGGGTTCACATAGTTCCAGCCACCACGGTCGGGGAGGTCAAGAGCTTTCTCCCCAGACATCAATCAATTGGCTTCAAGCTATACTCTCCTGCCAAGTCGAATCGTATCTTGCAGAAATCCACCGTTGTCCATGGTTAAGAGCTGCATTGAATCCACGGATGCGCGTCGGATCGAGCAGATCCTGCGGTACTCCAGTTTCCAACTGCAACCCTTCCGTTCTCCCCACGGGAACTCTTTAGATTGAATGACGACTTCGGCTGCTCCGTCAGGAGTATGGAGGATGGATATTTTAAAATTATTAAATCGCGGCTCGGACTGGTTCCTGACATGGGGGTATTTCGGGGTATCCGCACTGGCTTGTTGCGCTCCACCTGAACTCCACTTAACGGCACCGCAGCGCTCCCGGTTGTCCTCCACGTCGGAATCGTAATCATATCACAAAATCGAGACCGTCCAGGAGTCAGACGCCCGTCCACACTTTTGCTTGAGATGTCGGTGTGGGGACCAGATCGATTGGTGTTTGGCGGTGTCCTTGCTGTTCTGTTCTGATCAGCCTCATTGGTGTGAGTGGGCCGGCCAACTGTCAAGCGGATGATGCGCTGGCACGCTTGCCACCCCTAGAAGCCCTAAGATCTTATTGAATGGAGCGCACCCGGCGGCAACGAGGTGGGGGGGGATGAGGAAAAGACATGGGCGAAAGTCGGCGACAGAATGACGCACGGCCCTAAAGAGCTGGCGGGGACGGGATTTGCAAGTGGCAGAGATTATCCCTGGGAATATCGCCGATGTTACGACTGTCCCACCCGGCCGAAACTTTGATTCTCATCCAATATCCGTTGACTCGGACAATTGGAGCATCTCTACGGTGCCTACAGAATACGTAGTACTGGCAAGGCCAGCTAGCGTAGAACCTTCAGTCAAGAAACATTGTCGCATTGACACACTAGAAAAGACTATCTATGTACAAGATCGGACCTCATCGAATCGCGCTGGGGCCAGAATCCAAATTCAAAACAAAACAAAACAAGGATGAGCTAGATGCCAACGACTCCTCGGACTCCGGATTGAAGGAAGAACAAGAATCAGATCTGCTTGGGCCATTTCACATTCATTTCACATTTCATGATATTTGGTATGGTTCCAATCTGTCGATCCAACAAAACCTTAGGAACGAACGAGCGCTTACCGCTTGGCCCCTGACATGGGCGTGCCGCCGAGTGATTGCGTCTCTGATGCATTGTATGCAGGCGGCGGGCCCGGTGATGGGCCCCGAGCAGCTGGGTCTCGCGCCCCCAAATTCGACGGTCCCGCCTGCGCGTCATGAGGCACCTGGCCACCATCGCCAGCTCCGACAACCACCTGCTGTCCATCACGCATGCGCCCAACCACCATACCCTTTGCCACGGACTTGAGTAGTGCACGTCGACTGACACCCGTGGCATCAATGTATACCAGTCCAACGTTCTTGATGCCACCTGTCAGGTTGGTTGCCACGGAGCCAGCCTCAGTGCCGTACTTATGACCGATCATCGTGCTGGCTGCCTGTGAGCTGGTAAGAAGCATATTCTTTGCCCCTTCCTGAATTCCATCGGCCAGAGTGGAGAACGCAATCATAGACTTGTTCAGCACTCCTGGCTTGTAATCAGGCGGTGGGTTGCTCTTATCAAATTTCTTCGGCCTCGCAGCATCCTTGCGCGCAAAAGATGCACCCAAGTTCTGTGCAACCTTTTCCACTTGTCCAATTGTACGAGAGGAAATGTCCGCGGCACCGTTGGAAAAGGTGCCCATCTTGCGAACGCGGGCGTGAGTCGCTTCGGAGAACGTCACTGGCTTTTGGTTAGGCTTCACCTTCTTGGTGAATGTGTCCGCGCCGCTCGTAAGGGCATTGGCCAGATACGTCGATCCCATGACAACCAAGCGCGATGCCGTAGCTGATGTTTGCACGATTGTCGAATTTTGATACGCCGGGTGTCGGGACATCGCCAGGTATTCTTCGGAGACATTACTCACGCTGACACGATTGCCTTCTCCTTCGCCGGGAAGTTCAATTCCAACAGGGCCTATTGACAGAGATAGTCGTTAGTCGCTGGTCAAGTACCAAAATAATTGGAGTTCAATTACGTTTGGATCCGGGTTTGACGTCCGGATCTTCAACCACGCTGTATCCATCTCCTAGTTCGCCTACAACACTGCCGTCCTCTTCATCTACCAGTACAATCTTCCCATGCGTGTGCTCACCCTTTTTGTCCCCAGTGGGTGAAGAAATATATCCTTCGCCTGGTGCAAAGTTGGCTGGATTGTATGCCGCGTAGCTATCGGGCTTGCCACTGGGGGTGGGAGGAGATCGATCGTGGAAGGCAGTGCACTGCGCAAGGATAGTTTCAAAGGTATCGATGTCATCCTGTGTGACATGGTTTGGGCCCTTTCCAATGCCAGGAAACTGTATTCGAATGAAGGCGCCCACTTCAGGCGCCATGTCCCAGCGGGGGATCAGGTAGCTATCGGGCGGCTGGTGGAATATCTGTGTGGTGGCGGGTAGCGCAAGGTCGAGTTCGGGTGGAAGGTATAGATGAAGATAGAAATCCTCCTCTGGTGTCTGTGTACCTGCACCTGCGGCGTATGGTGGTGTAGGCACCGATGTGGCCGTAGGAACCATGAGCAAAGACAGCGTTTGCGGTCCAGACGGCGTCAACTCCTGCTCCTCGCCATCTTGGATATGGAATGCACGGATGTTGTTGACACTGTAGAGTAGTCGGGGGTCGTGTGTCGTGCTCGACATCTTTGTTGATTTATTTTCTTGCACAAGAAGAGAAATTGGAGCTTGTTCTTGTTGAGCCCACCTTTCTTTAGGTCCTCTAAACCTAGGAAGGTTGATGTGGGCGCTGATAGCGCACGGATAAGGGTATGACGTCGCGTAGAAGATTCGTGAAACAAAGCCACAAGAGAAACTCGAAGAGATTTCTGATTTGGTAGGACGATACCTCGATCAGAAGACAATGAAGAGGAAAGAATATTCTCTTAGGCCCTGGCCAAGTGTTTAGGGAGGGGCACCTCTTATGAACCCGGTCTGGGCGCTTAGATATTGCACCGCCACATTTCTCCGCGATTGCACTGCCTCAACGCCACACCTTACGTCCCACAAGTGTGGCGTAACATTGAGGTCACTCGATCTGCAGCGCTACAGATGATTTGACTACGGTAGTAGGCAGAACCGATTCCGAGACACATCAACAGCCCTGTTCCTAGTAGAAAGATTTAGATATTACATACCTTGGCTATCGATTTCGATTCTTGTCTCAATAGAGCTTTGCCTGGGGTGGTACGACCATTGAAGTTGGTTCATATTCTATATTTGGAACCTGCCTGTCGATTCTTTGTGTCTATAATTTTTGTTTTCGGATGAGATTCCCGAGGAATACAAAGTTGCTTATGAAAGTTATACAATTTTGGATCTTATACATGTACTTCGTACGTACATGCAACCCGCTCGTAAAAGCCATTGACCCACATTTAAATATCCGACCAATGATAGGTGCTTGTTCCAGTTTATGCCGAAATGCAAACTGTGCAAATTTCTCCGCCACCAGGTGCGAACTGCGAATTTTTGGAGAAATCAATGTATTTCGCAAGTACTGTTATTGAAGTGATTCCGAATTTTCCCGCTGCGCGATACGGTGCATGATTCACATTTCCATTCCTACTACAACCAGTCAATCGCAATGCCCGGCATAGACTCCATGGCAGGTCAATCATCCTCGGAGGTGGATGTCACCAAGCGCGCCGCCGACAACGGTAACTCGAGCACTGAAAATACTGAGCAGCCTCCTTCCAAGAAGGCACGTGTGGACATGCCATCGGATAACGATGAGCAGGTGGTTGTGCCAGAACGTGATAGAGGCATCGCCCCCATAAAGGCTGAGTATGATACTTGCTCATGATGACTTCCTATGGAATTGGCAGGCTTACATTTACCTCTCCATAGATACCGCATTTCCAAGACCAAGTTTGCGCCGGAGCCCACAGATACCGACGATGCTGCTGAAGCTGGCTCACATGCCGAACGAGACGATGAGAAGAAGGGAAAGAAAAAGAAGAAGCCCACCGGCCAAAACACGAACCGCAGTTTCGGGTTCGTCTAAAGACGAGAAGGGACTATGTGTTTCCGTGATGTTCAGCCCCGAATTCTCTCCCAAGGAGTGTCAGTATGGTGAGAAGTGTCGTTTTGAACACGATCTCCGACTCTATCTGAAGCAATACAAGAGAGAGGATATCGGAACCTTCAAGGGAATTTGTCCTGTCTGGGACACTCGTGGAACATGCTCGGCTGGTTGGAAATGCCGTCTGGTTGGCACCCACTCAACTGAGAGGGAAACAGAGGACGGACGGAAGGAATTGATTCTGCTGGAGGATGAGGAGCGCAAGCAGAAGGCCCAGCCTAAAGTCCCATTCGCGAATGCCGAGGGCATGACCAACATCATTCCCGCAGCGGACAAAGTCGCTCTCGCGCGTAAGAAGGAGACAACTCCTCGTGCCAATCAGTACAATGAATGGCTCAATACGGCAGCACAAGAATTGGAGAAGAACATCCATGGCAAGAAAAAGAATGAGATCGCCGAAGCTGAGAATGCCGAGCAGACCAAGGATGAACTGGAAGACAATCGCGCTCTATATACCGAGCCTCCCTTCATGCCGTCTGAGAAACGACGCATCTACTTTGGCCCCGAGACTCCGACATTGGCACCATTGACCACACAGGGCAACATGCCTTTCCGACGGCTCTGTACCGATCTAGGCGCCCAATTCACCTACTCTGAGATGGCCATGAGTATGCCACTTATCCAAGGCAACAAATCAGAGTGGACTTTACTCAAGGCCCACGAGACAGAAATGCTCCCGCCCAGCGTTATCCCGGGAGACAATATCGTTCAAGGCTACGACAACTCTAAAGATTTTAAGTTCGGTGCTCAAATCACGGCCAACAAACCCTGGCAAGCGCTCAAAGCCACTGAAGTTCTTTCTAAATTCACCCCCCACTTGCGTGTGATTGATCTCAACTGCGGTTGTCCTATTGAACTCGTGTTCCGTGACGGCGCTGGGTCTGCCCTTCTGGATCACCACTCGAAATTGGAGAAAATGATTCGTGGTATGAATGCTGTATCTCAGGAAATTCCCATCACCGTTAAAATCCGTATGGGAACCAGGGATAACTATCCTACTGCTCAAAAGCTCGTTGAGCGTATGGTTCTCGGTGGCCACGAATCTAATGTCCTAAATATCGGTCCTCCCGGTGCTGCCGCTATTACGCTGCACGGCCGAAGCAGACAACAGCGGTATACTCGCCAGGCGGACTGGGGTTATATTGCCGATACTGCGGCACTTATTAAGCGACTGAATGAGACGAAGGATGAAATCACTGACACTATTCGTGAGCCTGATGCGCGCTTCCAGCCGAATGGGGGTAGAACTTACTTCCTCGGAAACGGTGATTGCTTCTCGCATATCGACTATGATGACCACGTCAACAATGGCGGTGTTGATTCAGTTATGGTTGCACGCGGTGCACTCATAAAGCCCTGGCTCTTCGAAGAGATTCAGTCCGGCCAGTACTTGGACAAGTCTGCATCGGAACGTCTGAGCTACATAGAAAAGTTTGCCAAGTACGGTCTCGAGGCATGGGGATCTGACGAGCACGGTGTCGGCACTACTCGCCGCTTCCTGCTAGAATGGCTCAGCTTTGCCTATCGCTACATTCCTATTGGATTATTGGAGCATCTTCCTCCCAGAATTAATCAGCGACCTCCTGCTTACCGTGGCCGTAATGAGTTGGAGACTCTGATGGCCAGCGATAATTACAAGGATTGGGTTAAGATCACGTAAGTTTGCCGCCTTTTGTCATTTGAGACTTATTGAAAACGATCTGAACTAACTATTTTGACTTTAGTGAGATGTTCCTTGGTCCTGCTCACAAAGACTTCAAGTTTGAGCCCAAGCACAAGTCCAATTCTTACGAGGAAGCGGAAGGATAGATGTCAATATCGAAAATATGCTACCTACTTGTGGGCACGTGCACCACACACAACCTTGAAATATTACTCAGTTCAAAGCAATTTCACGAATATAACTTACTATATTTCAGTATGACCTCTTAGGGATATAATCTCAGCCTTCTTAATAGTACTACAACTGGTAGACACCGAAATATATCTCTTCATCCCAGTACCTGGAGTGGCCTACCTAGGTAGGTACTATTACTAGTACTACTACCTAGGTAGTGTCACTTGAGTCCGCCTCAAACTTGGAGGGATATTCCAAGGTTTAAACCTCGGAAGTTTTAATCACTGGCAGTATCTACCCAGGTAGTAGTACTGAGTATATAGAATGTAGACTCGGCGGTTAGAAATACTTGTTGATGCCTGAGGCACTAAAGCAACAGTGACAACTCCAGATAGAGGTCACGTGCACGCTATTCCATGACGTATTCCTTCAAGGCAGGAAACCTCCCCCATTAGAACAACTTAAAACTTGGCCAGGCACCAGGCTACTGTCCAATTCCTTCACACGCCTCGTTCTGACCACGTCTGTTACTACTTGTTTGTGAGATTTTAATATCTTGAACCTGTACCTCGGCCCACTTACCCTCACTGGAATTTGTTTACTCTCGAGCCAGCTGTCACCGAGGCTCTCCAACCGCACCCCACCCCCCTTTTGACCAGCACGAATACTTTACCACACGAAGTGCTTGACTGCGAAATATCGCCAAAATGACTCTCTACTACAGTCTTGTATGTTCCACCTGACAATCCTCACCCTTTGTCCCTATTTGTTCCAACGACCGGTCGACCCGGAGGGGGTTGCAGCCTGACTGAGCTCCCACTATTCCGACCGAGCATCGTGTCACCAATCCTTCTGTTTAGTAGGCTATAGACTGACAATTTATGTGCGTGATATAGGTTTTCCTCCTTCTGGTGTTTGAGATGGCCGTTTTCCTGGCCCTCATCGTCCCTCTTCCGTTCACCATCAAGCGCAAGCTTTTCGCGTTCATCTCGGAGAGTCCTATCATTGCCAAGCTCCAATATGGCCTAAAGGTAGTGTTTCATAACCTGGTTCTTATACTAGGCTGAACTAACATCACACAGATCACTTTTATCTTTATCCTGATCCTCTTCCTTGACAGTGTCAACCGTGTGTATCGGGTTCAGCAAGAGCTGGCTGCCTTCTCCAAAGATGGCGCCGGTGTTGGGTAAGCTTCCTTCTCGTATTGATTAATCAAAACTAACCCACAACTGTCATCGCAGAGCTGCTCACCTGGGCACCGACCGAATGGAGGTGCAAGCACGCAAGTTCTACTCACAGCGCAACATGTACCTTTGCGGTTTCACTCTCTTCCTCTCCCTGATCTTGAACCGCACCTACATCATGATCCTCGAGGTTCTCCGTCTTGAGGACCGTGTCAAGATGCTCGAAGGCGACAAGAAGGCCGGTGGTAAGGACTCTGCTCGTGTTGCCGAGGCCGGCTCTGTCGGTGAGATTGGCGCCCTGAAGAAGGAGCTCGAGGCCAAGGACCGTGACATCGAGACTCTCAAGAAGCAATGCGAAGGCCTGACCCGCGAGTACCACAAGCTTGGAGATGAGGTTTCCACCGAAAAGGGTGACAAGAACGTCAGGAAGGACCTGTAAAGGAATCCCAATCACCTTCAGATGGCAACTTCACACTTCCATGCCTTGATCTTGTCATATATCTTCATCATCGGCACCGAAGAGCCTTGAAGTTGCCATGACTGTCGACTGGTACCGTGCACGTTATTGGCCTACACGTATTCGAGGACTGTTCATAGAACTCCCCACACCCTACGTTTGTGGCCTCGAGATGAGCCCGAAGTTCGAATTACCTCCGCCAAGATAGGTTGACCATTGCGTCATTACCTCCATTCTCACCATTAGCCTTTTGTTTTTGGAACGTGAGCAATGACTTGGAGAGCTTCGAAAGTAATCCGTCTCATTCGCGAAGTTTCTTTTTTTTTACACACTTGATCAAGAATATCTTGCATTTGAAGATAGATTCTAGGGTCATAAAATCATCCTTTTATTTTACAATCATTAAGTAGTCATAAATTTACACACGTAACTGGCCTCCTCGGAAAATGTTATCAGTGAAGCTGGCGCAAGGTCCAGCAAGGCCACCTAAACAAGGAAAGTCCAGAAACTAGGATATACTAATTCTTCCTCGAAGATCCGGCGTACCTGCGCGAGAACAAATCGCTCCACCTTGCCGACATTCTTCAAGACTTGTTTCCCATCTTCCTTTCGGCCAATCTCACTGTCCACTCGGATCTCCTGCAACAACCCTCCTTGGCGTTTTTGGTCGCCAGACCGGGGCCGGCCATCATCACTAGGATTCTGGCTTCCTTGCCCGGCCTCCTGCTCAGAACCGAGAAGAGCGTCTGCGTCTTCGGGTGAAAGGAAGCAGAAATGCACACGTTTCCGAATATATGCAACAACCGCAACCCCGTCAAAGGTGATGCCGGTGACATTGAGTTTCAGAGGAAGACCCACGAAGCTGGGCATTGGATAGTCAAGCAGGATTTCGGCGGTCAGAGACATGCGAACGTCACCTGCATATCTAGCATGGCAAAGGATCTGGAAGTCTTCCGGTCGGCGCTCGCGCATCCGCGGTGGAAGCGGGGCAGAGGGATCGATGGCGGGTTCGATTGAGGGTTGGGGTATATCGGCGGGATCGGTACTATTCCTCGACCCACTGCTACCGGTATGTCCTATAGAGGGGTGGGAAGGGTGTGTATTCGCGGTTGAAGGTCGTGATGCGGAATTGGTCGTATCTATGTCAGCATCCATGCGGTGGTGTAGTTGTGTAGAAGGGCGTTGCAGGCGCGGTCTGCCATGCGCCAGGCCCGAATCCGACCATCCACTCGCGAAAGACGTACCACCTGCTACAGCAGCCAGGGGTGTTTGTGTTCCCGATAAACCGCCCAATGACATGAGATGGTAACCGAGAGTCGACGTGCCTCCCGGGATACCGGGGGTACCGGCGCGAGGAAGAAAATGCGGGTTCAAGTGGTCGCCCATAGGCAGCGGGGACCGAAGAGCAGAGGGTTGATACCCCTCACCTGGGTATGGGTGGTGACTGAAATTTCCGGGGCTGTGTCCAAGCAGTTCATCTTCGTAGGGCGACTCGTGTAGCTCTGAATGTTGTCCTGACCATGGGTGGCCATGCTCATCAACGAGCTCCTCGGAGGTAGTTGAAGTATCGTCATCATCATCCTCCTCATAAAAATCCGAAAATGGTTCACAAAAGTCCTTTATCTCGATATCCGGGGCAATTGTTCCAAACTCAAAGGCATGGACCTGCACGGAGCGAATAAAGCGCGGTAAAGCTACCTGCTGGAACTTGTCATGCACAAATGAGCGGATGCGCTCTGCGAGGGCCTCTCCATCTGGGCCGGAGGTGGCGGTTTCCCAATCGACTTCGATGGACATCACATATGCGACGCGACAACCACGGGCTCATAAAACGCGAAAGGCTGACGCGGTGATAGTCACGGTCACGGGCGGGATTATTTGTCAAAGGAGATTCCGGTGGTTGGATCGCCGACTCGCGACACGTGATATGGAGATAAGATCGGCGCTCAACCGGGGCCATCCCACTTATGGAACTGGGACGACTTGAGGATCGCTCGGGGTTGTTTCTGTGGAGATTTCCAGCCAAGATCATTCACAGAAGGATTGCAGCATCATTGTCCACCATGATTCTTGCTCGAGGACTTGATCTGATCTCCATGACATATGACTTCCACCATTCAATTCTGTCATTAGGGTAATGCCACCACTCCCGAATCCCGATTATTGTGATTTTCGCTCGGCCATGGACGCTAGTGTTGATCTATCGAATCACATAGGGACGCTCAATTCTGGCCCCCAAAAGTTGAGAAAATTGCGAGTGATATGTATCTCAAATACCTGGCCACCGGGCCAATCGCCCTCGGCCCCGAATGACCCAACACGGCGCCTGGATTTCAGATCTCTTGCCATAAATTGTCCAACCCACCCAAGGCCCTTACGACAATGTGGCCTCGCGTTGAGCTATGGTCCCCAAGGGAGCCCGGCACCAATCCATGGCCCCCCATCATTGCGGTATCCCCACTCCCTTCATCTGAGTAGGGGTCCAGAAGCCGTGGCTCTGAGACAAGAGTGTGATTAACATGCATGGAGGCACTGCTGATGCTCCGGTATGGTTAGCAGGAATGAACCAAGGCTTGATTATTTTGTGTTAAAACATTTAATGGCGTGCGAACTTGCCTCAATATACACGTATGCTCCGTGGATTAGTGCGCAGTCAAACCCCCACCTCCATGTCCATACTAATGGTGGCAGTGCTGATAATATGGAATGCCCACAGAATACAATTTCGAGAGAAAAGGCTGGCAAGTAGCTCATGATTTGCTTCTAACCCCACAATCAGATGATACGAACCACCTGCGGGGCCTACCCTAGGGTAATGCAGCCCCTACAGCAAGGATCTGTTCGCGGATGAGAACCTATCGCTGGCGCTGGGCACCATACTCCGCGGTTATCAAGCCCAGGTAATTCGTTGATTCAAGGGTCCCTAGTATGCTGGTGTCCCAGGGAAAGAACCAATGACCAAGTAGTTCCCCTCCACAAATCCCTTCTTTTCCGCCCTTTGTGGTGCTTTGGCGGGCTTGCAAAGCTGTGCATTTCCCTGATTGAGACATCGCAAGGCCCTCGTTCTTGATGGTCGGGGATATCCGTACTTATCATTTCATCACCACGTTCGATCAATTCGCATACCCTCGTCTAACTACCCTAAGAGAGTATCGGGTTCTATTCATCGTCTTTTGAGAGAACCGCGCACCGCCAATCTCTTAGGCGCAGATGCGGAGCTACTCGATTACCGAAACCCAAAATGATGTTGTCCGCTCGGCTTTGGTCTGTTGCCTTCGATGTTGCGGGGCGATGGCAGATCATCACCGGTGCTGGCAGCCAAACCTGCAATGGAAAGATTCCAACACACACAACAGAATGTCGTTCATTATTTCGTCACTACTATGTGTTGGCTTTGTACTTGAACACGAACTTCAAAATGTATAGGCTTGGCCTGAGTGCCACATTGTCGAGAGTACGGGCATCTTCAAAGGTCCAGTCCTTCACCTAGCACCTCTCCCCATTAGAAATTTAAGATCCTTCCTCGTTAACATGAATGGCGCTGACCATTATTCGCGTAATTGTGGAAAGGTCTTGCGGGGCGGCAAATCCCAGTTTGTTGTAATTTCCCCACCCAAAGCCATGATAAGCGTAAAGGATCTGAGTACGCTTCTAGCTCCTTGGCTAGGTGCAATTCCAAATCAATTACGTCCCCATGGAAGGGGTCCAAAGCGGATCCGCATGGGCGTACTCGTAATCATGAGTGGCATTTATTGACTGCACTTTACCTCAAGTTAGTATAGTGTTAGTCAGCTAGTATCTAAGCACTGGCAGAAGGATATGCTCTTTGTATCACAGTAGGGTAGTAAATGGTGAAATATGGATCATGATATTCAAAAACTTGGACGAAGATGGCATCAGCCACAGGTTCACAAAATTGGAAGACAAGGGTTTGGCAGATCCATGAATGAAATAAAAAATAACAAGCTGATTCGAGAAGCAGATCTGATAGATCTCTGCGGCCCAAGCCACAAAGAAGGATTCAGAAAAGCATCGAATGAAAGAGCTTAGAAGGGAAAAAGACCACCCGAAATTTCAGCAACATGTGGACTATAAGACAAAATTGAACAGCACAGAAACTAAATCCCGTGGGACCGCCTCCGAATCCATGCAGAAGAATAAAAATAAATAAATGTGTTCAATGTTGGCCTCTTTTTTGGGGTACGAGAGAGAATGGCATTGTCTTGATGATCATACCGAGTTGACGTTGAGTGGTAATGTCCGAGAGGCTTCGGAATTCGTCTGATCATTTCGCTCACTAGAAATTGTCGTGTGAGCAAAAGCTTGTTCGGCCCAAGCCAGCAGCAGCGAATTACAACCCCACTAACCTTGACAAAGCTTCTAGCCACCATGCTTAGAGCAGTTGTAGCCGTGTCGGCGGCGGAAGTGCTCCTTGATGCCGTGACACAACGGGGTGCCTTTTTTGGCACATGGCACCTCTCCTCCTTCTTTGAGGCAGCAGCCGCAGTCATAGAGAAATATGTAGACCGAGCACATCTTTTTATTGAGAAGGAGTGTCTCGTGTAATGGAATTATTAGAAGGCAAAAAGTGGACTTCGGCGAGGACACGATCGTGGAGATGGAATTGTGCTATTTGATGGAGAAAAGAAGGCGAGCGTGAACCAGCTTTATAGAAACTCGTGTTGTTACCCGGGAGGCATGACTGCGCCGAGTTGCAGCACAGTCTGTACAAAGACATACTGATGGCCCGAAGCGAATCGACCAGTCTTTCCACAGGTGCTGTAAGGAATGGAGTGTCAACGCCCTATGCACCTAATGGAATAGTCGTCACTCGCAGGGTATTTTCCCACCACCTTGCAGGTTGTAAACAAGAGGCATGTGCCAAAAGTTCTTGGCCCGTACATCATTTCGCACCAACAAAAGACACTCTTTGGCGGTTAGGTGGGTCACCAGAAGGTGGAGGCCAGTGGGTTGCGCCTGGTGATCCTTCTGCGCACGCCAATGGCGTACACGGAGATTCCCTCGGCCATCGAACCGTTGATCGAATCGACCATCCCCATCCCCAAATAGAGTTTAGGTGTTGCATATTGCGCTTGACATCATTCCATATAAATCGTATTGCGGACACCAACAGGTCTTCCCCTCCGGCAAATTAGATCAAACCAACACAGGCCGTCAGGTACAGATTGTAGCTCATATGACAAATGGGGCGAGTGATTCTTCAATCAGTTATCCGTTCTAGGACAAGGCACCTGCCATTGTCCTCGTGGTGGGGGTGCATATTCGGGGGCCAGAGAGGCCATAATCTGATACCGGCTGCTCCCGTTGGCTTTTGGTAAGGTTTGTCAGATGGTAGTGGGATATTTCGAGAGCTTGTAATTCTGTTTGACCCTTAGATGAACAGACATTTGAACTTAAAACAAGGGAGAAATGTAGCCGTCCAAAGTGCCATAGTACATACCATGATGCTGGGGAAGCCGAAGGTGGGCCACCAGCTTCCAAAGAGAGACAATATCCGAGTTGTACGCCTAGAACGAAAGCCAACATTATGGTATCCATATTCTAGCCCCAACGCTCAATTGCGCAGCCGGACCAAGTCTCGTTACGCTGCCGCAGTTGGTGATAGTTGGTGATAGTTGGTGATAGTTGGTGATAGTTGGTGATAGCGGTATGAACCTGGCAGCGCTACAAGGTGATGAGACATCCTAATCGCTACCCTTTGTTGGATGGGCACTCGGATAAGTTAGGCGATTACGAACGCAATTTCAAAGGTAAAATCCTGGCGATAGTCGTGGTGGTGGGCAGTGGTCATTAGTGTTGGATGTATGTGATCACATAAGGGCGGTACCCTAATAGGTAATATGCTTCTCAATCTATTGAGGGCCTGCATTCGGCCCGCTGAAGAAATCGAAAGGAAAATTTGCTCTCCTCCAATGAGCCAAGCCCAGGGATTCCCTGACTGACGAAGAGGCAGAAAAGGCTGTGCTTGGGGGCTTCCCGCTCATGATGGGGCGGGGAGTACATGGTCTGAGGCTCTCTCAGCCGCTGCGGCCGGGAGATCGACTCCGAACAAGTAACACGCCGAGATTCTGGGCGCCAAAGAGAGCACAGGCTTAACTTTCAACCTCATCCATTGGATTTGGCGCCGTTGGATTTTGAGCACAGCAACATTCTGTGACTGTGACCTTGCGGATCCTCGGGAAAGAAAGAAAAGGATTCAAGTCTGCTTTTTGCTAGCAGTGACAGTCTACCACGTGATTATCTAATGCAACCGCGCCCTGGCCCAGCTTGAATGTTTGTGGTTTGCAGAAGCAACCAAGCCAAGGCCCTCGAGTTTCCAACTCATCTCCGTTACGCCGGGGTACAGTGGTGTTGCAAAAATTTGAAACCCCTTGTTGACCGCCCTGATCTCTGCCTTCTCAAAGGGAACCCCGAACAAGTAGCTACCTGAGATGGAATAGATTGGCCAGTCTATTCTATCTTAAGTAGCTACTCGTCTGCCATGAGAAGGCGGTCGATAATGGAGGGCAATCGGACGTTTCAATTTTGCAACACCACTGTATATCATCAAAATCGTCGACTCAAGTCCAGACCTCACATGCGGGCAAAAACAATCTTCCCCACTTACGCAGCACTCATCCCCCAAATTGATCAGGGCCCTCGGTTAAAGAGGATATCGTTCGCGTCGCGAGAGACGACCATGATGTCATGGATGGTGCATGTTTCTACAAACGGCAATGAAGTGCACCCCTACGAGGAAAAGGAAGGAAAAGAGAAAACAAATCGGAGTCGATCGA